CACTTTCAGCACTCTCAGCAGTCGCGACCATCTCCTCTGCCTGTGCTATGGTTTGAGGGCCTGATAACTGCAGGGCGGCTTCTATGCGAGCATAGGCCCAAAACGGATCTTTAAGATCAAAGGTCTCCGACTGCCGTTTGAGGATCAGCCTTTGTCGGTCACTCAACGGCTCGTGCTCCCAGACTTGGGTCCGTGGTTGCTGTGCCCCCAACGGACCCGGGAACTCATCTTCGGTTGTGTCTGCAAGTGATGACAGCGATGATTCTCCATCTGACTCTGGTTCTTGTACCTCCTTCGGGTCCGCCTTGCTCTTAGCTGCGGAATCAGCCCCTGCCTTGGCCGCTTGCTGCGCCCTAGTGTTGTGCACTTTGATGGATTTGTACTCTATCATTTTTTTTGATCACTGGAGTCAGCTGTGAAAGCCTTTTCCAGAATGCTCCCGAATTCTTACCTGGCAGGGTCTCCCGAAAATCGCCTTTCCGCCACTTGGCTTATTTATTTGCGACGGGCTATGCATCTGTATGAGAATGTTCTTCAAAGTCCATATTGCCGTGTCCATGATGTTCTCAGGGAGGTTCTTCTGAAAGAACACTCCCCCCCGTCTGTGCGTGTTTTCCGATCTCACATTATGGACGAAGTATGCGAGGTGTTCGTTAAGATCCCATCCGGTTTTCTCGACATGGCGACGGCTGTATTTCGCGACGCCCCGTGCTTCTCCTTTAATTATTAGCTCCTGGATCCGGGCCAGCCCGGCTCCGCGCTTCTGCTTAGCAGTCGGGTTTTTCGCCAGATAGTCCCAAAGTTCTAGCCAGTACGGTTTGACTAAGTCTGACACTAACCACTCCCTCCAGTCGTCTTCGGAATTGAGTTTCAGTAACTCCAGCAGTCCCCTTTTGCCTTTCTTGGCCAGCTCCTGTGCCGCTGTCACCTCTGCTGTATTGTTGCTTGCAGAGGAGGGTTCTAAGCTGTGTTTGTTACCTATTTCTTCCATATTAGTACTGTCTCCTTGCGTCGTCTGCAAAAGCATTTCAGCTCACCTCTCGACCAATGGATGACTGTTTCTTCGGGCGTTTCGGGCGTTTCTGCCATTTTGATGCTGGTAGCCTTCTCCATGACGGTCTAGTTGTGAAGAAGAAGTGTAAAGGAGAGAGATAGTAAAAGATTGAGAGAGAGGGAGGGAGGAAGTGACAGAAACAACTTAAGAGAGTGATGTAGAGAAGAGAAAGAGTGAGAGAATGAGAAGAGAGAAAGATGTAATATATATAAGAAGAGAGTGAAGTAACAGTGAATTGATAGTAAATTGACAGTGAATTGACAGTAAGGTAACAGTGATTCAGTGAATAACCTGTGGAGAACTTACTTACTATAAAAAAAAAGAAATAGTAATATAATTATTTGTAGATAGATTAGAAATAGAAAAGTAATAAGCTTTTAATAATAATAAATAATTATAAAATAAGCTTCAAACAGTTACTTTCTTGTTGTTTTCTTAAATATAGTTTCAAAATAGTGTAATAACTATTATATACAGTATAATAGGGATGCTTACTATTTATTTTAGTCAGCAACTATTAGGAACTGTTATGCAACTGGTCACAACTAGCCACAACTGGCCACAACTGGCCACAACCTCGCGGTAACTTCCGCCAGCGGCCTACTATGGAGCTGTTGTCGAATGAATGAGAGGGTAATATCGGGTAACCGGAGATATATAAAGTACTCGGCCATTCCGCGGCTTCATTCACTGCCCTGCCTTAGATAAGTCGTTCGTGTTTTGCTGTCTCCTTTCTCATCTTTTCACTTTCCGATCAGAAGGGTCAATCGAGCCCAGTGGCATATATTTAAGTGCGATTAGTTTGAAAAATGAAAGGTATGGGATCATGAGATGATAGTCTCTCGTCCACAAGATACGGAGTGTTTCAAACAAGATGATATACCATTTACCCAGCCACACGAATACCTTCAAGCAAGGTCAGTACGTGTTGGTTACCTCTGCAAGGCCCAGACGGGGAGTCCTCCTGCCACAGGGGCCTTCCATCAGTATGCTGTACGCCGTTGGTCGGAAGAGAAAAGTTCACGGACGCAAGAAGTGTACTCCCTGCCTAGGCCTGCCGGCGAAGGCCCGACGCGGGATGACCCTCCAGGAAAGGGAGAACACCCCGCCATGTCTTCATTTTGTTCTGATATCCGCCGACCGGAGTACTCACAATATTGACTTCATTCAAATGAGAATCCTGCATTAGGCACCCTCTTATATGCCTACAAGACCTGCGAACCCCCGAGCAAACCCCGTCTACGGCCGAGATACGATCATCCAAGACAGCTACGCGTTAGATCTACAGAGAAATCAGGGTGAAAGCGGACCGACAACCGTGTGTTCGTTGCCTGCGGTCGATTAGGTATCATTGTTCTCTAACGAGCACAAACAGTCGGCAGGTCCTTCGGCAGTCTCCATCCCAGCCCAGCCCAGCCCAGCCCAGTCCGGTCCCGTCCAACTCTGTGTCCTCCATGGGGTGATAAAGCCCAATCGCGACTAAGAGGTAGCAGTCAGCCGGGTCCACTGTGTTGCGCGAGTCTCTTACCTGGGCGTGCAGTGTGTTCTCTAACACAAGCGGATCAGGGAGACGTCATTGTTGACGGTCCCGTCGTTGGTCGGGTCCACGTCGCCGTCGGAGGTCAACGGGGAGGCGCGCTGGCCGATCAGTGTCTGGCTGTTGTCTATAAGAAGGGGACGTACCTTCTTCTTCTGTTGGTGCAGTCGAGGTTAACAGTGTTGCTGTGTTCAGTGGGGGGCTCTTACACACTGGCCGGGTTAGCACTATCCATTCACCAGCGGGGCAACATACAAGCTGTGGTAAAACATGGGTCTCAGATGAGTGCGTCAGATACTATATTCGGTTGGGACTTACGCTCTGTGCAGCATTAGCGGGATAATTCACGGATTGACGACGACTTACCAGCTATTTACCAGACAGCGTGTTGGTTAGCAGTTCGTGGCCAAGGGCGGAGGAAGGGCTTACAAGCTGTGTTTGTTAGCTCAGGAGATACCATACTCGAAGGTAGGGGACTTACGCTCTGTTGTCTGATGAGTAATGGAGTCATCGTTAACTAGTTGTTCAGGGTGTTGAGACTCACAATCTATGGCCGTTAGCAGGAGACAGCATGGTATTACTGATGACTTACATTCTGTTTGCAACATCAGGTCTCAGCAGGTTAACTCAAACATGCAGGTCATCGAAACTTACATTCTAGAAACAGTCAGCGTGACACAGTATGGGGGTCAGGATACTCACGTTCTAACAAGGGGAAGAGGCTTGGTTAGTGGACATTTCGCTAAACATGTTATACTTCACTGGATCGGACTCGAACATACCACCTGCGAATGTCAGCCAAGAACAAGAATATACCAGGGATACTCACAGTCTTGAAGCCATCGCATGCCAGGTCAGCTTAGATTAGACCTCGAGTCGAGAGCACTTACGCCCTGTGCTGGTTAGCCACGCCGGTGAGACCAAAGAAAAACCCATACATTCTGCGACAGTTAGCATCCACAGCATCAACATCCTCAAAACAGCACTTACCTTCTTATGCAGCCATCAGCAGCCACCCTTCAGGTCAACACACTATACAAATCAAGAGAGCAACATACAACCTAACCCATTAGCATCAACATTTCCCAAACGGGAGACCACCCTTACCGGCTACACAGCCAACGATCGCAAAGCATTAGCTCAATCCATCACATCGGGTGGGTCGCACGTACATCCTGCATATCCCATTAGTAACTCAATCAGTCGCGACCAGGAGACCAAGGCAAAACTCACCACATTACCCTTCTACGCAGCCATGACGAATGCTGATCAGTCACCAGCCCACCGACCTCAACCCATCAGGATCTTACCTGGGTCACCTCCTGTCGGATGGTGAGTGGGTGCGTCGGACGGATGGGTGCCGCCATACAGCCGATGGCGAAGACCGCGGACCACCAGAAAGCGCGCATAATGATCGGAAGGTAGGTTAATGATTGACAAAGATGGTACAAGTGGGAAACAAAAAAAAAAAAAAGAGGGGCAGGGAGTCTGAAGAGATGATGAAAAGGGCAAGAGGCGAGGCGAGGCGAGACGAGGGGAGAAAGAGAGAGAAAGAGGGAGAGAGGTGAGACAAGACAAGAGAAGAGAGAGGAACAGGAAGAGAGCAAGAGAAAGCGGCGAAGAAAACCGGCAACTGCTCTCAGTCCCAGTGAGAGTTAGGGTCCATCTCCCGAGTTCCCCCTGCCCCGGTTTTTAGCCCTCGCACGCGCCGATCGGCGGGTCGATCTGCGGCTCCAGCACGAGTCCGATCGCGCCGGAGGGCGCTCTGAGCCCTCCCGTGTGCGTTCCGTGGGTCGAGGTGAGGAATCTTCCTCATCGGGCATGACGGTGCAGGGGCAGCCGTGCGATTGACATCATGGCCGCGGTGGGGCCCGCGGCTGTTTCGGCATTTCCAAGGCACAGGGGATCGAAACAAGGTTATTAACCCGATATTGACCCCACCGATTTGCCTACTAAGGATCACGCTGGATGTGCTGTTTACTTTCGTGTTGAGATGATGAATCTATCCTTGTCGGTGTCGACTTCATGCGCGAGAGAATTGTGCCATGGACCGGTTTTCAGAGCTCGCCGTCGCCAGATCGGGATTGTGGAAACCCGCGCAGCCCTAACTTTCCAACCAACGAACCATCTCAGTATCAGACCACCCAATCCCAGGTATCACGGCCCATCGCAAACTCGTCAACAGGCTGAAGATCTCACCATCGCGACTAGCTAAACAGAGTAAACAAAGCTCCATACTCTGTAATCTCAGCTGCGGCACACACAACCGGGGTCCCCAGCCACGGACGGCCCAGGACCACCAGTTCGGTGGGTCTAGGGATCTGGAACGCCGTGGAACTGGGCACCTTCCCGTCTGCCCTGAGGTAGTGTGGTCCCGATGGACTGCCGATGCGCGGAATCGGTATAATTCTGTCGATCGCAGCTGGAGATTCAGATGCTGCGAGGGCAATGTACTGTAGCGGTTAGATCGAGGATCTGATTTCGGATTCTTTCTGGCGGTAGGGGCAGATAGACGGGGCATACGTGACCGGGCATGACAGGATGTATGGACGTTACCTGTTTTGCTTTTTCTCGTTCTGCAACTCAACATGCAGGGTTCAAGACGGGTCGGCTATCGACTTGGTATTGGCTTGCTTGTTGTGGTATGAGGTGCAGAAGCTGTCTAAGTGAAACCTTCCGCTAGATTAGATTTTTATTCCATTCCACAATGTACAAGTGCTTGACTTGCTGAATGTAGGGTCAGACGCAGAAATCCTATCATATGGTCATCAATAATCAAAACATTCAATCAACTTCAACTACCCGAATTGAGCCGGGTAATCTCTCCAGCGAAGCAGGGCTTTGGGGCCGTGGGCCTTGGTAAGGAAAAGAATACCAAGGGCTTTTATGGGTACAGCAATGGGATCAATAACCTGCGTCTATAAGTAAAAGCCATACAGAGCAATATAGAGCATGATATGATTATCGCTTATCAGAACTGGGATAATCTGTTCTAGACGGTCACTATTCTATTCTACACACCATACAACCATCCTAGCTACCCTTCTCATATAAGACATAGAAACAGCATAATCAAGAATCAAGATACTCTAATCTAGGCGGTCTGGTCTGGTCTATTCTATTCTATCTATGATACAATCCAGCCATCCCCTCATCTATTTATCTACTTATCTATCAATCATCCCCCCCCCCAAAAACCATCACCATCACCCCTCCCTCTCCCAAGTCCCCTCAACACCCCTCAGCACCACCCAACCACCCCTACAACAACCACCCCCTGAGCACCCTCCACGCCACCCCCCAAGCACCCCCAAGCGACCCGCCTCGCCTTCCTCGCAAAAACCTCCTTCTCATTCGCCCTCGGAAACTCCGTATCCGGCACCTCCCTGCCCAAAAACTCACAAAGCGGCCCCCACCCCTCCTTGGGATTCCACTCCAGCAGGTTCTCTCTCGGAACCACCCTCCTCACCCTCTCATAATGCTCCGCGAACGCCCTTTCCCCATTCCTCTCAAAATCGCCGTCGAAGAGATGATCAAACGCCAATCGACACATCCGATTCCCCGCGCCGAAGTGGGCGGGGTCCAGCCAGCCGAGGAATGTCGCTAGCGGGGAGTAGGTCTGCTTCATGATGGTGTTCTGCATGGAAGTCATCCAGGCGGAGGGGTCCCGCAGGGTGAGGATGACTTTTGCGTCCGGGTAGCAGGTGGTGAGCTCTTCGGGGAAGAGGGCCGCGGGGATGTCGGTTGTCGCGGAGACGTGGCCGAGGAGGGCGTCCCATTGGGCGAGCGTGAAGGGGGGGTTCGCTGGCGAGGGGTGGTGTTTTCCGAGCAGGGCGGAGGTCCATAGTTGGGCGTCGGAGGGGTTTTGCATGATGCTTGTCATGTGGTAGGTTGGGTAGCCGAGGGTTTGCAGGGCGAGGTATGTGGCTGGTTTTGTTAGTGTGTGTAGATATTAGGTCGGGGTGGATTTGGGTAGAGGTCAAGGGAATTGATGAGGGAGTGGGAGTGGTATTGCAGTGTAGTGGTGTGGCTGCAGTGCTGGTAGGAGTTAAGGTAGAATTTGGCATCCCACAAGGCAAAGTAGAGCACATACAAAGCGTCCCCGTCCGACAAAGCCCCAGGACAAGAACCTGCATCGGTTCGATGCGACTGCACGTCCGCCTATCGATATTGGTCTGCGCCAGGACGCTCTCTGTATCCTTCATGTTGGCGGCTCAAGTGTGGTGGATATGGATAGGAATATCAATATAGGAATGTCAATGAGACATGAATGCAAATATACATATACTGTGCTCAATGTCATCCCATGATAGCAGGGCCGATTGCCTACTTAAAGCAACAATCTATCATGATCATCTCTCTATCCATTCCAGGCACCCTCGTAGAAAGCTCGGCATTCGAAGATCTTTCTCCTTCGATGACTATTATTATAACCATTATGAGTCTCATGGCCATGATACACGGTTCTTTGAATTACAATACGCAGCCATAGCCGGAGGGGCAGTCTACTCAGGTACCAGGCAAGTACTTTGGTAAGGTAGGTAAGTCAGGTAGGCAGATACTGGTTCCCACGAAGCCGCGACTGTCATTCATTGCCAGGGTCAGGTCAGGGCCACACTTAGGGTTGTTAGCCAGGATGGACAATGAATAATGGATATGAGATGGAGTCGCACATCGCAATCCTATACAATCCCACAGATACATAGTACATCGTACACAGTACGACCAGATATTCACTCCCCGAGTTGAAAATCTTTTCGCATGCCAAATACCCATGCTGTTCTTGGCAGTGTTCGTCCCAATCCGCCGGACGGCCCACCACCCGATGGACCACGGGGTAAGGATCGTCAACTTCCCGAACGGGCAAAAGAAGAACGGCGCGTTGGTTCCGATCGTGAGCCGAGATTTGGCCACGCTGATGAATACTGAATATGAAGGAGGATCTCTACATAGGGGACAGTAGTAGTAATATTTGATATTAATTGGAATGATAATCAGCTCGATCGTCTTCGGTCCGATGCCTGGCTCTCAGCAAGATGAATGTGTAGACTGGTGCAGACATATACAGCAAGAAGTTGACAAGATGAACAGATGATGCAGGCGATGTATCTGCCGAGGAGTCGGCAGAGACTTGCATTGCTGTAAGCCAAGGTAGTCAGTCCCTACTCCAGGTACTCCAGCACTCCCTACCGACCATGTTTTTATTTATTATTAACAATATTACCCTGCTACAAAAAAAAAACCCTGACCCAACCAAATGACGCACCCAGCGCGCAGAGCCGCCGCGCCCCACATCGCGCGTAACTTTATCTGGCGGATACACGATCGAGTACCGTACCACCACCCGACGAAACCATCAATACCGCTGGGTACGGGTACCGTCCTGTATACTTACCACGTACCTGTCCTGTACCTACGGACGGTACCATATGTAGTTGTCACGACACGACAGTAGCATCAAAGCCCTGAGTCGAGTCCAGTCGAGTGGATTCCCATCTTGCCACGTCCTGGACCGGCGAGGATGCGCGCGGAAATACATTCCCAGCGCCGAGAGGCTGTGGGACGAAACGAAGTGGGACGCATCTGCCTCTCCATCCATCTGCCCGGGAACCGTGGCCGGCAATTAGTATTGGGATCGATCTAGGAGTAGGAGGTTCCATTCCATGGAGTTGGGTCATGGTTGGGTCAGGGTTGGGTCAGGGCCAGTAGCTTGCATCAAGCCGATGAACAAACCAAACAGATGGAGAGGCACATGTGAATCGAACCGGAAAAAAGTTTGTAGCTGGGCTAGCTTCGAGGGGTTGGTTTTGTCGATTGTCTTACGACGGACGAAGTTGTATTTGTTCTTTCTCCTGTGGTTGCTGGTTAATCCATCTCGTTCGTTGTCAATCAGATCAGACCGGATCAGATCATATCTCCTCCCACAGTATCCCCCATAACCACAACATCTCATCCCATCCCATCTCATCGCATCCGATCTGATCGCAACCATGTCACCCCTCACCCTCACCCTCACCCTCACCCCCTCCTCATCAGGACAATGCCACTTCCCAACCGAGCACCTCGCCCCCTCCGCAGACGCAGACGCAGCCGCAGCCTCACCCGCCTTCAAATCCATCTCCGTCGCGCACACCCCCTCCAACACCCAAGCTGCACCCCTCTCCCTCTCCCTCTCACACATCCTACAAGCATGGGCGGTCGTCCTGCGGTACTACACCGGCAGCGACGCCATCTCCTTCGGCCGGGTGGACGACACCGAGCAGTCTGCCACCGGGTCGCGGTTCGCGGTCTGTCAGGGCGAGATTACAGCAGATACTGCTCTGGATGAGTTGCGCGCGTCGGAGACAAGCCCCTCTGAGGCGTCGCAGGGACGGACGCAGACGGAGACGCAGTTGTTGAGTGACTGGGTTGCATCGAACAGGTCATTCAACACCCTCGTCTGGAAGACGTCTCTGCAGACGCCTCCGCCGGTGGATGAGCTGGAGGGGTCGCATGTGAGTTCCACCCCCCCCAACACACACACAGACACAGTTTAGGAATGAGCGCAGGCTGATAAATTCAATGACTGAGTAGATCTCGCTGGCGCTCCTTGTCATCGACTCCGCCCAGCCGCGTGTGACGCTCCTGTACGCGCCCCATTCTATCGGGGACATCATCGCCGCCGCAGCCGCCGAGGCCATGGTCAAAGCGATGGACGCGATTGCGAACGCGCCACACACCCCCATCGGATCGCTGGATCTCTTCGGCCCGTCGTCGCGCGAACGAATCGAGGAGTGGAATGCCGCCGTGCCGCCGACTGTCGGGGCGTGTCTGCACGAGCAGATCGACGAGACGGCGAGATGGCGTCCCGCGCAGACGGCGCTGGAGTGCTGGGATGGGTCTGTGACGTACGCCGAGCTGGCGGACTACAGTTCCCGGCTGGGGAGGGTTCTCGTGTCGCAGGGGGTTGGGCCGGAGGTGTTTGTGCCGGTGTGCTTCGACAAGTCGCTGTGGGCGGTGGTGGCGATGCTGGGGGTGTTGAAGGCCGGGGGCGCGTTCGTGTGCATCGATCCTGCGCAGCCGATGGATCGGCTTCGGGCGATCATCGGTGAGGTGCAGGCGCAGGTTGCCCTCGCCGCGCCGGAGTATGAGGGCTTGATGGCCGGGGAGGGGGTCGCGACGGTGATCGCCGTCGATGGGGGGTTCATTGCGGCGCTTCCCCCCTGTCATGGCCAGGATCTGCCGCGTCGCGCGACCCCCCGCGATGCGGCCTTTGCGATCTTCACCTCGGGGAGTACCGGTAAGCCGAAGGGCATTGTCCATGAGCATCAGGCCGTGTGTTCGAGTGCGCGAGAGCACAGCCACCGGATGAACATGGATAGCGGGACGCGCAGCTTCCAGTTCGCGGCGTATACTTTCATCGTTAATACGTTTGAGCTGTTCACACCGCTGGTTGTCGGAGGGTGTGTGTGCGTTCCCTCCAAGGAGGATAGGCTGGCACGGACAACCGGAGCCATGCGGGATCTTAGGGCTAATTGGGCGTGTCTCACGCCGTCGTTCCTCCGCTCCATCAGCCCGGAGGATATCCCCGACGTGAAAACCCTCCTGCTCGCGGGCGAGCCCGTCCAGCAGGATAACCTCGATACGTGGCGCAGTCGAGTTCGTCTGCTCAATATGTACGGCGCCAGCGAAGCGTCCGTCTGCGTGACGGGGGACCTGTCTGGCCCCGTGGAGCGGACGACCATCGGTCGAGGCACCGGGGTGTGTGCTTGGGTGGTCGATGTCGCCGACCACAACCGGTTGGCCCCCATTGGCGCCACCGGCGAGCTGGCCGTCGAGGGCCCTGTCCTGGCCCGGGGGTACATCAATCAGCCCGACAAGACAGCCGCGGCCTTTGTCTCCCACACCCCGTGGCTGGACGACATCCGCGGGGTGTCGTCCGCCGCGCGTGCCTACAAGACCGGCGACCTGGTCCGGCTTGGCTCAGACGGACGCATCAACCTGGTTGGCCGCAAGGACATGCAGATCAAGCTGCGTGGACAGCGCATCGAGCTGGAAGAGGTCGAGTTCCACATCCGCCAGGGCCTGCCGGGGGGCACCGAGGTCATCGTCGGGTTGGTGAAGCCAGTCGACCAGCCAGACCGGCCGCTGCTGGCCGCGTTCGTGGCCCTGCGGAAAGGCTTCGGGGACGACTTCCACGACGTGGACGCTGAAAGTGCCCGCATCCTGGACACGATGACCGCGGACTGGAAGCGCAAGCTTGCGGCCTCGGTCCCCGGGTACATGGTCCCGTCGACGCTTGTCCAGCTGCACTACATGCCGGTGATTGCGTCCGGGAAGCTGAACCGGAAGGCTGTGAACGAATACGCCTCGCGACGGACGGTGGCCGAGTTGACCGGCGCGAAGGGCAAGGCACATAGAGAGCCGTCGACGGACACCGGCAGGGCCCTGCGCACGGTCTGGGCGGAGGTGCTGCAGCGGGCAGAAGAGTCGATCTCTGCCGACGACGACTTCCTGGAACTCGGCGGCAACTCCATCGATGTCATGCGTCTGGTCAACCGCTGCCGAGCGCACGGCATTGGCCTCAGTGCAGCCGAGGTGTTCACACACCCGGTGCTCGAAGGGATGGCCGAGGCGTCTTCCACGCCAGACGACCAGGCCCCTTTCGAGGACACGCCCTTCTCGCTTCTGGGCAGGGACCGGGACGGACTCGTTGAAGCCGCCGCCACGCAGTGCCACGTCGCCCCATCGGCCATCGAGGACCTGTACCCCTGCACCGCCATGCAGGAGGGTCTCCTGGCTCTCTCGGACAGCCGCAGCGGGGTGTACACGGCGCAACACACGCTCGTGCTCGACGCGACCATCGATCTGGGCCGCTTCAAGCGCGCCTGCCAGGAGGTGGCCGACGCACACCCCATCCTGCGCACCCGCATCGTCTACCCGGAGCGAGGGGCCGCCGCCCTGCAGGCCGTCATCCGTGGCGACCTGGACTGGCACTCCGCCGACGGGCTGGCGAGGTACATGGCCGAAGACAAGCAGCGGGCCATGGGGCCGGGCGACGCGCTCACGCGGTACGGCATCGTGCCGAACGGCGAGGGCTGGATGTTCGTGTGGACCGCGCATCACGCGGTGTACGATGCCTGGACGCTGGAGCTGGTCTTCGACCGGATCGACCGGGCGTACCGGGGGCAGGCGATGGGGAAGGACGCCAGTTTCAAGGCGTTCATGCGGTATGTGGTCAGCACCGACCGCGACGCCGCGGATTCGTTCTGGCGGGAGTATCTGGCCGGGGCGACAGCGACGGAGTTTCCGTGCACCGTGTCCACGGCCAAGATGCCGGTGTCGGACGCCACGATCAGGCATGACATGGCGCTGGACCCCTCGCAGCGGCTGCCGGGCATCACGATGCCGTCTGTCATCCGCGCCGCCTGGGGAATCCTGGTCGGGTCGCACTCGGGATCGGACGATGTCGTGTTCGGCACCATCGTCTCTGGTCGCAATGCCCCCGTGCCGGGCGTGGACCGGCTCGTGGGACCGGGCATTGCCGCCGTGCCGGTGCGCGTCAACGCCCCCGAGGGCGGCCAGACGGTCCGCGAGTTCCTCACCACGGTGCAGTCGCAGTCCACCCGGATGATCGCGTTCGAGCAGACCGGCCTGCAGAACATCAGCAAGGTCAGCGCGGACGCCGCCTGCGCCTGCGACTTCCAGACGCTGCTCGTGGTGCAGCCTGCCAGGGCACAGCCGGCGGCGGCGACAGAGGCCCCCGACCTGCGCGCGGTCTCCGACGCCGATGCCAACTTCGGCACGTATGCCCTAACGCTGGAATGCTCGCTGCGGCCGCACGGCGTCGGGTTCGCCGCCCATTTCGACTCCACGCTCATTTCCGGGGACTACGTCCAGCGGATCCTCGGCCAGCTGGAGCATCTGCTGCGGCAGCTGTGCGGCTGCGCGGATGGCAGGCTGGACGAGCTCTCGTTCATCAGCCCGCAGGACGAGGAGAGCATCCGCTCGTGGAACCAGGCCATCCCGGCCCCGGTCAACCAGACCGTGCACCAGTTGATCGGGGAACGCATGGCCGAGCGCCCCAGCCACGAGGCCGTCTGCTCGTGGGACGGCTCGTTCACGTACGCGGAGCTGGACCGCCACTCGGCCCGTCTGGCTCGACGTCTGGCCGCTCTCGATGTGAGGCCCGAGAGCTTCGTGCCGTGCTGCTTCGAGAAGAGCCGCTGGCCGGTGGTGGCCATGCTGGGGGTGTTGCGATCGGGCGGTGCGTTCCTGAACCTCGATCCCTCGCAGCCCCCCAGTCGCATGCGGCTGATGATCACCAAGCTGCGGTCCACGACGCTCGTCTGCTCGCCCCAGCAGTACGACCTCTGTCGGTCCCTGGGTCCCGGGTACAACATCGTCGTGCTGTCCGCCGACACTCCCGAGGAGTCGACGGTCGGCCTCCCCCCCTCGGGCGTGACTCCCGACCACGCCGCGTATGTCATCTTCACCTCGGGGAGCACCGGCGAGCCCAAGGGGACGGTGGTCCAGCACGGCGCGTACTGCTCCGGGTCCGTCACCCATGCCCCGACCATGCTGATGGACGGCCGGACGCGAGCCCTGCAGTTCGCCTCCTTCACCTTCGATGCCAGCCTGGTCGAGATCCTGACCACCCTGGTCGTCGGGGGCTGCGTGTGCATCGCGTCGGAGGAGCAGCGCAGGCGGGATGTGACCGAGGCAGTCCGACAGACGAACGCCAACTGGGCGGCCCTGACTCCCTCGTTTGTCAACCTGATCCGCCCGGACGACGTGCCGTCGCTGGAGACGCTCGTCCTGGCCGGCGAAGCCATGGGCCAGTCCCACATCGACACCTGGGCCCGTCGGGTCCGGCTGGTCAACGCCTACGGGCCCAGCGAGTGCTGCGTCTGCAGCACGGCCAACTCGCACGTCACCAGTGCCTCCAGCCCGCGGGACATCGGCCTCGCCTGCTCGGGCGCCGCGTGGGTGGTGATGCCGCACGACCACCATCGCCTGGCGCCCGTCGGCGGCGTCGGCGAGCTGGTCATGGAGGGATGGAACGTCGGCCGGGGCTATCTGGACGAGCCGGCGAAGACCCGCGCGGCCTTCGTGCCGAACCCCCTCTGGCTCAGCCAGGGCGATGCCACGCGGCCCCCGTCGTCTACAAGACGGGCGATCTGGTGCGCTACCACGCGGACGGCAGCCTGAGCTTCCAGCGCCGCAAGGACACCCAGGTCAAGCTGCGCGGGCAGCGCATCGAGCTGGGCGAGATCGAATACCGCCTCAAGCAAAGCCTGCCGGGCCAGCCGGACGCCGTGGTGGACATTCTCTGCCCGAGGGACGCCGCCGGCCAGCCCCGTCTGGTGGCCTTCCTGCCCGTGGCCGGCGCCGCGCCTGTCTCGGACGCGCATGCCCTCATCCCCCGGCCCCACGACCGCCATGTGGCCGCCGTCTCCGGGCTCGAGGCCCGGCTGGCCGAGTTCCTGCCCATGCACATGATCCCCAGCGCCTACCTGCCGGTGACCCACGTCCCCAAGCTGCCCTCCGGCAAGGCCGACCGCCGGACGCTGATCCGGTGCGGCGGCGCGTTGACGCACCGCGAGATGGCGCAATACGCGGGCGGCGCCGACGAAGTGCGTCCGGCCACCAGCGCGATGCAGCTGGCCCTGCAGCGGCTCTGGGGCGAGGCCCTGAAGACCCCGGCGGAGCACATCGGCCTGGACGACCACTTCCTGCGGCTGGGCGGCGACTCGATCACGGCGATGCGGCTGGCGTCCGCCGCCCGCGCGCAGGGCATCCCCCTCTCGACCGCCACCGTGTTCCAGCATCCAACCCTAACGGCCATGAGCGCCGTGGCCGAGACGCTCGCGCTCCAGCAGCGGCCCCAGACCTTCGAGCCGTTCTCGTCCCTCCCGGCCATCCCCCAGGACGAGCTGCTCGCCCAGATCGTCCTCCCGCAGGTCGACACGCCGCGGGCCAACATCGCCGACGTGCTCGAGTCGACCGACTTCCAGGCGCTGGCCATCGGCGGGGGACTCGAGCCGACGCGCGGATGGAGCAATTACCTCGTCTTCGACTTTCGCGGGCCGATCGACCTGCGGCGGCTGCGGCAGGCCTGCGACGCGCTGCTCGCCCACCACGCCATCCTGCGCACCGTCTTCGTGGGCGCCGGGGCGCAGCTGCTGCAGGTCGTCCTCCGCTCCCTGCGGCCCGAGTACGCCGTGCACGTCCAAGACGACCCGGGCCAGGACCCCTCCGAGGCCCTCGTGCGCGCCGACCTGGCACGGCCCCCGCGCCTCGTCGCCCCCATCGTGCGCTTCACGCTGATCAAGAACGGCGCGACCCGGCACCGTCTCCTCATGCGCATCTCGCACGCGCAATACGACGGCGCCTCGATGCCGCATCTCCTGCACGACCTCCGCGCCGCCTATCGCGGGGATCCCCTGCCCCCACGGCCCCAATTCGCCACCTTTGTGCGCATGCAACTCCACTCCCTCGACGCCTCCTCGTCTCTCGCCTTCTACAGACACCTCCTCGCCAACTCAACCATGACCTCCCTGATCTCCCACCCTAGCCCCTCCACCCCCACCGTCCTGGACACCATGATCGGCGCCACCGTCCCCCTCCTGACGTACAAATCCCACGGCATCACCGCCGCCACGGTGATCAAGGCCGCCTGGGCCCTCACCCTGGCCGAGCTCTCCGCCTCGGCCGACATCGTGTACGGCCACATGGTGTCCGGGCGAAACCTCCCCCTGGACGACGTCGAATCCGTCATGGGGCCGTGCCTCAACATCGTCCCCGTGCGCGCAACCCTCGAACCCACGACCACGACCACGACCCTCGACCTCCTCCGCGCCCTGCAGCAGCAGCAAACCGAGACCATGCCGCATGAATCCCTCGGCTTCCGGCAGATCATTGACCGGTGCACGGACTGGCCCGCCCACACGAGGTTCAGCTCCGTGTTCCAGTATCAGGAGTTCGGGGCGGACGCGGCGGCGGATCCGACGCAGCCGGTCCACATCGAGCACGGGTTGACCTGTTCCCCCGGCTTCATCTGTCCCAGCCCGGATGCCTGTGATCTGAGTCTTCTGGCGACGCCGGTGGGGGGCCAGGTGCGCGTGGAGATGATCTATTCGCGCCAGGCCATGAGTGGGGAGTTTGCGGGCGATGTGCTGAGCAGGTTCTGTGCGGTGGTGGCGGGGATTGAGGCAGACGGGGTTGATGGGCGGGTGCCGGGGCCGGAGGAGTTGCGGGGGAGAGAGGCGGTGATTCCGTTGGTGAGGGGGGAGGGAATGCCCTTGGGGGGGATGGGATGGATGGGACTGGGAATGGAAAGATGGTCAATGGGGGCATGCGGAAGAGGCAGCGGCAGGGCGCGAGATCAACCTGCTGGCTTCGGTGCGCATCAACTAATGTCTTTTTATATTTATATTAATGTTTATGTTTACATTTATGTTTATATTTATATTTATATTTATATTTATATTTATGTCGATATTTATGTTTATATTCATGTTGATATTTATGTTGGTGTTTATTTTTTATGGAGTAGATATATTTGCGGTTATCATGTCCATCTCATCGGGAATGTACTTGCGTTCCATCAATCGTTTGATTATCAATCTGGTCATTGTATGAATTCCACCCTCGATCTACACATCCATCCCCCCTCCTCTCCCCTCCTTTGCCAGGATTTACCAGATCAACACCCCCTACACTCCTTCACCCACAGCCCCAACCCCATATACCCCTCCCCATCCAAATCCAAATACCTCACCACCCGGATCCCCCCTCCTCCCCCTCCACCCCAAATGACCTCTCCCCATGGATGGTCAAATATCCCTCCCCGTCGACCGCAAACCCCGTGAGAAGAGCCCCGGCCGGTGCGGCCGCATTCGCCGTCAAGCCGATTGGCGCGTTCGCGTGAGGGACGAGGTAGAGGGTTTGGGCGGGGTGGTGGTGGGGGTGTGTTGGGCGCGGGCGGTGATGGGGTGTTGTTGGTGCCGCCGGTGACTGGTTTTGATTAGGTTTATGTTGTGAGGGGGTTATTAGAATTTTAGGGAGGGGATTTGGATGGGTGGTTGGGTGCATAGGGCTAGACTCACAGATGAGGATGGGATAGTGCGCAATGTCACCGGTTCCGATTAGAGCGTGCGCTGGGGTTGGGGTTAGCGAATATCCATATCGGTTGATCATGGGTTGGTGGGATGGCATGGCATGCACTCACTTCCATCCGTCACGACGGTCCATCCCCCGTCGGCCACGAGGGTGTACGCCGCAGGGAAGGTGGCGGACACGACGGCTGCGAGGAGTGAGGCGGTGAGGACGGCGAGCTTCATCTGAGGAAGTCTGTCGGGAGGTTCAGGGTAGGGTCGAGAGGAATATTTAATATTGAATGTTGATGAAAGTGCTGATGTCTTGATGTCTTGAAAGGAAAAAGGAAAAAGGGGCTCAAGCTTCCAGGATCGACCGGACTGGTGGCTGCCGATGTCTCAGTTGGACTATTGATCCCGGGTAGGCAGTTTGTTGGGGATTGTGCAGGAGGCAGACAGGAATATTATATTATGGGCAACCAGAGGGGAGGGTTCGATCACCAAGATTGCCGGCCTCAATATTCAGTATGGATGGATTGTTGGGTCCGTGGTTCAGTCTCGTTGCCCCTTCCATCCATCCATCCATCCATTGAGTCGACCCCTGTCCAGTGCCCACACGGCCTGCGGTTCTGCAAGGGGACGCACACACAGCCTTGCTCGATGATTCACAGGCACTCTAGCAAACCGATCGTGATGCCATGTCGCATCCATTGTTTGCGTCTATCCAACTCACCGCTCCCTGGGACCTTGGGACGAGTGAACCTTGGCCGCCATTGTTTGTTGACAGGTGACGTCATGAGTCTCTCGATGACTCTGTGGTGCAGATGCAGATGGCATGTTCCAGGCCAATTATTCAGTGGGGAGATCCTTGAAGATATACTAAAGTCCCGACCGGGCAACCCCGCCCTTGATGGTTCATTGACAGAAGGTTATTCCTGGCTGTTGAATTGGGGGGAAAGGTTTGTTTGTCTGGTTTTTTATTTATTTATTTTTTTTTTTTTTAAATGTGTTTCGAAGCATAGACTACTTACTCCCCGCAAAGTCAGAGCGGGCCCGACCGGAGCAGCCAATGATCAGGGCAAAAGGCCCCTCGGCCAGCCTGGACCAAGACAAGACCCCGCCTGTTGTGACTGCCACTCCGTAAGTATCCATCTACTCCGTCCTTCTTATGAACTTCTTTCTCTTTCTCTTCATCCCATCCATCCCCTTGTACGACCCGACCACCCCTTCCCTCACCATGTCCACGCCATCGCAGGACGCTCGTCGTGAGACCCTGCGAGGCGAGGAGCACCGTCCCCTCCTCGGCCCCGATGGTGAGGTCTTATCCAGCGACAGTGACTCTGACCCTCACCCGCGACGATGGGCGGCCTCCTCCTGGGTCCGCACCGGCACCATCACCCTCGGCCTCCTCCTGGCCAGCGCCCTGCTGGTGTTGGTCTTCTTCTCCGTCGGCCTGGCCATCCCCGGCCTCCCCCACCCCCCCGGCAAAAAGCCCCCTGCCCCCCGCGGTCCCATCAAGAACGTCGTCGTCTTGGTCCAGGAGAACCTCTCGTTCGACGCCTTCGCCGGCGGCCTGACCTACAGCCCCCACATCGACGGCCTCGTCAACCGCTCCTTCTGCAACCCCGCCAACATCAACCACCCCCATCCCCCCCACCCCCAGGTCTGCGCCAAACCCACCGCGAAGAATGTCGCCCCCGACGACCCCGACCACTCCATCGCCGGCGGCTCCATGCAGATCTACGGCACCTACCACCCCGACAATGCCAGCCCCCCCGCCATGCAAGGCTTCGTCACCGAGCAGATCCGCGCCCACCGCATCAAGGCCGACCTCTCGCGCGCCGCCGAGGTCATCAACTACTACCCCCCCGACCACGTCCCCGTCTTCAGCGCCATGGCCGAGAACTTCGTGCTCTTCGACCGCTGGTTCGCCAGCGTCCCCGGCCCGACCAACCCCAACCGCGCCTACCTGACCTCCGGCACCAGCCACGGCCACGGCATGAACGACCTCGCCTTCCTGACCTCCGCCCTGCCCCAGCCCTCCATCTTCGAGCAGCTGTCCGACGCCCACATCGACTGGGTCAACTACTCCAACACCTCGTGGTTCCTCCCGGACGCCCTCTTCTACCGGTGGACCGTCCGCTCCGGCAAGAGCGCGACCCACGTCAAGCCCCTCGACCAGTTCTACCGCGACGCCCGCGCCGGCACCCTGCCGCCCTTCACCTGGATCAACCCGGAGTGCTGCCAGTACACGTCCTTCCACCCCCCGTCGCCCATCAACATGGGCGAGGCCTTCCTCAAGAGCATCTACGAGGCCCTGCGCGCGTCCCCGCAGTGGAACGAGACCCTCTTCATCCTGACCTTCGACGAGCACGGCGGGTTCGCCGACCACGTCGCCCCCCCGCAGGACGTGCCCCCGGGCGACGCCCGCACGTACCGGGAGCGGGCGCCGGACGGGTCGGAGATCGAGTTCAAGTTCGACCGGCTGGGCGTCCGGGTGCCGACCGTGCTGATGTCGCCGTGGGTGGGCCGGGGGGTGGTGCAGAACCGGCCGACCGACCAGCCCAACGACTTCTCGCACACCTCCATCCTGAAGTACGTGGCCGAGCTGTGGGATCTGCCGGTGCTGACGCCGCGCGTGGCCTGGTCGCCCAGCTTCGGGGGGTTGATCACCGATACCTGGCGGGAGACGCCGGAGAAGCTGCCCGAGCCGGCTGTTTTTTAGATGCGTCATGTTACACTTCAGACTGTCAATATATGACTTCTTTCTTTTATCCTGTGGTTCAGACAGTTCATTCATGGATTTGTTCCGCAATGGTTTAAGCGGTCGAGATACTACTTCCAACGGGTTTATTTTTTTTCTTCTTGGTTCGGTGGTTGGGGGGGTTGGATATATATTCTGGGGGTGTTAACGGGGTTGCGCTGCTACTGGGGATGGGAGGGTATTTCGGATGGGCTGCTGTGAGAGAGATCTGGAGTGAGTTTTAGTAAGAACGTATCTCGTAACTCACTCTCAGGTAGATCTGACCTGTGAATCGGATTGTGGGACAGAAACCAGTGGTCAAATTCCGACCCAACTTCACCCACAGTTGTGCTGTCAACCAAAACCCTCAACTAGAGCAGTGGAGGGTGTGAGTATTCTCAAATGCCCTGGCACCTGGCAAACCCAGCGTGTGTTGTTGTCATCAGACCGCCAGAAGACGCCATCTGCAAGACAACCCGACCGGAACCATATTCCCCTTCCACACAATCCACGCTGAGATATGCCCACCGTTATGCTCGCCAACCCCAGCATTGACGGTCCGAGTTAGCCGGCGCCGCGGTGTCATGGAAGCTTATCCCGGCTGCCCCAATGAATGGCCAGGCAGTCACCCGTCGCATCGGGCTGCGGGGAAGAGTACCTGAGTGGGACATGCGAGTGATCGGCCTGGTAGTACTATACTATGGTAGTACTATACTATCGGTAGTGGCATTGGGGGTTGTGACGTTGTGACAGGCTGAGACTGCTGCATACCCTCCGGTTATGAACGCGATCGGCAGCATAACAGCAGATTAATGTACAGGGAGCAGATGACTGCTACCTGACGAGTACTGCTGCACCGGTCTTGTAGCATGCGTCGATCCAGTCCTATATCACATACCAACACCAGCAGCAGCAATAACAGCAGCAACATCATCATCATCATATATATTCCGCTTCACACGGATCTTCAGGTGTATCGCCGTACCGTACCGCACCACAATACCCGCCCTGGCAAAGCCTCGGTCCAGCCAATCCCCCCAACGGCCGGGTTGCCGAACTCACAGCCGAGGACGACCCGCCAACGGGGCAGTGGAGCCCTAACAAGCAACCGGATTCGATGCCCCCCCCCCCCCGTCGGACCATCTCAGACTTTGCACGCCATCCCTACATCAGATGAAGGAAGAACCAGCTGGCATCCTTTTATACTATAATACCAGCCTGACCCCGGCCCAGCTTCGGCGCACCTCACCATGCCCATGCACATGCACCTGCTCACCACCTCCCCCTCGCCATCATGGCCTCTCCCAGTCCCAGTCCCAAGGACCAGCCCCCTGACTACCCCCGGGCCATCCCGCACTGGCGCATGCTGGTCGACCAGAGCGTGCTCACCCAGGAGATCATCGACTATCCCTACGCCGGCTCAGGGACGCCCTCCGACCCGTACGTGGTGGAATGGATCCCCGACGACCCGCGCAACCCGATGCTGTTCCCCAACAGCGTGAAATGGGCCTACACGATCATCGCGGCCTTCGCGACCTTCGGCGTCTCGATGGCCTCGTCCGCCTACGCGGGCAGCATCACCCAGGTGGTCGGCTACTTCTCCATCAGCGACGAGGTAGCCACCCTGGGCGTCTCGCTTTTCGTGCTCGGATTCGCCATCGGCCCCCTGGTCTGGGCACCGCTCAGCGAGCTCATCGGCCGCCAGCTCGTCTTCTTCATCTCCTACCTCGGGCTGGCCGTGTTCTGCGCCGCGGCCACCGGCTCGCAAAACCCATGGACGCTCATCATCCTGCGCTTCTTCGCCGGCTCGTTCGGCGCCTCCCCACTCACCAACGCGGGGGGTCTCATCGCGGACGTCTTCCCGGCCGAGCAGCGCGGCCTGGCCATGAGCGTCTTCGCCGGCTCGCCGTTCCTGGGCCCAACCCTCGGCCCCATCATCGGGGGGTTCCTGGGCGAATCCGCCGGGTGGAAATGGGTCCAGGGCTTCCTGGCCCTCTTCAGCGGGATCATCTGGCTGATCCAGGCGCTCCTCGTGCCCGAGACCTACGCGCCGGTCCTCCTCCGCCACCGCGCCGCCAAACTGACCTCCCGCTCGCCCACGGGCGCCATCTACACCAGCAAGCTCGACCTCTCGCGCGGCCCCATCTCCATCACGTCGGCCTTCACCACCGCGCTCCTCCGCCCCTGGATCCTCCTCTTCGCCGAACCCATCGTCCTCCTCCTCTCCCTCTACATGGCCATCATCTACGGCACCCTGTACATGCTCTTCGACGCCTTCCCCATCGTCTACCAGTCCCTCCGCGGCTGGTCCGAGGGCATCGGCTCCCTGCCCTTCCTCGGCGTCATGGTCGGCATGATGACCGCCGTCGTCTACAACATGCTCGACAACACCCGCTACAAGCGCCTCCACGCGAAATACCACGGCTTCGCGCCCCCGGAATCGCGCCTCCCCCCGACCATGCTCGGCAGCATCACCATCCCCATCGGCCTGTTCTGGTTCGCCTGGACCAACGGGCCCTCCCTCCCGTGGATCATCAGCGTCATCGCCGCCGCCCCCTTCGGCTTCGGCATGGTCCTCGTCTTCCTCAACATCATGTCCTATCTCATCGACGCATACACCATCTACGCCGCGTCAGTCCTCGCCGCCAACTCCATCATCCGGTCGTGCTTCGGGGCGGGCTTCCCCTTGTTCACCACGTACATGTATGAGAACCTCGGCATCCATTGGGCCTCCTCCGTGCCGGCGTTTCTGGCCCTGGCCTGCGTCCCCTTCCCGTTTGTGTTTTATAAGTATGGCCCCGCTATCCGTCGCAGGTGCAAGTATGCCGCCGAGGCGGATGACTTTATGAGGGGGTTGGCGGAGCGGACCCTTGCGGCGGGGGGGATTCTGGTGCTGACGCGGGTGGAAGTGGAAGTGCAAAGGGAGAGGGAGAGCGTGATAAAGAGATTGTTCGGCAAAGTGAACGAGAGGATCTACAGCGCGTGGAATCGGCGTCGGCGTCGACCGAGACTGACCAGGATCGCGTGGACGGTCAAGAGCGCGGCCAGTACGATGCCAGTCCCTACGATATCGACCGCGTGAATACCCGTAACTCGGCCATCACGCACCGGTCGCGCTCGCGGTCGACCAAGTCGCGGAAGAAGCGGTTTTGGGGGGTATAGGGGGGGGGGGGGGAAAGGGTGGAGGGGATGGACCTGCTTACTTGGGGGCCAAGGTGGCAAGCGGTGGGGTGGTTGGGATTGGATTACCTGGATTGTGAGATAGATACCAATTTGCTTGTTGATACTTGATACTGTACTTAGATACTGGTACGTAATGGCGCTATATACCTTAATAGACAGAGATACGGATAGAGATAGAGATAGGCTTGCACCCGGGGGGGTGTGGGTTTCGGGAATGGAGAAGGGAGTATTTGACCTGTCCGTAAGGTAGATAGACGGACTGATCCTGATTCTGATGCCGATACTATTTCTTACGACCTGCCGCGTTACCGGAAAAGAAACTGGGAAACTGACGTATACACTGGATATGATAACCTTTGTTGACGTAGATTCCGTTTTCTGTCTGGCTGTCTGCGCGTCCATTATTGTCAATTCCATCCTGGTTAGGCTTGAATGAAGTAATCTTTCTTCTCCGTCTTCGTTGGTTGATGTTGATACTGATATTAATATGATATTGATATGATATTGATATGATATGATATTGATATGATGTTGATAGTAATATCGATACCGATCTACTCCTGAATAGGCTGGCAGCAGCTCCAACAACCCTGGATATCTCGTTATCCTTTGCGTCCCCTTTTGTGTCTTGACTTCCATCCAGTGTGGTATCCATGCTCGGCTCGGCAGTTGTAGCTGCAGTTGTAGCTGCAGTTGGGATGGGATATGATATGATAGGATAGGAGGACTTACGTCGACGTCAATCGATGTCTATACAATTGAGAAAAAAAAAAAAGAATTAGCTAGCTTATCTTCACGGTTATAATCCAAGAGGAAATGCGTACCTCCCCCGCCTGACAAGCCTGTTGCACCTCAAAACACTCCTGGATACACACCGTCTGACCCATCGCCGGGATGATCATGCTGGGGAGGAGGAGGGTCACGAGGATGGAGATGGAGATGGAGATCGAGATGGGGGTGTGCATTTTGTTGATTTCTTTTCCGTGTCGGGTCGTTGGTTGGTTGATGGTCGATTAACAAAATGAGCAATTGATTTCTGCTTTTGAGTACAGCTTTCTAGCGAGAAGCTGTCGGTTGTATATATGTACGGAGTATGATCTGCTCTGTTAGGAGAATTCGAGGTAGGAGAGGGGCTGAGGGGGAGAGAGGAGGGGCTCACATTCTGGATTACCCCTTGCTTTGGTATGTGGCTGGCTGGCTAGCCTGGCTAGCCTGGATGGGTGAGGGTGAGGGTGGCCGGGGGAGGGGTCCGGGTGAGGTCATGGTCTTGGTTGCTTTTTCTTTTTTCTTGGATTTTGCCTTTGGTGAGGGGTAGGGTTTGTGGGACTTGCATTTTTTTTCTTTTCTTTTTCTGTAGAGCGGATCGTATAGGTTGGAGGGTAGATGGGCTAAGATGCAAGTGTGATTCATTGGTTGGTGATGCTGTTTGTAGGGGTTTTAAGTAACTACGGAATACAGTCATCGTGGCTTGTCTTTCTTTTTTCCTTCTTTCTTGCTTCTTTTGTGTCACAGTAGTATAGGCATCTAGGTTACTCTGTCTGCTTTCTGACATCGAATTTTATCTGTCAAGCAAACCAAGGTCAGATACAGCGGTGTGGGGTTTATTGCACGTACATGCAAGGGACGGGCAATATTGCAACAGGGGTTGATCAGTCATGAATCAAAACAGGCTGGAAGGAACTAACTACCTGGAACCTAGGCGGATCAGTTACCCAACAGAGCAGACATAATTATCATCTATCACCATCCACAGACAGCGAACGAGCACATATAATACAGAGAACTAAAGTAGAACTAAACTGACCGAAACTAAACTGTACTATACACGCCAAACTCCATATATGCATCACATATCCGTATCCACATTCACCCTGGCCAGCAAGCTCTATGCCGTATTTACGCAGCCGCACACTGAACCCACGGATGAGATAGGTATCCAGCACTCGCACATCTACCCCATAATACTATCCCAGATCCTCCTCATCCAGCCCTCCTTGGGGTTGCTCGACTCCCAGGAACTCTGCTGCGGACGGCCGGTGTCCAGATCGGCATCGATGGGCCGAACGAAGCTGGTGCGATACCACGCCTTATGGCCACAGTACAGGATCACAAACAGGACGGGGCAGATATACGCGACCCAGAAGTCCGACACGTTGAAGGTGGGGATCCAGGCCGTGAAGCCCTGGGTGAAGATGATCAGGATGTTGAAGAACAGGCCGTACCAGGCCAGCCACGGCTGCCAGATGGCCTTGTAGGGCAGCGAGTCGCGCGACATGCCGCGCGCCTTGAGCGCTTTCATGAACGCGATGTGGCTGGCGTTGATGGAGGTCCAGCAGATAAATCCGGCCACGCTGGAGATGTTGACCAGCCAGTTGAAGACCGTCGTGCCGGAGTCGGAGACGTTCATGAATCCGAGCAGGCCGAAGAGCGCCGTGAAGGCCACGCTGACGTAGGGCACTCCCCGGCGGGTGACCCAGCCGAAGACCGGGGGCGCGAAGCCCTCCTGTGCCAGGCCGAGGAGCACGCGGCTGCCGCTGTAGACGTTGGAGTTGGCGGCCGACAGCACGACAGTCAGCAGGACGGCGTTGATCAGGCTGGGCAGGACCTGCACGCCGGCCAGCTTGGCGGCGATGACCATGGGCGAGGCGGAGGCGTTGTCGGACCCGCTGGCCAGGTCCGGGTTGTCGTGGGGCACGAGCAGGCCGATGAAGAAGATGGTCAGGACGAAGAAGATCAGGATGCGGATGAAGGTCTTGCGGATGGCCGAGGGGACTGTCTTCTGCGGGTTTTCGGTCTCGCCCGCCGCGACGCCCACCAGCTCGGTGCCCTGATACGAGAACCCAGCCTGGATCAGCACCGCCCAGAACCCGACGAACTTGCCCAGCGCCTCGTTGTCGGTGATCAGGTACGAGGCGAACGCCCCGGGGTCGTGCCAGTACTTGAATCCCAGGTAGCCCTGCTTGCCCACTCCGGCGTCGATGCAGATGGCGAAGATCATGAAGCCCAGCACGGTGAGCACCTTGGTCAGCGAGAACCAGAACTCCAGCTCGCCGTAGAAGCCCACCGGGAGGAAGTTCAGCGCCGAGATGATCACCCAGAACACGCCGATGAATATTGCAATCGACAGGTTCTCGTTCCAGTATTGCACGATCATCCCCGTGGCGGTCAGTTCCACTGCGTAGGTCGACGCCCAGTTGAACCAGTATATCCAGCCCATCGCAAAGCCCAGACTCGGGTCGACGAGGCGTGCTGCGTACGAGGTGAACGCGCCGGTGATGGGGATGTACGTCGCCATCTCGCCTAGCGAGCACATCACCGAGTAGACGATCGAGCCGACGAAGGCATACGCGATCAGGGCGCCCGCAGGGCCGGCTTCAGCCAGAGCCGTTCCACTGCTGATGAAGAGTCCGGTTCCGATGGTGCCACCTATGGAAGATGGGGGGGGTCAGCCATGCGGACAGGGAGATAGAGACCAGAGCAGGCCGGACTCACCAATGGCGATCATCTGCAGATGGCGGTTCTTCAGGTTGCGCTTCAGCTTGGTCTCCTCGCCCTCGTGGTCGCTCTCGATGTCCTTTCCATCATCCATGTTGCGTCTGCGCTCACGCAGCCCCGAGTGGACGCTGCTGTCGCCGGACGAGCCCGCGCCATTCTGCTCGGAGATGGCACTGTCGACCCCCGGCTTGCCGGGGAAATAGGCGTCGTCGTGACCCATGACTGACTGACTGGAGGGGGAGGGGTCAATGAGGCACAGAAGGGATGGATGCGGATCCTCAGCTCAGCCAGCGGAGAAGACAGCCTCGCAAGGAAGAGAGTAGTCAGACAGGGACGGAGACAGCTCGACCACACAGTTTGGGAGTGACATCGAATTTTTTTCTCTGGGTTTTCTCCCTCGGGCAAAGGCCATGGCTGGGTGCTGCCACCGACCCATCGCGTCTCATACGTCAGGCCCGCTTCGGCTCTCCACTCCAGGCTGGTCATTAGGTAACGCCCCACGGCCGTCCGCTTGCATCAGCCTGACGGTAGGTAAAGGAAAAGGCAAAGGATCATCCGAATCCCACAGATAAGATCCTCAGATCCTGATCCATGCTCAGGAATCTCCCCTGTGATGGAGTACCTACCTACCAGCTACCTTGGTATACCCTAGCAGTCCGCCATCCGCCATCCGCCATGCAGGGGCATTCCGTCGAACATTCTTCGCTCCGTCTAGGGCAAAGCCGACAAGAAAACTCTTCCGCCCCGCCGCTAGCCGCCAACGCCCGCGTCACGTGCCGCCGTTTTCGTCATCCCGGCAGCCTGCGTGCATCGCAGCTTCTACAAGCACCCGGTCATGGGCATGGGCATGGCCGGTATTCGCCCGGAAACCTCGGGTTAGCTAGGTGGCCTCGTGCGAACCATCCGGGCAGTCTCCCGAGTGCCTCACCTCGTACGTGGTGGTCACGGTGATCCCTTCCGCGGCTTCGGTCTCCTCCACCCCGGCGGACCCACGCCGGATCTCACTGGTAAAGTGCCCTGAGTTCGCGTGGCTGATGAACTCGAACTCGAACTCCTCCCGGGGGTGCTCCTCGCTGAGCGGCCCTGTGCCGGTGCCTCGGGATTGATTCCGGGTCGACCTGCGAAGCAGCACCATCCGGTGGGTGGCCCTTCTCGCAGACGCAGGTCGGGTGGTAAACGCGTTGACGATCGACTTGATGCACGGGATGTTCACGGCCAGGATGGCGACAAACTAGCCGGAGCGTTAGACAGACTCAGACTCAGATATCAGGCAGGAATGTACCGACCGTCTCGCGGATCCCCCAGATATTGGCCACTTCGATATTCTCCGCGTCCTTCACCACCAGAAGACACCGGAGCAGGGTGGCTGCCATCACGAAGAGCCCCCCGCAGAGCAGCAGGCCGATGGTCAGCTTGCTGGGCTGTATCAGTATGGTGTCAGTCGCGTCCATGGGTTGGGGGCTCACCGACGTAGCGGAAGCCGGACTTTGACCAGCAACGGGATCGGGATGGCCAGGATGATGGCGTCGGTTCTATCGTCCGTCAGTATTGAGTACTGAGTACGATTTCTTAAGGCCAAGGGATCCCCACATGACATTCAAAACCGCCACGACCAGATAATTCACATAGTCGACGGTGCATTTCGGGCCCGGGTCGGGATACACCTGCCAGTGCAGCCGGAGGGGGTGGCAGTAGAGAAGCAGCGTCAGGAGCACGGCCAGGTACGTGCATCCGCAGAGGATAGCCGTGATCCGGACCAGCTTCTGTTCGGTGAGCCCAAGCCTACGCAGATTAGTAAGTAGACAGTCTTGATTCATCTGGGGGAGTCGGACGTCAGCCGGTTGTAGAAGAACAGCATGCATGCTTTCAGGATCCAGATCAGGGTCGCGTACAGCGCCCATCCGAATATCAGGATCTTGGACCCGATGATGCGTCGGGACATCTCCTGTTCGCCCATCGATGCTCGTTCCGAGTCGCTCAGTCCGATGTTGGTCCCGAGGACGTCTGCAGATGTTAGTGGTCACTTGCAGAAGCAGGCAGGAAACGCTTACCAACGTATTTGAAGATGACCAGTTGAGACTTTGTATGTGAGCAAGTGTATCTTTCTGAAAAGGGAGCACCAACCGTCCAGAGTATCAGAACCACAGCGCTGAGATAGTCGTCTCCGTGGAAGCTTTTGGTTCCTCCGGTCTTAAGCCGCGAAATAATTCGGGAAACGATGATGAACAAGCTGATGGCGAATTCCGTCCATGCTTCGATTTCGAGAATTAACAAGATATTCATGGCGAAGGCTTCAGACAATGTTGGAAGGGGGTGCCAGCCAAAGCACGCAAGGGAAGAAGCTGAAGGGAGTGTGTCTGGTCCCAGATACCAGAATGGCAGACCCCGCTGATCCATCATCGGTTTCCTGGCGCATTAGCAGAGAGAATTGTTTTCTGGCGGAGATGAATGAGCACGGCATCTAGATTTGGCGGTATACAGTCACTTTGAGGTCTAGGTATAGCCTGTCCTGTTGGCCAGAACAACATCATCGGTGTGAATAAAGAAACCGCTTTAGTATAACGCATTGCTAGTGGCCCGCAGCAGAGATATGAACAGGGAGGCGGTTGTCGGTGCCAATCACCTTCAAGAACCCAGTCTCGAGGGACTGTGATTTCATGGTTTCAAACAAACCTGTGACAGGGTAAGAATGCCGGCTGGGGGGTCAAAGTCATACCAGTGACAATCTCCCAGACTCTTGCACCGAAAGATCTTGTATATTGTTCCATGTCACTTTATTTTTCCCACGGAAAAGCCATGGGTAATCCATCTGGAGCTTAACTGTGGATCAAAGGTCCTTCACGCCTGTGAGCTCTTCATGAGTTGGGTTGAAGAGAGAAAAAGTGCAGCAGAGAGTGGAACAGCTAACAAAGCAGAATAATTCGAATTTGTGTGAACCTCACCTGATCGGTTCATGCTGGATACCCCCTTCAATTCACTGCCCTTCTCTCGTCCCTTCCCTTCCCCTCTTCCCTCTGGCAGAATCCACTGTTTCCTTTCCTGTACAAAACGTAGATAAAGGTCCCCGACGTGGTACTGATCTATCAATCTTGCTAGCAGTCATCACCAGATCTGTATCCTGATTGAACTTCCTGGGAGTCCTTCTGGCTTGGACACTTCGAGGTCTGTTCATCATGACCATACCTGGGTGTACGGAACTCCCTCTTCTGCTATGAATTGAGTTGCTCGAGAAGATCATGGGCAAGCCACAAATAATTGGAAGCTGTTGAGCTCTGCATATCGATGTTATCGAGGCCTCCTGGGCTCTGAAATCTGGTGGTGGGTACACTTTGGATTGGGAATTGTTTTTCGGGTTACAGTGACTGGATATGGCTCGGCCAGGGACAGAGAGGGATGCCGATTACTGTTGAAGGGTTTAAGAGCCCAAGTCATCCGTTATGGGCTGCTCAGCCTCCACGAGGATACAGCGGCTGAGGGATGTTCGGATTCCAAAAGCAAGATGGACAGAGGGGGGTTCCAGAACTGCAAACCACCGCAGGAAGAAGTAGTTTCTTCAAAGGCCACTCTAACATGGTAAGTCTTGGTGTTCTTTCCAAGATTGTATCTTTTATCCCGCATCATTGGTCTAGTGGTAGAATTCATCGTTGCCATCGATGAGGCCCGTGTTCCATTCACGGATGATGCAATTGAAACTTTCTTTCTTTTTGAATTTCCTTTTAACATATCTCTACTCTGTTTTTGCCGTGACGATCGTTCTCAATTAATTCGCATACCGTTCGCTATATCCTTGGGTGTTGCCTCATCATCGCACATAACCCGTCTCCACGTCATCCATCCGATCCAACGGCCACTCACCCCGACCCTCCCCCAGCATCGCCTCATCGCTGGATTGAGTCAGTGGATTCTCGTAATTGCCATTCTTCCCGCCATTCTTTCTCTGCGCTTTCTCCTCGCGCTTCATCCTCTTGCGCTCTTTCCGCGAGATCTTGATCTTCTTGGGAAACTCGCTCTCCGGTCCACGCATCAGCCGACCCGGGTGCCAGATATTCCAGATCACCATGGCGGAGAAGATCGGCACGCATTCGAGGCAGTAAAAGAAGGCCTCTTTCGTCGTCAGGATGCTCGTTCCGGCGGTGTTGGTATCGGCATATTCGGCAAGACGGTAAATGATGCGGATCTATCACGATCAGCAGGAGAACTGGCAGTCGGAACGGAGAGACCTACCGTGATGCACCCCAACGTCGCATACATGGCAATCGCCAACGTCTTCCACTCCGTCCCTCGCTCTGCATTTCCCCCTCCGCCCTGCATGCGCCGATGGAACGTGACGAGCAGGCCACAGAAGCAGAGGATGAAGAACTCCTGCATGGCAATCCCGGCCGTGTACACATGCAGACCAATCGTGTCCATCTCATTGCTGAAATCGGAGTCCATGATTCCCCCAGTGGCTTGGACGATGAACGATCTAGATGGCGGGTCAACAACCCGAAACCACCATGAATTACGAAGTGCCACTCACGTAACATCCAGCCAGATAAACACCTTCGCCAGCTTCTCCGCCCGGAAGCCCGCGATCTTCCTATCGGGCAGATAGTAATACACCATGCGACCGAAGATCATATATCCATAGGCGTTGACCCACAGCGGCGCCAGCAGGACGAGCAGTTGCCCGGCCGATGCGGTGTTGGACTCGACTTGGTTGATCGTGGAATACGTCCGCATGATCAGCCCCAGGCATTCCCACGCGGTGCCCATCACGATCACCCAGCAGAATCGCTTGCGGTAGATGATGGCTTGGGTAAGGTGGGCGATCATGGTGATGCCGAAGAGGACAGAGAAAAGGATGGCCGCGGGGCCGCTGGCACAGTAGTCATACTGCGCGTTGGGAGAGGAGAGGTCTGTCGCAGTCAGTGGCTGTTGACCGGTCGATAGAAGATGGAGAACATACCGCACTTCGATTTCAACCCCATGATGGCGATGGTTTACCCGAACCCGAACTGGATATGAGAAGATGGGAGGGAGGGAAGCTTGCTGCGTATGATTAATCCCATCTTCAGGGCCAAGTGACCATCTTTATAGTCGTGCCCTCGATGATGCATGCGATGATGGTGATCATGATCCTGTTGGTAAGCATAGACGAGCCCGAAGCACAACAGGGCTGCCTACCGACTGACTCCGTTATTTTTAGACCCATTTCCAGGCACCACCCGGTGTAGGGTCTTCTGGATCACTCCGATTCGAGACCTCCATACAAGCCTTGCGAGGCTCCTGCAGGCTGGGGCTCGGGTCTGTGCCCGCGTCAGATTTTAGCTGCGGCAAACAAAGCTGCCTAAATAACTCTGCTGGTCTTCAGAAATTCGCAGAGATATCCAATTCTGTATACGGTATATGCTTCATTTAAGCTTCAGGCAGCGTTTTAAGGTTGGGGGGTCTTGTTTCGCCCGTGGCATGACAATTAACCGACCGCTTATATTGCTGGATGACGTCTTGTGGGGAAATGACATGACATGATAGGTGCCGTCGATCAGTCATGCTTGCATAGCCCGGATATAGCCTCCTCGCTAGTCCTGAAGTGGTATGCAATATGCAAAGGATTCGGATGTATGGCGTTTCCGATATCGCTTGTGGCCGCCTTGGAGAGCTGTGCACTGGGACCTGCCTCTTTGTCAATTAGCATAATCTTGATCTTATCTCGGGCCCCCAAGCTTCTAGGTAGTATTCCTCAGTTCGGGTAATGCTTGTAGTAGTCCTCGATTAGGTTAAGTTATTGCTTATGCTTATAGTCAAGGCCGCGTCAGCCGTGGAGAGCCAGAAACATATAAGGGAAATGCTGCTGTTCGTCGGCTTCACACAACTCTAGTCCAGAATCAGTGAATGTTGATCTCTAGATTCTCCCGGAATCGAGATAGTCTAGTGAATTATTCAAATGGCGGATCCCCAGCATTATGTTGATTATCAAGAAGGATAGTGACTCGACAACCTCCATACCTACAAGCTTATTCACGGTCCCATACCTACAAAGGCTTATAAATACCCCGTTCATCTCCATCACCTGTCCGACATTTCTCCTTCCTAAATACTCATTAATACCAGAAATTGTCACTGTTTATGACGAATTCTCTCTACTATGTAGAAAGTCTTTCCTTTTCTAACCTTGCCTTTTCTATAACTAAAGGACACCACATATCGCAACAGAAAACATTGGTGCTACCAACTTCTATCACACATCACGCGATACAATCTATCTGCGAGGATTACTTAGTATGCTATACATAGCTATACACGCACACCCTATTCGGCTTTGCGCCTGGCAGAGAAGTGACATCTTACCGAAAACTCCTCCAGTCCTCGGGCTGCGTGGTTCATCCACAGGTACAGGGCCAATATATCTCAGTCTACGAGGCAGTCGGCAAAGTTATATTTTGAGAACAATGCCCTCCTCGGCGATATCTTGTCCCGACTACTCCTGTCGAGGCCTGGACAAGGATCAGTCATCAGTGCGTGGTACACACCTCATAAACAGGGCCTATCCCAAGTCCCGCGCGCGCACCCCCGGCTTTTACCTCTGGCAACATCCTACCGATCTACGGAATAGTCTACTAAGCGGCTACGAGTGGTGCATTTGGTTAAACCGACGCCTTTGTGGTTAACACCTTCATCTGTCGGGAAACTTATTTTAATGGCATAGAGGGCAGATAAAACACGCGTCTGTGTCGGGTTGTCTCATTCGGCAGCGGGGGAAGGACGATCCGGAGGTTTTATTAGCTGATAGCAACCTTTCGAGACAACTGCTCTAATCATGATGATATTATCAATGCCTGGGCTCTATGTCATGCTCTTTCTCCACATGGGCCATCGGTAATGCCAAGCTCAATACCAACTGAATCGGCGGGTGAATCAGTATGTTCACCCTCCAGTACTCTAATCCCAATATGTTCCGTCGCCTATAAATCCGGTACATTGGCAAGCGACCTTCTGCCCGAGATACCGATACCAGTGAAACAGCAACGATGAAGACCAGAGCTCCTAAGAATGGGTTCGGTCCCTTCCTTTCGTGATGGGCAGAATTGATGATATTCTCTCCGGGATATGGAGAAGTGCATTCAGAAGTGCATGAAGAGTGTGGAGATGACAACAATCTGGCAGCCGTTCATTGTGCTGTGAAACTGGAGAAGCCCTTTGTCGAGTCCAACATCAGCTATAATGAGATTGGTACGAAGTAACTGGGCGCTCCAACAGCTTTTCCACATGAGATAGAGTCATTGGTGATTTGGACTTATGAACCAATTTGTCCAAGACAATATAATCCCCCCAGAAAATATCGAACAAGCGCTCGAGAAACCGGAGGCGGATATTGAGGCCCGTCTTCATCCTCCACCGCACACCTGCCTGTTCGACGAGAAGTTATATAGTTTCCATCATACGAACCATTGTATGTTTGTTATGACATAGAAGAACTTATAATTTTGTCTATGCACGCGGGTGAATAGTAGTCAAGGCGGGAGGTTTCGTTTCCCAGTTTGTTGTTACAGAGGGATACTATGATCCAGGGATATATGTTTTTGTCTCAACGATGGACGGAGTAGACAGATTTGAATCACCAACGTTCCCATTAGGAAGTATTTACCGAGGTTGTAGTCCTATTTCATGCCAGTAATTAGAATGAAAGGGAGAAAAAGGATTTTATTGTGCTGCTGTAGTTAAGAATTAGGGTTGAGGAAGACGGTGGCTTTTATAATACGGTGGAGCTGGGCTCTTGCATACGCCGCTATGATGCAAAGGTGCTGACCAATCCGTAACAAGACGGGCTTGTGGTTTAGGGGTATGACGCTCCATTCGCATTGGAGAGGTCCCGGGTTCGATTCCCGGCGAGTCCATCTTTTTGTTTTTCTTTTTCCCGTCACCCTCTCTTCTCTCTCTCTCTCTAGTCGACTCTCCGGTCATTGCTGATGTCCCTCTGTCATCAACAACTGAATCGACCACTTTTTACTCCGTCCGCAATCTACCCGCCTAATGCCCCAACTCACCGGCAGACTGTCCTTGACCCCTGTCATGGTTGACGCGCGTGTGTTGGCAGCCCTCAAGTTTGCTGCTGCGCCAGTGCACTCAGCTCTCTACACATGTACCAACCCGTCAATAGTCTCCTCCCTGACATGTCTCACTCTCTGGAACCCCCAAGACCGTAGACACACCAGCAGGCAACCGAGTTCTTCTCCCCCGCCAAGCAGAGGCCCGATCCTCTGCCCCGTCCCGGCCTGTCGCCATTGGCCTCTCACAGCAACCGATGGGGCCTCAGCCTTAAGGGCGCCGCTCCATCTGCTTGGCGCCATGCCACATTTCAGGGTCTCCTCTGCTTATATTTCGTCCTTAAGGCGCCACTATCACAAGTCCTGCCCCCTCGACGGCTCTTGGCGCCATGAACAGCATTACCAGACAGACCCATGATCTTGGCGCCCCGATCAGTCGCCGCTGAATGTCCCCCGAAGCGCCCACGGTGTCACCACGTCGACTCGGTGTCAGCGGTGTCTCCGTGCCCCAACCCATGCACCCCCCAGCATCCTCTCTCAGTCTCCCTGCACTGGGATCTGCCTGCTCATCCGACTATTGATTTGATTCACAGCAATCTCCCCCATGCCCAATCGTGACCTCCCGGTGGAGCGCATCCCAGCAAAATCTGCAGGGCCAAGAAGCCTAGCGCCGCAACAGGGCTGAATCCGGTGCTCGTCTGCTCATTGGTCAATCCATCAGCCTGAATGCCCTGAGCTGGATGTCGGACGGGGTATAAGACAGCCCCAGGCCCCGCGACTCCTGACTAGTGATCGGTCAGTGACCCAATCCACCCGAATAAAAACAATGTCGTACCAACAACAACCACCTCCCCAGGGATAGTACGTACTTCACACAAACTCTGCCTCTCCACCACTGACTGATCAGCTACCCTCCCCCAGGAGGCCAATACCCGCCCCCGGAAGGCCAATACCCACCCGCCGGTGGCCAGTACCCCCCTCCCCAGCAGATGCAGTACGCCAACGCTCCGCCGCAGCAAGAACCGTCCAAGGACCGCGGATGTCTGACCACCTGTCTCCTCACCATGTGCTGCTGCTTTCTGTGCGAGGAATGGTGCGAATGCTGCTTCGAAGCGGCCGAATGTTGTTGTTGTGGCTGTTAGGCCGATAGTCTTGCCCCGTGCTTTGTGTTATGGTGCTGTTTTGTATATACCTGGATTGTCGCTCGCTGCATTTATCTCATTACTGTCAATACCTCCCTGTTAAAGAACGATCTTATACAACGCAACACTCCTGCTCGATTTCATCTGTCTGCTAACTACAGGTACGGGTGGCATTCGTTGACGAACACCTCTCGTGGCCGGCTTAAGGAACTCGCGCCCCGTTTCAGGAATTTCGCCGTCGGCTTTGCTGCCCACCACGCCGCCTGCATCTCGGTTCTATACCACCTGTCCGCGGAGGATCGTGTACCGCGGCCAATTGGTGAACTCCATTCCCTCGAACGGGGTATAATCGATGTCGTGGTGCAGCATTGTGTGAGACAGTCGGAACGGTGCCATGTTCGATGGCCTGTTCGAGCGTGGGATACCAGATCGTCAGATCGGCGTCGAAACCTGGCTGGATTGTGCCCTTGGTGCTGCCCAGCCCGTACAGCTTGGCTGGGTTCGAGCTCGTCAGTTCAACGAACTTCTGGATCGAGATACGCCTCGACAGCACCCCTCCGCAGAACATCGTCGGCAGCCGCGTCTCCAGCCCCGGCAGTCCGTTGGGGATCTGCGTGAAAGTGAATGTCCCCTTCTTCTTGCCGAGCGGGTGGTCGAGCCTGGCGCGGTTAGTTCTGTAAAGTCTCTTGATGTGTGGTTGGCTCACTTGGACGGCGCATGGTCGCTGCTGACGGTGGTGAAGGTGCCGTTGGCCAGACCCGCCCACATCGCTTCCAGGTCCATCGGGTCTTCGCTCGTGAAGAACAGATAATGGGGACAGGTCTCCGCATGCACCGGAAGCAGCCGCGTCTGGGCCTTCCGGACATGTCCTGCCGCCAGCTTCGAGAACCCCCCGCTAATAAGGCCTGCTCTGCTGTTATCATCAACCCCTCAGTTCTGTCGATCGGCCGACTGATATCAGCGAACCCGATAATGACGGAAAAATATCTGACAACAGGCACTGACTCAGCCCCCCGTATATCTTGAGCAGCGGCGAATGGATCCTGATCTGGACAAAGGAGTGAATCTTGATCCAGACAGACGAATCGATCCCGACCTCAACACACCCCTCCATCCTGCATGTCTCGCACCGTCCGGCTCGCCGCCGCCCAGATGGGCACCGCCAACAACTGGGACGACTGCGAGAAGACCCTGCAGCGGATGATCGTGCTGCAGGGCGTCGACATCGTCGCCGGCGGCTTCAACACCAATGGATACGCGCCACAGTTCTGGGGCCGGTCCCCGAGGGCCGCATCATCGCGGAAAGCAAAACCCCCGCCGACGAGCTCGTCCTCGCCGACAGCGACCTCTCTCTCTGCCATACCGGGCGGACCCGCACCTTGGACTTCACCCGCCTCCGCCGCATCGAGCACTACGGCCGTATCACCAGCCAGACCGGCGTAATCGAACCATCACTAACCCTAATCTCCCTCCCCCTCCCCCAATCCTATCCCTACCCCCTCCATCACAACCTCCTGCCTCGAAACAATAACACCCACCCTCCCCCCAGACACAACCATCACACCCCTCCCCCGCCGCCATCCTCTCCACCAGCACCGCGCTCCCCGCCCTCCGCCCCCTCATCAGTCACCACGACGCCCTGCTCGTCGCCTGCTTCAGCCACCACCCGCTCATCCGCGCCCTGCGCGAAGAACACACCCTCCCGGTGATCGGAATCATGGAGGCGAGTCTCTTCGCCGGGCGCACCCCGAAAGGGGAATCAGCGAAGACAGACTCCAGTTGTAACAAGACCAATCCGTTAGACCTGATCCAATCCATGACATCCAAGCCCCAACGTAACATCACCGACTATCAGGGAACCAAACACCAGAAGCGTGATTGAAGCCGTGCTTTATTTTTGACTCTGACCATATTCTCATATCCTTATCATACTTCATGACCTCATACACCATCATCCAATTAATCCCACCCAATCCAACCAACCCTCATTGTCCATCATATCTCCCACAACCACCTCTAGTAGTGGCACTGTCCGTGAACATCACGAGGAGTCGAAGTCCCGTTGATCGTCAACTGTTATCCCCGCTGTCAGCGCATTTATCCATGTAGAACCCGGTACGAACACTATCCGACAAGATCCCACCACATTCCACACCATAAAGACAGAAAAAAAAAAGAAAGACAAAAACTTCAAACTCACCGTCCAAGCAGCATGCTTCTTACACCAAACGGCCGTCAGCCCGTCCTCGCAGGATTCGCGATCCTCGGGGCCCCAGGCGGGGGGGAACGCGGTTTTGCCTGCATCCATGGAGATCAGTATATATATACCTTCACACAGACCTCACAGATAAATGGGAGGGAGGGAGGGAAGGAGGGAGGGATGGAAAGAAGGAAAGAAAAGACTGACATTCACCCGCAACAACCTCACCCAGATCCCAGGCCCCACCACCAGCCCCCTCAAAGGCACTGGTCACCTGGTGCACGACATCATCCGTCGCTTCGGAGAGGTAGTCGTGGGTTTCGCAGCAGAGAGGCAGACCGTCGCTGTAGTCGAGCACCACGTTGACGTCTTGGGATGACACGGCGGCGGCGAGGAAGAGGAGGGCGGGGAGGATGAACTTCATTGTGCCTTTTTGTTTTGTTTCTTTGTTTTTTTTGGTACTGGATGAGACGTCTTGTCTTCTGGGGAGTGGAGCGTGGGTGGGTAGCACAGAGTACTAGGACTGTTGAGGGAGAATGAGGATGGGATGGGATGGGGGGTGGGTGGCGAGAAGGCTATTTATATTCTATTGAGGTATTGTCCGATCACCACGGTATTTGTGGAAAAGCAATTGGAAAGTAGAGAAGAGAAGAGAATAGCACAGCTACTCTAGATCCATCCCCACCCTCGCGTCATACAGCAGGATGGAGTACCTTTGATTTGCTGTCCTGAGACAAGAGCGCTGCCAGATGGATGTCCGTCCCTTGCATGGAGTGAACTGACCTGAACCGAACTGACCGAGGTGCCGTTGATCGACAGGTCTTCGGCCGTGAAGATCGAAAAACAAGGGTGAGATTATCATTGCTATTATTATTGTCTTCACACCCTCACTTGTACATATTCGTCTATGCAGAGTTCGCTGTTGTTTCGGATCGTACTCCGATAGTGGCTGGCTGATGGATAGATAGTTAGACAGCGGAGAGTAGGTAAGCGGTTCTTCTGAGACAGCAGCATTCCAAGCTACCGAGTCGGGCTGAGACATCCGGCGGTGAGTCGCAAGCAAGAGGAATTGACTTGGGGGAGCTAGATACTTGTTCGGAGGTGGCAGTGCTGCAGGTAGGTAGGTAGGTAGTAGGTAGCAGGTTTGGTGCATGCGAGGGCAGGAGCTAGAGCAGGTCCCAGCTGTGGTTTTCCAGTTTACGGTCTACAGGATCGGCGGATTGCAGCAGCTGTCTAGAGTAGCTGTCAGGGGGAGGGGAAGGGGCACGGTTGACCAAAGGGGGTTCCGCCATGGCTGGCTCTGGCCAGACCAGAGCAAATTCCATTTTAATCAAACACGCTCGCTGTAATCTGGCAGCCTGGTGGATCAACTCTACTTCAGATTGGGACCATCTGTCTGATAACTTAGCATGAGAATGCTTCATCATCAAACCTTCCCCTTCTCATCACCCTCACCCTCACCCTTCGGCACAACATCCACCACCCCCTCCACCCCCTCCACTCGATCCGGATCATACTCATCCCAGTAATCCTCCGGCTCCTTCCACTCCCTCGTCACCTCCACACCCTCCATCGGCCAGATCAAACACGCCAGATAATACACCCCAAACGCAACCAACAACCCAACCGGATACGCAACGAAATAGAACCTCCTAATCCCCAGCGGTGCCGCCACGCCCATCTGGTTCAGGAAACCATAAAAGTTCGGCGCGATGGCCACGAGATACGCGCAGAAGCCGCGCAGGTTGAACCCGTGGAAGAAGTAGTAGATTCCGCTCGCATTTGCCGTGTACAGCTGCGGGATGTGGAGAAGTCCCCGTCGGAGGACGTAGTAGTCGCAGAGCAGGATGCCGGCGATGGCGGAGAGGAAGATCTGGTACGAGGAGAGGAAGGTGATGAAGACGGCGGCTGTCGCGAGGAGGTACCAGGGGCAGATGGCGTAGGAGAGGACTGGGTGGTTTTATGAGGTTAGTATGTATCTGTGCAGGGGGGCGCAGGGGGGGGGGGGGGGGGTTAAAGTACCGGCGCATATGAAAAAGCCTCGTTTGACGGTGATGTAGCGGGGTAGCAGAGCTGCGATGTCGTTTCCGGCCCTGGAGATACTTATATTTAGAAATGTTTGCGGGAATAGGGGGAAGGAAACATACGGGATGGAGTTCTCGAAGATGGCCGAGAAGACGGTCGAGTAGACAAAGGCCAGCGAGATGAATGCACACGCGGCCCGATTGCCAGGTGTGTATCTCTCACCCTCCATCAGCTTGTCGAGGAAGTTGAGCGGGTTCCAAATCAACTGTCGACGGTAGTTAGCACGGTGCGCATGCACAACTGCATGTATTCCTTCCGTCGTCAACTGCAAAACAGAACGTACCTCTCCGAAGACAGTCTCACTGCTCGCTGCAATGACATTGCCAATCACCGCCACCAGCAGCCCAGACACGGGGAAACTGAGGATCTGGCCGAGAATCACATCGCTCGGCTGGCGGGCGTACCGCTGCAGATCGGCCGCGTTGGAGATGAAGGTGCCGCAGCTGGCCAGGCCCAGAAACAGGAATTTACAGATCAACCAGCTTTTCGCCTCGCCGTGCACCTTCGACGGCGCACCCAGAGAGGAGGGCGATCCACCGGCCAGGGAAACCACCCAGCCCAGCATCGCGAATGCACCGCCGTAGTATACGAAGACTTTGATGTACACCAGCGATTTCATCTTGGGGACGGGGACGATCAGAAACGCGCAGTTGATGAGCCTGTCCGGGTCAGTGGACATCTGGGATTCCCTCCGGACGGCCCTTACCAATACACGAAGAAACATATCATCTGCGCCGAGGTCAAGGCGGACTTGGATCCCATATGATCGGGGATTCTCGCGATGGAGGGAAATATCGCGTGGAGGAAGACACTACGACGATCAGTAATCCTCCTGACGGGCGGTGATCGGACGTACTAGAGACACTGCCCCCCCTGGACCATATTCACCCCGTTCCAGACGATGCTCATGGCCGCCCGGTTAAAGGTCGGCCAGAGAGCCCCCCAGGGACCGAAGCTCGCACGACACAAGACCGGGAAGGGGATGCGATACATGGCGCCCGCGCGGCCATTGAACGCCATCAGGCAGCCCGCCATGAATTGGCCGCCGAAGGTGCAGCCCACGCACTCCCACATACTCAGGCCCATGGTGAGGCCGGTGGAGGAGGCGTACAGATTGCTGACGTTGGCGGTGGCCGAGAACCAGAACAGGATGTAGGTTAGATGGGTCCAGGTGCGGTCCTTCGCGGGGGTCGGTCGGATGGAATCGTTGTCCAGGAACTCCACGGGCCGGACATTCTGATGCTGGTCCACGCTCTTCACCAGGAGATACTCGTGCAGGGAGGTGAGGAGGGACATTTCAGGGGGGTTGTGCGATGGAGGGGGTTGTTTTGCAGACTCCCGGGGATGGCGCCGGGCCTTTTGTACGAGGAGGAGACGATGATAAGGGGCGAACTGGCAGCCCTAATTGGGGGGGAGGCATCACCCGCCAAGGGAGGGTTATCAGCCAGATGCTGATAGTTGCACGGCACTAGCTGCGGGGATCTCCGGCCGCATAGATAGATAGATAGATAGTTAGTTAGATAGATAGTTAGATAGATAGATAGATATCTATCGCATCGCCCCTCCGTCTCCCGTCAGTTCCCTTCTTTCTCACTTTCATCTCCCACCATGGAACCCCAATACACCCACGTCGAGCTGCTGACTCTGAACGGGCCGGAGTACCGCAGGGTCTCGACTGCCCCTCCGCGTCCCCCGACCGACGAGGAGATCCCTATCGTCGATCTCGCCCCCATCGACGGCGACCCAGCAGCGCGGGCACAGCTGGCTCATCAAGTCCGAGCAGCGGCGCAGACGACAGGCTTCTTCTATATCAAGAATCACGGGATTCCGCCAGAACTGATCGAAAGCGCCCTTTCCCAGGCCAAGGCCTTTTTCCATCAACCCGAGGAACTGAAAGACGACAAGGTCTCCAAGTTGAAGCTCATGCACATGGACGGATACCACGCGGTCGGAACGACACAGGTGAACAAGACGGAAACGAAAGGTCGGTTAAGAGCATAACTGCAGCCGCAAAGTGAAAGAGCTTCACCCAGGGTCTTTCGGCGGTCGCCAGCAGCACCCATCACTAATCGTGGGACAGACCGCAAAGAAACCTTTACCCTGCGATACAACGCTCGCAACGACCCAACCCAAGCCAGGGACAGCGCCTTGGCCTGGGACGATTCCCCCCTGTGGGCAGGCACCGCCCATCTGCCTCACTTCCGCGACACGACCATCGCATTCTGGCAAGCCAGGCTAGCACTCGCCAGAAAAATGGTGCAGATCTTCGCTCTGGCTCTAGACCTCCCGGAGACCTACTTCGACGAGGTCGTGACGCATCCCGGCTCCGACGGTCTGTACGTGCACTACCCGGGCACGCCCACCGCAGACCATCTGGCCAAAGACGCCGTCGACATCGACGTTGGAATCGGCTCGCATACCGACATCCAATGCTTCACGCTCCTCTGGCAGGATATGTCCGGCGGGCTGCAGGTGCTTTCCGCGGCGGACGAATGGCTGGACGCGCGCCCCATCCCAGGCACGCTGGTCGTCAACATCGGGGATTTCCTGCAGCGGCTGTCGAACAATCGGTTCCGGTCGACCGTGCACCGCGTGTACAATCGGCAGACGACGTCTCGGTACTCGATGCCGTTTTTCTTGGGGTTCAATCCCGAGTCCGTGTGTCGGGTGCTGCCGTCTTGCGTGGATGAGGAGCATCCGGCGCTGTATGAGCCGATTTCGTGTGGGGAGGTATGTATATACATATGATTGCTCGAGTGAAGTGACTGGGACTGGGAATGCTGACGGCTGTAGTGGCATCGGAATCGACTGGCGTTGGCTCACGGGAAAGTGTTGCAGAAAGGTGCTGCAGCGTGAGGGACTGGGATTGGATTTTGGACTGGGTTGATTGGGTTTAGAATCGTGGCTTAGAATCTAAACATCCTTTTACTTATGCTGTAGAGAGTCACAGTATCTCACAACGTGTCTTGACTCTTGACGGAATCAAACTCGACAGTGGGTGGAGTCGACCATTCCTGGCTTATTGGCCTTTCCTGTTGGGGATGTTTACCGAAATAATCTGTAGCGTGTTAAACCCAAGCCTGTTTCACTCTCAAAATACACCCCCAGTCCATCTCTCTCCACCACAAAGCCCCTCGGCCCCAAACTGAAAACAACATAGCCTACCCCACACAAAAACCTTCATCTACAAAACAGACCCCTCAGATGTTGTGGCTTGAGGAGGACTGGGAATTGTGTTTGATATTGCGGAAATAAATTTGATCAAATGCTTGATAAGAGTTCGTTAATGCATGAGAAATAACTATCATGGATTCTTCTGGGAGGACTGTCAGGATCCGACACCAGCAGCTCGGCTCACTTCCCTGCCTCGAAGATGATCTTCTGCGATCGCATGTGGTTGAAGTCATCGTACCTGGGGATTATTAGCGTCATCCGACAACTTCCAGGTCGAATACTCACGCCTGAACTGCCTGCGACAACGGCCGCACGTCCTTCACCATGAAACTGCATCTGTTAGTACGACATACGTCTCGGCCATTGGGGCACTCACTCCATAACATCTTGCTTGTCAACCAGCATATTCAGGGCGTCCTGGAAAACGCCTAACCCAGCATCAGCAATCTACAGCCAATCCCATGAACACCACGACAAATGAAACAGCAGAGTCGAGAAAACCAAGCAAACCACCAAAACAGAAAGAAAAAGAAAAGAAAAGAAAGACCGAACTTACTCTTCACCGGACACCTCCCCATCTGAATGGACAAATTCTTCGCATAGGCCTCATTCCCCGTCCAGGGAATCTCGCCATTATGCACGCCCACACTAAAGATCTTGCCCCAGGGCCGGATCATCTCAAACGCCATCCTGAGGGCACTGCTATGGCCCACGACCTCCACGGCCACATCGGCGCCCCTCCCATCCGTCACCTCCTTCACCCTCTCCCTCAACTCCTCTCCCTGCGTCTGAAAATTCCACACCTCCGCCCCGAGCTTCCTCGCACACTCCAACCTCTCCCCCACACTATCCACCGCAATGACTCGTCCCGGGTGCATCTCCAACGCACTCACGACGGCGCAAATCCCCACAGGCCCACACCCAAACACCAGCACCGTCGCATCTGTCACCTCCCTCGTCGTGAGTCCCGCAAACCCACTCACCCCGGCAAAATACCCCGTCGGGAAGATATCCGCCATCAGCACGAGCTTCTTCTCGTCTATCAGCTCGGGGGCATGCTCGAGGGTGGTGTCTGCGAGGGGCACGCGGACGTATTCGGCTTGTGCGCCGTCGAGGACGGCAGACCCGTAGAGGAGGCATTTCGTGCACCGCGAGGTGTGCCCCCGGCGGCAGTAGAAGCAGTCGCCGCAGGTGGTGGTGAAGGGGGACACGACCATGTCGCCGGGTTGGAAGTTTTTGATCGCGCTGCCGATGGACTGGATGGTACCGGTGAATTCGTGGCCCATGATGAAGCCGGTCGCGGAGGGTTGGTGGCCGCGGTAGACGTGGAGTTCACTTTATTTATTTATTTATTTATTTATTTTCAGAAAGAATGGAATGGTAAACTAGTAAGATAGAGGGAGAGGGGGAGATTTGAGCGAGGAATGAGGGGGGGGGGGGAAGGGGAGGGGGGATGATACCTTCCACATAGTGCGGTGTATCGCACCTTGACGATGGCGTCGGTCGGGGCTTGGAGTTCGGGGATGGGGCGCTCTTCCAGGGCGACTTGGAGGGGGCCTTTGAAGACGACGGCCTGCATGTTGATGGCTAAGCTTGTGGGGTGGGGATGAGGGGGGATAAGAGTATGGAGAGAGAGAGCGAGGGATGCGATGGAAGAGCGAGGAGGGAAGTTGAAGGGAAGCCTGGGAGGTGCCACACCCCCGCCTTTGGGTCTGCCGAGGTTGGGAGGAGGGGTTGGGGGGTTGCATACTACTATACTACCTAGTGGAAGCCCGGTGGTGCTACATGGGTGGGATTGTAAATAAGGGGGTGCCTTGGAAAAACTTACTCCAAAAGTATGAATGATATATACTTATCCGATGCCCTTCCATCTCTTACTTGATCTCTGCAGCAAGTTTGTCTCCGCTGTCCATGGACCCCGCCCCCCTTTTTCTCCCAAAAAAAAAATTAAAAAAAAAAAAAAAAACAACCCTGTCATCTAACCTCCAACAGCCACAGGTAGCGGTAGCGAGGATAGCGGAGACAGCCGAGTGGCTCAGTTCCAGACCGGCTATGGGCTATGGGCCCAGGACCGAGTCCACAGCAAACAGGGATAACCTGGGGCTCTGGGACCCTCAGCAGACAGACAGCAGACAGACAGCAGACAGACAGCAGACAGACAGCAGACAGTCTGACACACAGAAACTATATCAGCGACAAGTAAGATTAGCAAACGCCCATGCAGGTCGCGGATAGAGTGAGGCGGATGGGGCGCGGGTGGGGGATCTCATCGATCGAAATGCCCTTGCGTGGCACGGCACGGCTCGCCACGGTCTGGACCGTCTGCCCAGAATTCCGGACTGCCAGAAACATGAATGATGAATATCCATCTTAATACAATATCATACCATACCTACGCGAGTACCTAGGCGCTGGTTCAGATAAGATCGCGTGGACGTCTGTCTGTCTAATATGATATCATTCATTTATGTATGGAGGTTTAAGTCTAGGGCATGTCACCAACGAAGATGAGGATTCTTATTTACACTTTAGGGTTCTCGGCCGCTTTGTACCATTTCTGCTTGGATTTGGCGGACCAGATCTTCGTCTCGAAGGTCTGCTCGGGGGCGAACGGCGACGTGAACCCCGGTAATGTGCCCGCGTAGCTGGGCGAGATGTGATGACCCCCCGTGAAGGGGAGATCCGTCGAGCTGCCTGTGTCGGCGGAGGAAATGATCCGGATGAGATCGATGCTGGCGCTGCGTTCTCGGCCGCCGGAGCTGGAGGACGCCTGGGACCTCCCTGATGAGGTGGGCCGGGACTGGCTCCCGCTGGCCCCGGGCATTAGACAGCGTGGGTGCAGCGATCGGTCTTGGGCCAGCGACGAGGCGTCGCTGTTCGAGCGCGTGTCTGTTAAGGAGGCCCCGTCGGTGCTGGATGCGTTGGCGGTGTTCGGGCGGCTGTCTGGGTTGGGGCTGGGGCGCTCGGATCGGGGGTCTGGGATGGAGGGCGTGCCGGTGTTGGGTCGGCTGTCGGCGGGTCGTATGGATTTCTCCGTGCCGGTGTTGGGTCTTTCGCTGATGGATTTGGCGGATTTCGTGGACCTGGTGTATGTCGAGGCCGTGCCCATGCTGGGGCGACGGCTGTCGGGGATATATCGGTCTGCTGGGGCGGAGCTGGGCCAGCTGTCCTGCATGGGCTTGTACGGACGGCTGTCGGGGATGTATTTGATGTCGGTGGGGGGTGGGAGGTTGGGGAGAGGCTTGTCGTCGCATGTGCTGGTGGGTCTGATGCCCGGGATAGACCTGGCTTCTATCGACGCCGTGTCTGGTCGATCTGTGATGGGCCTGGTATCCGTTGAGGCCGTGTCGGCGTCTGATCTCATCTCCCCCGTCCATCTGCCATCCGACTCGGTGGCCTCCATATGTGGGCAGCCGTATGACTGGGCCCCCGTGCCTGTGTCCGCCTTGGGGCCAGTCTCGAACTCCTCGCCCTCGCGGGTATAGCACCGCGAGATCAGGTCGTTCTGGATGCAGAGAATCTTGTTAAGGGTGCGGATCAGCGCGAACTTGTACGTGATCGACATGTCCGGCTGGAGGGAGATGGTCTCGATGGCGAGTTGGTTGACGAACCCCAGACACGTGTTCATGTGCATGTATTCGATCTTCAGCGGATGCATCAAAACCTTGCCGGTATGCATTTCCCTAGTATCCCCGTCAGTGTCGGTCCAATTCGATGTTAGTGTAGCAGCACGACACGCACCCCACCTTGGCCAGATATTCCCAGTACTCGATCTCACTGGGGTCAGAGAACAGCCGCGTCAGATACCACTTCCAGAAGATCTTCCGCCGCTGCACATGCGGGCTGTCCAGGGTAAACAGGTCCTCCACCTCGCCCTCGGAGGTCGTGGTCCGCGTCCGCAACGCGCGGGCTGTGATGTCGAAGTCAAGCATCTTGGCGTACAGACGATGCGTGAGGTCGGGGAGGGCCGCCTTGAGGTATTTCGCGCCCTTGTTGAAGATAATCACGTCATCTGACGAGGTCAGCGAGGTCCATCCCCCCTCCCGGGTTCATCTTCATCTCACTCACCCTCGGTGAAGTTAAGAAAGGCCTGTAAAAACTCGATGCGTTTCCCAAAGTCCGTGTACAGATCCTTCCGCTCCGCCTTTCGGATATCGTAGGTCTTCGCTCGGTGCGGCATGATGGGTGACGACAGTTGAGACGTTCAGTGTCAACAGTAGACCAGTAGGCTGGCAGGCTGCAGTCTCGCCGCAGCGTGGCCGGCGAGGTTCGGGCGGATTATATCTGGCAGCCCCTGGAAGGATTTTAGGCCCACACGCGACTACCCTGCGCCGTAGCGATGGGTGCCCTAGCAGAGCGTAGCTGCGGCTGAGGGGCGCGGATGGGGACACCGTCCGCCTGACGTTGTCGACTGGCGACCCCCTGCCGTGTCGGCGAGCCCATCGTACCCGCCGCGTGGGGAACACCGCCGCAGAGACTTCGTGCTGATCTGGAAGTGGTGGAGACTCAGGATAGGATCTCGGGCAGGCCGGAGGCGATTGTCCGAGGCGGTTCGTCCAGCACCAATGATGCGCCGGCCGATGGATTAGGATTAATTAAGCCAACGACGCGCCCCCACCTTCGCCGTGGGTGGGACTGGCCAGACTCCAGTGTTCAGCTGCGCCGCGGAATCCCTGGGTTCGCAGGTTCGCAGGACACACGAGCAGCCTGGAGGGGATCATCGGAGCCGTCGGATATTTCTCTGATTTCCTGTGCGTCATGATTCGTGGGGGGGGGAGGTGTTGGAGTCGCCGGTCTGTGCTGGTTTGTTGGAGCCCCTGGGGCAAACTGTCATCGTCTCTTGGCACGGGTCCGTTTCATCTCGTCTGTCGCCTGTCGTCTCACGTCAACATCGTGTCATCGTGCCCCGTCGACAGGGGGTAACCAGGCTGACTGGCTTCAGCTGGGGGATCTCGAGCCGAGGACCGGATGATCTGTCACCTATGATGGGTGGATGTCTCGCGCGTTCGAGATCGAGGTCAGGATGATCAGGCACCGCAGACAGGGATGGGGCGAGATGGGCCAAGGCAGCATGATCATGCCACCGGGTGGTTCAGTCTTCCATAATCCATTGTTGTTCTCTTGACTAGTACTAGCATTCTTAGCACCCTTAGCCTTCTAGGGCTCTATCCTGCGATCCCACTAGGCCCGTTCAGGCAGTCACGGAGGGTGGACGTGGTCGGGCGTGGCCAATCGGCGTGACGGTTTAAGATTGGCCTGAATCAGGCTGCGGAACAATTACCCGACCGCGGGTGTGAACTGGCAGCAACAGAGACGGTGTCAGTGCCGGGTACTGTACACTGAGTACTACTCACTCCGTAGAAGGGAGGGTGCGAGTGCGAGTGCGTGTCCAGTGATCCCTGTCCCAACGCGACTCGCTCGCTTGGGACATGGTTCGCACCGTCGGGGATGGCAATTTCCCCATAGGCGGCTAAGGCCGGCCTAATGTACACCATCACACCATCCCTGCGCCGCAGCCGGGAGATGAAATGAGGGCAAGCAAACCCAAGCGTCCATAGTAGTATCTAGTCCCATCTGCCGGCTGTCAGGTATGTCAGGTACCTATCTACCATTCAGGCCTCAGGGGAACAATGGCATTCGGAAAGTGCCGTGCGTCCGTTCCGGACACCTGACACGGACACGGACTCCGCTCCATCTCGCTGACGCTCTAGAGCGGCCGAGCCAGGGCCGGCCTGCGACCGTGCCAGTTAAGACTTTGGCTGTCAATTGATATCTAACCATCTATCCCAGATTGGAAATCACCTGGAGATTAATCCATCCTCGTACTTGCTTTCTTTGCCTGATCCCGTGAGGGTCACAAACTAGAGGGAGATCATGTGCCTCACGTGACCGGAGGCGAGCCTCGGCCCCGAGGGAGTTGCGATGCGGGGAAGGGAAGGAGGGCCGATGATCCCCGACTGGTCGCATTTCTCGTCCACCTCCTGATCTCATCGCCTTCTCCATCTCCTTCTCCATCTCCTCTCACTCACTCACTCACTCACGCGCCGGTCGCATTCCTCCTCCACCACCACCACCACCACCATGTCCCAACCCCCCACCAACCCGATCCCGTTCTCCGAACCGCCCTACCTCTGCGGCCTCCCCTCACCATACTACACCGCCAGCCACCGACGATTCCAAAAAGCCTGTCGCGACTTCATGTGGGAGCATCTGCTCCGCCACGCCCTGGAATACGAGAGGGCCGGGGAGGTGCCAGAGCATGTGTACACGACGTTCTGCAAACATAACATGCTGCTCCCGAACATGGGGGCGCCGTTGCCGGTGGAATGGCTGCACCGACTCGGGATATATGATATCCTGGGGGTGAAAGTGGAGGAGTGGGATTATATGTATTCGGGGATATATTTTGATGAGGTATTTCATCTCAATTTACACAGTCAACCTCTCATCCATCCATCCATCCATCCACGTTTATCCAAGATCCAATTTCTATTGTCCGATATGCAACATCCAGAATCGCTAACAGACTGTCTGCAACAACAGCTCGCTCGCTCCGGCCTCGCCGGCCCCGGATCCTCGCTAAACGCAGGCTTCACGTTCGCCATCCCGCCGATCCTCAAGTACGCCAGTCCCGAATTCCAAGAGCGGTTTCTCCCCGAGCTCCTCACGGGGCAGAAGCGGTGCTGCATCGCCATCACGGAGCCGGAGGCCGGCAGCGACGTGGCCAACATCACCACGACGGCGACCAAGACTGCCGATGGGAAATATTATATCGTGAATGGGACGAAGAAATGGTACCCTCCCTCCTCATTTCCCCGTCGCTTATCCCATCCACCGTCTTCTGAAAGAATGGAAATTGAATAATGAAGAGAGGACACGCAACAGGTGGAACGAAGAGAACTACAGAAGGGACAAGATAATAATGGCAGTAATAAAACAGGATAACAAACGGCATCTGGTCCTCCTACGCCACCATGGCCGTGCGCACCGGCCCCCCGGGCGCCGCCGGCCTCTCCGTCCTGCTGGTCCCCCTCCAAAACCAACCCGGGGTAAGCATGCGCCGCCTGCACGTAAGCGGCCAACTCACCAGCGGCACCACATACATAACCCTCGAGGACGTCCACGTGCCGGTAACCAACCTGATCGGGCCCGAAAACCACGGAATGCAAATCATCATGAAGAACTTCAACCACGAGCGCCTCTCGATCGCGGTCGGGGTAACCCGATCCGCGCGGGTGGCCCTCTCAACCGCATTCGCCTACTGTCTCCGGCGGGAAGCGTTCGGGAAGGCCCTGATGGAGCAGGCAGTCGTCAGGCATCGTCTTGCGAAAGCGGGGGCGGAGCTGGAGACCATGTGGGCATTTCTGGAGCAGCTGCTATACCAGCTTTGCCATTTGGAGAAGGAGGAGGCGGATCGGAGACTTGGGGCGTGACGGCCTTGGCGAAGGCGAAGGCGGGGATGGTGTTGAATGAGTGTGCGCAGTGCGCGGTGTTGTTGTTTGGGGGGGCGGGGTTTACGCGCTCCGGGCAGGGCGAGTTGGTTGAGGCCATCCTGAGGGAGGTGCCCGGGGCGAGGATCCCTGGCGGGAGTGAGGATGTCTTGTTGGATCTGGCGGTGAGGCAGTTGGTGAAGATTTATACCAGGGGGGAGGGGGAGAAGGCGAGGATGTAGAGATTCTTTTCGAGATCTCGGGGTTTGGCTAGCTTACTGTGATTTAAAGGGAGGGCTTCCAGTTTACAAGGTAATTGTGGGTCTGGTTTGTGGATTAATTTGGAGTTACAGGTATGGTGCTCAGATGCAGCTTCATGTATATCGCGTGTTTCGGAGCTTATGACAGAGGTTCATTTATACTGAAGTTTGGTGGATTGGACTGCTGTATCACTTGTGCAAGCTAGCTGGGGTAGTGTTAGATGGTGGTTAATCGAGGTCACGAGTCTCCTTAGGTACGTCTACATATCGCTACACCAGTATCGAGCTCACAAGTTGCCTAGATCTTCGCACTCCCAGCCTTCCTCCGCAGCCGATCATGGCTCTGCGCAAAGGTATCATTCGTAAACGCCGCAATGGTACTAACATCCAAGGCGAGCGCAAACGCGACCACCAGCCCAGCCAGCCGTCTCTTCTTCCCGCGCCCATTGCACTTCAAGATCTCGAGACCCTCCCGCTGGGAGTCCAGATGCGTGCCCCCACCCACCGTCCCCACTGGAAGAGACGGCACATACAACGACAGCGTCAGCACCTTCGTCTCGAAGTCATACTCCGGCGTGAGCTGATTCCAACACGCCTCCGCCACACTCGCCACGTCCTGGCCAGTCGCGATGAACATCGCCGCCACGACGTTCATCGCATTCGCCCCATTGCCGTGGATCCCCGCCCGGATCCCCCCGTTTACCATGCCCGTGAAGGTCTGGTGCAGCTGTTCCGTCGAGCAGCCGAGTGTGGCGCGTGCGACTTCATTGGTGATCGATCCCCATGCCATTGCTTCTACCCCCCGCGGGTGGTTGACGGTGTTGGTCCAGCTGGATTTCTTGTCCGAGGAGAGGCTTCCTTCGAGGATGAAGGCTTGGATGTTGAGGGGTTTGGATCTGTCGGATGAGAGCAGCCAGTGGCATGCGCGGTGCGTGGCAATCGATACCATGTTTTGTCCCGCTGCGTCGCCGCTCGTGTAGTTGAAGTGGACGTGTGTGGTGGATCCGATTACCGTTGGGGTTAGGGATAGAAGTTGGAGATGTCGGCTGCTGGATTCGGCCACCTTGGTGAGCTCGCTCTGGAATGAGGGGACTTGTCGCGCGAAGGCCAGTGCCGAGGCCGGTGAGGTGAACTTGAATGCGGGTGTTCTGGTATCCTTTTAGTGTCCCACTTCTGTGAATGTTGTTTTTTTTTTTTTTTCCTCTGGGAGATTTTTATCGCTAGACGTACCTCGACATGCCATCACTCAAGGTTTCGAAATGAATTCCCCCGCATTGATTGAACGCCTTGCACCCGCGACTGCAGCTCGCCACTAGGGCTGCCTCCGTGGTGGCCAGCGGCGCGTACACATCCTCGCCCTCGCCCTCACCCTCACCCTCACCAGGTGCTCCGGACTCATGCACTCGCAACGGCCCAACCAGACCCACGGGCACCCGGGTGAAGCCGATGAAATTCTCGATGTGGATCTGCGACGGATCACTTTGATGGTCGGTGATGTGTTTCAGGTCCTTCATGACCTCGTTGAATTGGGACTTGGTTTTGTCGTGTCGCGAAGCCATGGCTGGGTAGGCAATGAGGGGCGCAGATGCGAGTATGGGGAATTTTGAGATAAGCGATGGGAGTGAGCTGGCTATATGTCTCTCGGCTCGAGTCGGTCAAGCTGTCCTGTACAATGCATGTTTGCCATGCAGCTGCGCGGGGGCGTCAATTGCGGTGCCGATCGTGCTGGGGTTATCGCTGTCTGATGCCCATTCCGGAGCCGAGATTAGACTCGGCCTCGTGTTGATAGGCCCATGGGGTGAGATGGCTGGCTGAGGCGTGGTTGCTGACGAATCGGATTGGCCGTGGCCGTGGCCGTGTTCGTCCGTGCGCATTTAGGGTACATGACATCATGGGACGCTTTTAGGATGCGGAACCATGGGTCTGGCAAACAAAGGAGATGGAGATGGAGATAAGGTTGCGGTATACGATGCGGACCGCCGCGGAGAGTCGAGTTGTCATTTTGCCGGAAAATGCATTTGACTTGGTGATTCGCGATTTCTGGTCTTGGGATCGGAGATGGGCGTCATACTCTTCGCTGACATGTGCAAACGGGCTAACCCAGTAATTCATGAAGGTATGGGCTGTCACTGTGGCAAAGTATATACTCCTTGCCCAGGCTTCGGGATAGGCTCTGACAAAGAAGCAAATGATACACTGGTTCAGTTGTCTCAGAGGTTCTGACAAATAGATACCTACCCAGGCGACAGGAGAAATCCCCTCCCAGGTGTTGAAGACCTGACACCGGATTATCGGATCACATGACCCACTCAGTTCCTGGAGATACAGTGTCGTAGGAAATCCCCAGACACGGCTGGGGTATTCTCTGACTCGAAGTCATCTTGCAATTGCATGTCAGCTTCTTCGGACAATGGCCAATCGAAAAATCTCGCGTCTTTGTCGGGGTTTCCCGCTCTTTGTCGGTAGGATATCTCCGTGGATAAGGCTACTCAATCTAAAAATTTCTTTGACCAGGTACTAGGTATCTTCCTTTGGCCTCAGCTGCCAGCTCTGGCATTTTGACATGGTGCATGTCTGATGGAAGATAGCTGCCGCAAAAGGAGAACTCCCTGCTATAGGCCCTGACAGCACCTATCTTTGCGGCCGATTCCCCCAATGGCCTGGAAGATGCCTGGTGTCCAGGTAGGGCAGCACCACGGTGGAGAGGCACTCGCCGGTGTTTGGCGGATATTTTATACAGGGGAGATCACTGACTCGGACAATCCTTGAACTTATATAAATAAAACCTCGTCGCTACATGAATCGTTGCTACATTCGGAAGGCAAATTCCAGCTCCTCGATCCACTCCAGCCCCACCGACCTAATTAACATTCACATTCCAGTTGACCGTCAACCATGAAAATGGACCCTCCTGCCCATATCGACTGCTTCATATGGGGAGAAATGAGACGTGTAATGGACGTTGGTAGGGACAATTATCGCCCGCAAATTGAAGCCACCTTGGATCGGATCGACGAGCACCTGAGACAGGTGGTTAGGCTTGGCCTTAAAAGGGACAAAGACTGGGCTTTACGCCGCGAGAATCAGTTGAACTCTGTTTTTGGGAAAATCGAGCGGGCTGGCATGTTTGATCAACCGTCTATCTCCTCTAAGCGTCCGCTTCTACCCGTCCAGGTAGCCTACTATGCTAAGAATATGGAGGATATAATTGCAAACTGCGCAAATATCGGTAAGTTCCACCACGCTTAACCTTCGGAAACCTCCGGACAGGTACTAATGGCCTTATAGCTATGGATATCTCCGAGAGGACCCCCGTCGGAGACTTCCTCAAGCGCGTGACCGATGAGCTGCGCGACGCGGAGGGCGTTTTCACGGACATGTTGCTTTGCCTGGAAGATGAACTGTGCCGTCGTCGACGACCACTCTGGGATGAGTGAGCCTCTATAAAGAAGGCCTTCTCCCCCCTCTCTTATATAGTTCATTCAATTGAATTTTATTCACCACAACTCCCTTGTCTTCATCATTCGTATACTCCGCCTGCCCCCCCTCTCAGGTAACCATACTTCGACATTTGTATACCACCACCGTCATGAAGCCCAAGCGTCCGCAATACGTCCCTCTCGATGTCTGGGACTTGATCCTGAAAATTATGCATGCCCACGAGGCAGACACGTATCGGGAATATGCGAGACATAGATCCTACCTCGAGCAAGATATCCAGGACAAGATCTATTACATCGAGAGAGAACTGGCGATCTGCATCAAGCTTGTCAACTCGCCCGTCATGGAAGATGACTGGGCCCGCAACTCCTTCGAAGCCTTTTATCAGGTAATCATGAAGATCGATGAGATGGGCAGGCTCGGGCCGGGCGAAAACTTCGCTCATGCCCCCGAGGCTGTCATCCTCTATGGGTTTCTCTATCTGCTAAAGAAAGCAGCGGTTAAGTGTCGCGTTGTCGGTACGTTTGCCTCCTCGACTAAACCCCATGAAGACCCCTCGAAAGATACTAATCGAGAACTAGGGAGGAATCCGAAAGGGTACAACGGTGAAACCGAGGAGGAAGATGACATTGACCATCCTTTACACGGGGTGTACCTGGCAGGCCAGAGCCGCGCCCGCTACACAAAGGAAGCTGTCAAGGCGAAGGCACGATTCCAGAGGCTATTGGATGCCTTGATTAAATGGGAATACAGCGGGCGAGATCCGTATTTCCGTGCCATGACCGTGTAGAGTGTCGAGGTCGCTGGTATGTTGTCATCGTATTGTGTAGCCTAGCTAGAGTCACCTTGCCTACAATCAATATTGATCTACCACCCTAATTTCTCCCTTGATGCTTTTATGTAGTCTATACAAATTGTAAGCCCGGGTCTCTTACCACCATGTCCTCTAAATATGTTTATCTCTTCCTAGGCTGATTTGGCATCATTGTCTTGTCCCTGAGTGTGCCATCTGTGAATCTTTGGATGGCTGTAAACTTATAGTACGTCTGTTTCCTACCGATGCTTCCGCAGCCTCATACCCTCGATTGCGATTGATATACCTTGCCCCGGTTCGAGTAATAGTCTGATCCCAATGGAAATCTGCCACGTGTCAGTGGTATCATTACCGTTTATCCTATCCATCCATTTAATTATAATACCTTTTCCCGGAGTCTCTCCAATTCCAGCAGAGTGGGTTCTGTCAAAACGACCGAGGCAAAAGGAGAGCTCCCCACCTGGCCTCTGACGAAGAGGGATCGTATGGTCCTGACACAAAAGGAGGACCCCTCGCCCCGGCCTTCCTCCAAATGCCGCAACATTCACGAAGGTTTCCGGGTCTTTATTATAGGGGGTTTAGTGAATGACTATCACTAGTTCCTGCCCGCCTTCTGGACAAATGACCTTTCATCATCGCCCTCTCTAGAGGGGTTCCCATCTCTCTCTTCCCATGGACAGGAAGACTGCTGGTGCAAAAGGAGAAGTCCTCATCCTCAGCCCCCGGAAGAGGCGTGAATACTGGTTTAACCCACAGGCACACGCAGTCTCAGTCTCACCACCTGATAGGGCTGGCTCTGGCATAAATAGTGCTGTATTCCCTCCTCTTGTGTACTACACCATCCAGGGATTAGGTCTGGCTCACCTCCGCACAACCCGTTTTATCCCGTCCTCCCATCCGTCATTCCTACAAGATGCCTGACACCCGTCCTGCTCATAGCACCATATTCCCCGACTGGAGAATCGAGCAGGTCCTTGTGAACTGCAATGGATTTTTCGGCGCAAACACTCGAGGCGATCCCCCCTACTTCATCCGCGAATCAATTATGAAGTGCCAGACGCATCTATCATGGTGTATCAAACTTAAGAAGGCTCCGGAGCGTTTTGAGAATTGGGCTAGGAAACGCTCTCAAGACTTGGAGGACCTCGTCACTGGCCTTATCGCGAAACGACTCTTCATCACCCCAGGCTCACCAACATTGAACGTCGAGCGTGCCCTGGTGGGCATGCTTGTGATCGCTCTGGTCCCCGTGGCGGAGATGATCTACAACCTTGGTATGGGTCCCCCCCACCCAAATGAACCATGCCCTCCCACTGACACTAACACTATAATAGCGGCTGGCGTGAAGCCTATAGATGAATTTATCTTCCACGATCATCCGATGACCTACTTGAGTCTTCCTGGAGATCTTGAGCCGGACCTGCTACGACGGCTGATGCAGCGGTTCGATGGCCTTATGGACATGTGTGTGCTGGCTGAGGCCAGCATGGCCAGGATGTCGCAGAGAACTGATGACTGCTTCGCATTCTACGAGCAACTGTTCAAACGAGTCGCCTGATTTCAGTTGTCATCTGTGGCTTGGTTGATGTGGGGGTAGGCAAGCTGTCGCTTTCCTTGTGTACTCTTTTCTGGCACGAGGCCTCTTCTTTTCTCAGTGGTCTCATCTTGATGGGAAGGATGGGATCCGTTCTCTCTCTGGTGTCTTCTTCGTTGTGCGGGCTTTTCTCTTTGTTTTAGATTTCAGACTTTGTTTTGTTTCCTATATCATTTTGCCCGTATTCGACGTGTATTGTTGTTGTTGTATTCCGCTTGTATCATACGTTCATTATAGGTGTATTATCCTGTATTCTGCTTACATTGCGGGCGCGCTTTGGTTCCAAACTGCCGCCAGGATATAGAATGACTTTTTTCTTTCTCTGTTGAAGGATTTTAGGAATCTCTTTTATTATTCATTTTTCTTCATTTATTTTTCATTTGATGATGCGAATTAGAGTATAATTCTCTGACCACAGGCGATGGTTTCCCGGTCTTAGCCCAGTCGCGGCGTATGCACTGTCTCTGTTCAATAAATAGCCCTAAGTTGCCAGCAGCCATTACCGGTAGTCTTCATTTCTTGACTTACTATACTACATGATGAGTATGGACTTGTAACCCTAGACCGGGACGTAAAACTCGTCTCTTTTTATCACTGCTGGCAATAAACAGCCTTCTTCCCTGTCATCTTCACATCCAGCTTGAAATCGAGTTGTTCGAACTACCAAGCGAAGCGCTTTACCCCTTTTCTCTTTCCAATCATACAACAAATGCACCGGATGTTGAGACTGTTGGGTCATCTCCCGGGAATCCTGCGCGAGCGTTCCTTTTGCCTCGCTAGCCTACAGTGGCGAGTTTCAAGCTGGGCTCAGCCAGCAGACCCGTGTCTATGATGCCCTCGAACCGCCGCATGAGCCATTCCGGCATAGTCCAGTGGTCATCATTGACCCCAAGCCAGATGATAAGGTCCGGCTAGAAGGTCGCTGAAGCAAAAGGGGCACACCCCGCTTAGGGCTTTCTAGGAATTCTTGACAAGGTTACTCACATGCAGTGCTCTGCTCTGCGAAGAGCGGTATAATATTGTCTCAAGCTGCATTCTCCTTCCCAATTGTTCAGGGAACATCTGGATGCTTAGCGGCAGTTACCCCCTTCGTGGCCGAACGTTCTGCTCTCTAGTACTCGAAGTCAAGACCCGTCCCATCTAAATTGGGCTTTGGTGTATGGAGAACTCCGGCACATCTGTCAGGACAGTTTCTTCGTTTTCCGGCAATTCTCCTTTTGCCGCAGTGAGATTCCGTCGCCACTAAAGAAAGAGCAGGGGAACTTCCTGCCTAGAAAGTTATCGGAACATCGGTTTAGTGTTCCTGACAGGATCCCAGCCGGCAAGCGACAGAGTAGGCCGTTGATTTTCAATCCCTGGACTAGTATGATGGAAAGACCCTTGTTGTTGACCTCAGCTCACAGCAATCATCCGGTATTCGCCGCTGAGGATATGACCGGTAAGGCCTCCTGGGATGAGAATATAAACAGGGCCATCTTTCCTCTGCTATCCCTGTCATCAACCATCTGTCCCGTACGTCTCCAGCGACCTCTCCCCGTAGATCTGTTCTCTGTCCCCCTGTCCCCCTTTTGACTATTTCGATACCTCCGTTCGACTCTGTTCATCATGCCTAGCTTGGATATTTCTGCTGAGAGGTTTAGTGAGGCGTACGGAGCCCTCAGAGACGTCATGAGAGGGCGAAGACAGAGGAACCCGCGCGAAGAAATCGTTGGCGCGTTTCGAGACGCCCGTTCCTCTCTGCGACGTTGCCTCCAGGAGGCCCCGGAGAATAGTCCCGTGTTCGAGGATGACTGGCTGCACATGCGCATCGAGGATCTCGAGGGCATCACGGGCAGATTGGAATCCCGTGGCTTTCTGCACCGACCAAGCCATCAGACCCCCTTTTACCCACACGAGGCGATCTTTGGCCCGTTTGCCATGGCCTTGAAAGTCCTTGCAAGGGCTTGCCGCGCTCTCGCTAGTATGTCCCCCCCCTCTCTCTCTCCGATGCATGGGAGCAAGTGTACTAATATAACTCTACTATAGCTGATGACGAGGTCACCACGCCCTCTCGTGAGGATGAGCTGAATCCCCTCGATCCGTCGCATGTCTGTGAGGAGGGCCAACTGGCATACGTCATGGACAAGTTCTTGTCCATTTTGGACTACTTGATTGTTCTGGAAAGCTGCTTGAGTGATCCCCCGAACCCCATGCGCTAATTTGAATTTGTTGCCTAGTCCTTGATTGTGGTGATGGATTGATTTTTCCTGTTACTCTGTTTGTTGCACCCGCCGTTGTCTCCATCGCGGTTGTGGCTGCTCTTGTCTCTGTTTTGTTTCCTTGTTTTCGGCTTACACCCCTCCCCTCCCCTCCCGCCGCCTGCTTTTCCATGCACCCACTCTTTTCCGATAATCATCGATCTTTGTAGAATGCATTGATTACATCGCGAAAGATCTATCAATACCATTTGCAGGAAACGTAGAGTTGCCTCGTTCCAGACAAGTCAATCAAACTGGATGGGTCCAGGATGTCCAGATATTAGTGACGATGCAGATTTAGGATAGGGGAGTTCTCCGATTCTCGCAATGCCTCATCAGGATCCAGGAAGTATGAATGGTCCCTTGTAACTTTTGTATTTCATTATCCATCGTATAATCGTAGCTATGATATGCCTCTTTAGCAAACTGTTACGGCCATGTCAAACCTTCGTATGTGTTGTGTCGACCAGATAAAGCACCCTTGTAGAATGAAACAAAGGATGTCAGAGCAACCCCATTCAACGCGAGTGCTGGGCCCGTTTGTCCTCCTTCTCCCTCTCATTTCGAAGCCGCCTCTGCCGCCATGTGATCCCCGATCGCATCATGATCCACAGGGTCGGCGACGCAGCCAACGAAATCAAGGCCAAGGTCGTATACGCCCAGCCCTTCCCCATCGCGTCACTCATGGGTGTGATAGCAGCAGATGCCGCAGCACCGAGTTCACACCGGAAGAGGTTGTTGGCAGCCGTTGCGGCGGCGGAGCGTCCCGGCCAGAGGTCGACCATCAGCGCATTCAGCACTTGCGATGTGGCATTCAGCGCCCATCCGCAGATGAACAGTAGGACAATCGGGACGGCCAGATTCACTTTACGGCCTAGCACCCAGCCGTAGGCGACCATTGACACCAGACTCATGTAGTACAACGGCAAGGCGACTTGCAGCCGGACCTTCTCGATGTTGAAATCGGTAATGTCCTGTTTGATGTTGCGAATGACGGGCATACCCGCTCGAGCTGCGTGCCGTCGGTAGTTCCAGTCCACCAGACGACCGGTCGTGAATGCGGATAGGATGCCTCCCGCGCCGATGGGGATGTACATCAGTCCGGTTTCGATGTTGTTGAGGTGATAGACTTGGTGGAAGGATGTCGTTGCTCCAGTCATCACCGCGTAAAAGCCCGCGAACATCAAACCGGTCGCCAGGAGAACGGCCCCCGTCTCGAGGTCGACCACCACCCGCAGCGTTGGCATTGGGGAAGGAATCTTGAATGCGTAGTTTTGGCGAACCTCTGCTATCTTGGCTTCTTCCACTACGAGACCCTGTGCTTTCCGGTTTCGATGCCGAATCAGATCGCTCAGAGACTGATTCAGCGCCGGTGGAGGAACGGAACCATCCGCCACGACCTTGCGGCACGTCTCGGGAAGAAATAGGGCCAGCAGAGCGAAGAAGGCACCCGAGAATATGAGGAGAAACCAGAATAGCCAGTGCCAGTTCAAATATTGACTGAGTAGTCCACCAATGATCGGGGACAGGGACGGACCCAGCATGCTTCCCAGAGAGGCAAAGGCAATATATGTCCCCCTTTCCGCGGAGGTGACTAGATCACCCACGAGCCCATTGGCAAGCGCGACTGTCCCACTGCTCCCCGCACTTTGTAGACATCGCAGGCCAAGAAGGGCACCGTAGCTGTTCTGCAGTCCGAGACCGAGGTTGGCCGCGAGGTAGATGGTGAAGCAGATGATGTATGCTGGTCGTCTGCCGGCCGTATCGGAGAAACCAGCGATCAACATGGGGGCAACACCCTGCATTATCTGGTCCCAAAGGCACCTGTCAGCTCCGACTCACTTCATTTCGTTGGATACTCACCAGGTATGTTGTCACCGTCAGATCAATCTTGGCGGTGGTCACATTCAGCGCCTGTGCAATCGTGTCCAGTGCGGGGAAGTAGATGCTCGACGACAGCGGCGAGAAGAAGCTCGCGAGCGAGCCCAGAGCCACCATGGCCCTCTTCTGGTTGACGGTAAAGACGGAGAAGACTTCATACTGGGCAGCGCTATCTTCCTTGGGCCCATTCTCCGGGTCTGAGGTGCTGGTCTCGTCGGGGCTCTCCCGGGGTTGGGCCACTATGGGCGAATGCGACGGATCGGGGGTGTTAGAGGAGGCCATTTCTGCGGGATGGCGTGGATCCGCCTGCTCCAGCGGTGTTGCCATGGCTTTTATACGTGCAGGCGAGAGCGTGCGATGGCGAAAGTCAAAGCAGGAAGGAGATGTGGGAGACAAGCAGCGAGGCAACTGCTCGGCAGGCCTCAACCCCGGTCCCGGCTTCCTTCCCGGAACCGGGGCCCCTCCACCAATCCCCGCCATCGCGGGACCGGGATCAATAACTAACTAACATCATCCATCATTCCTCCTCCTTTTCCCCTCCAAACGGTGCTTCTTTCTCTTCCTCTGCATCCCCATTCCATCCAATCCCTTTCTCCCACCATGAAAGTCGAAAAACCCACCCTCATCCTCCTCGACATCCAAAACGGCGTAGTCGAGCGCCTCAACGACACAGACGCCTACCTTGCGCGCTGCGCATCGGTGATCCAGGCCGCACGCGACGCCAACATCTACATCGTCCATGTCGTGACTGGTTTCCGCCCCGGATACCCCGAATGCAACCCCCGCAACAGCTCCGTGGTCAAGGTCAAGGCCTGGGGGTCCTTTCTCATCACAGACCCGTCCAGCCACGTTCACCCGCTCGTTGCTCCCACCGAGGATGAGCCCATCGTCATCAAGCGTCGCGTGTCGGCCTTTTTCACCACGGACTTGGATCTCCTTCTGCGCGCGGCGGGTACGACAGAGGTCGTTGTCACTGGACTGATCTCTAGTGGTGCTGTGCTGTCGACGGTTCGTTCGGCTGCCGATCTCGACTATAAGGTCACGGTGCTGGAGGATATGTGCATGGATCGTGATCAGGAGCTGCATGATGTTTTGATGACCAAGATCTTTCCGCGCCAGGGTCGCGTGATGCAGTCGGGGGAGTGGTTGGAGGAGGTCAAGGAGAAGTTGTGAGGATGAGTCGAGTCGAGTGTGGTTGGCGTGGAGGTTTGAGTGCGGCTTTTGTCCGGCCTCAAACTTTTCTTTACAATGCGTGTTTCATACTGTCTTCTGTATTCCTGATATGATAATAGTTAGACGCTGATGACGCTTACTATATTATTCGAACGAATTACAGGTTGGTAGCATTGCTGAATGTCCCACCAGCGCAAGCATTTTTGTGGATGTTCATTCCCATAACAGGTCTCGAATAAGCACACACGAACACAGATCCCCTCATTAAGCCATAATACAATCATAAATGATCATTAAGCATCATTAAGCATACTTCATCACCGCCAGTGGACGACACCCAACCCTCTCACAAAGTCTCGGCAACATCCACCCCCTAATTACTCACAAAGTAATTCACCGCGATCACCGGACCCAGCCCAGTCTTTTGTCCCCAGGCATCCAGGTCATAGCGCATACGCGCCCAGCTACCCATGTTCTTGCCATTTGGAGGTGCAAAGCGCTTCCCATCGAACCCCACGGGCTCCTCGTACAGGAAAAACACGTAGCGGTGGGGAGCTGCACCCGGGGGTGGCGCAGGGCCGATGTAGTTCGCCACAAACGGCTCGTTGATGGTCAGTTTGAATCCGCCTTCCTCTGTCCGGACGGGCTTCAGGCCGTGCTGGATCCAGTGTAGAATGGGGCTCAGGGCTCTGAATGAGACAAAGGGCGCGTCCAGGTCGAGGCTCACGACTAGGTAGGTGGCTTTGGGGTTGAGTTGGGGGAAGGAGAGTTCGGGGTGGGAGGCGGCGTCTGGGTGTGCGGGTGGGAGTTAGTCTGACTCGAGTCTGGATGGACGGATGGAGAAGTCAAGTGCGTACCGTTCTTTGCTAGATACTGGCCAGGATCGACGCGTTTGTTGTTGAAGGTCAGGCCCAGGGTGCGGAGGGGGTCGTTCTCGAGTAGCGTCATGGCGCGCTCGACGTTCTTGCTGGTGGGCATGGTGATGGGATGAAGGACAGGGTCCTTGGGGGGGGGGTGCAGGGATGAGGCCAGCGAGGAGTGGGGAGGAGAGGATGGAAGTCGAGAGGATATACTTTCGGCGTTAAGCAGTCCCGCCGGAATTTTAGTCCCTCCCCCCCATCTCTCTTTCTTTCCCTTCTTCCTTCCTCCCCTCTCTCTCTCTCTCTCGCTCTCTCTGTCTTCTGGACAGTTTTATTCACGCGATCTGAAGACACATGTTCGGTGCCAGACGCCAATGGCTGAGAGTCCGCGGAAGGTTTCGAGACGGGTAGGTGTATACCTTCCATCTCAAGCACGCAGAGTGACAGAGACAGTGGGGTATGATCTGAGGCGAGGCTGAAATATGACAGTTGACTCCAATGGTAACCCTATCACCACGCGACGAGCCATTCATCGAGGGAAGTGAGGGACAGCAAGCCAACGGGATATATATTGCGTTTTACCAACTTTCATTTCGCGAAGGATGGATACCTCCACATAGGTGAGAAATAAGTCCGATACAAGCTACTATTGGATAAAGCAAGGGGACAATGCTGATTGTTGAAGTGAATTGACAAGGATTCAATCTATCCTCCATCCTACAAAGCCGCCCCAGTCAGGATTTTACGTACAAGAAAGCAACAGTACCAGAAACGTCAAGCCAGAATGGATAGCCCGGGAAAGGTCACAACTTGAACTCGTGTTTATTCTCCAGTCCCTTGGCTCCTGATCGATCGCCCTTGTCGAGATAGCCGCAGATTGTGCCTTGAGGATCCCATTCCCGCCGAATTTCCATCAGTCGCTGTGCATTGGCATCCTCCCAGAACTTTGTCTGCCGGACCTGGAAGTCCGCATCCCCCAGGTAGGAGCCGACCGCATGGTGCTGGACTTTCTTTATAATGTTGGCTACCCACGATTGGCACCGGAGGTCGTCCTTTTCGTCCTCCCAGATAGCATACAACGCAAAATAATGATCCGACCGCATGCTCATCGCCATGTCGGGCAGCGTCCGTCGACTGCTGGGATAAACCGCGTACCAGAGGGTATACGACTTTTTGTGCGGGAGATCTTTACAGGCGTCCTCCAGCACGGCAGGCACGTCGGCATCATTGCAGATATACGCGGATTCGGAGCAGTACCGGTGCCCTTCCGGATTGAGCTTTCCCTCGATAGAATATTGGTTCTCTAGGCTATCTTCTTGGCAGAACCACTCAGTCATTGCTCCATCCGGCCTACTGTCTTGGGCCGGACGCAGTGCCTCCTCGGCCTCTTCGGGCGAATGTTTCATGGCTAGAAATGAAACAAAAAAGCAGAGCTCGTCGATCCCCTCTGGGTAGTAAGATACGGCCAGAATTTGTGTATCCCCATCAAAGCCTGGCGTGATGGACAGAACCCAATCGAACGCCTCACGGTAGAGGCGGATTGGGTAGACATAGCCGGACGAGCGGAAGCCTAGTTTGCGATAGGGAATCAGCTCGAGATGGAACTGCGTCACTACCCCGGGGAACCCTGCAGCACAATTAGTATCGGACCGGAGTCTATCTTCTGGGCCTGAAATTGGCTTACCCGGACCAGATCCCCGCGCCGCCCAATAGAGGTCACGATTCTGGGCTGCATTGCAATGGAGAAGCTCGCCGGTGGCTGTCACGACGTCGACGGCTTTGACTCTCTCGCACCCCCATCCCCAGTTCTATGGGCTGTTAGCTCAAAGAGTCAGTGTGATAAGAGAGTACTAACACGACAATTCCACCCGTTCCCTCCCTGTAACAGGAAGCCACCCAGCCCAACCTCCGGACAGTGGCCTGCGGGAAACATCATACCATGCTCCTTGACTAGGACATCATTCAGCTCTTTTCCCGTTAGGCTGGGCGAAGCCCTTGCAATTCGACTCCCTGGGTCTACCTCTAGATGCTTGTATTCGCCCAGCTCAATCAAGATGGATTGATCTCGCACACTCCATCCGGCCAATGCATGTCCTCCGGAACGCACAGCGACCCGACAGTTCTTCTCTATTGCGAGTTTTACTGCGTCGACAATCTCGCGCTCGCTGGTAGCTTTCACGACTGCCAGAGGGAATCGCTGGGGACGGCGGTGGTTGAACAAACGGCCCACACGCGCCTCCTCATAGACGGCCGGATCCGCCGAGTCACGCCAAGTTATCTTCATCTTGGTGTCATTTGAATTGCCAAAGTGTGTGCTATTGTAAGTCGACTCCGGGGTGAACAGTGTCGTCTATTTATAAATGACACCTCAAAACTGTTAAGTTTCGGTTGCCAGATTTATGGTTTCAGGAGACTTTTCACAATCCGGTATTGTGTTGTTACATGGAAGCTTTCTGCAAATCGAGCCCAATGATAGCCAGAACCACAGCAACCCCCGATCCGATCGTTCGTCACTGACCCGGCTGGCCCTCCAGAGATCCGACTGGTTCTACTCTCCTCTACCCACTTGAACCTGGAGAAATGACCCCAAAAGAGTGGGGTAGGAATGTAACCCGCAGGAGTTCCGAATCGCATTCTGGGAGCAGAGTCTGTCGAGTCGATGGCGTCCTTAAGCTGTGGCAATGGTCTATGTGATTGACAGCTACTGAACCGTGGTTGGGAAGTGACCGCATCGGCACTTGCCCCTAAATACCGGTTTTCTCTCCATTTCTCTCTCCAATGGAGGTAGTATCTTCACTGACGATCTGGATGTTATAGTTTCGGTTGTCTTTCTCTACCAACCCCGGATGTTTATCTGTTGTCATCATTGCATTTGCCATTCTAAGAGAAGAGGATTCGCTACTCGTCTTGGAGGTGGCGCGTTATGGAGAATATACGCATTGGGGGCAGATCGGGCGATCGGCGAGTAGATGGACGAAGTGAGTTATTTGATACAGTGCTCTCTTGCGGGGTGTTTAATTACGCTATCACGTCTCTTGAGTCAAATTTGTTTGTTCCCAATTGGGGTACGGCGCCATCTACTCTCCGATGTGGCTGTGGCTTGCCTCCTGCATGCATACATCGAGAGCCGATTGGGTATCTCGTCTCTGACAGGTCCCAGAGTATACTTAGTGGTACTAAAGTGGTAGCTTAATCTGGCGATGATTCACAGCCCAGAGGCCAATTGTGGCCATCATGGACTGGTTACGCCGCAGTCACCCCGCCGAAGGTCAGCTTATTGCTTAAGGCTGCTCTATTTTCACTGCAATCTCATGTCAGAGTCGCATGTCTCTGGTGCTATTAATTCAGCCTTCTCCCATCTTCATTGTCAGCACTATTTCTTTCTTCTCCGCTACTCGTGCCAATCCCTCTGTCACCCATCACCCTCGCAACCATGTCCACCTCAACCTCAACCACCGACAAATTTGACCCCAAGACCTGGCTTAAACAGGACGTCAAAGACATCCCTGCCCCGGAGCGCGAATTCCTCGAGACCTACTCTCGAATTCCCCCAGAGGAAGTCATCCCCCACGTCATCGCCATCGTAAGTCCCCCCCCCCTCTCTCACCCAAATCCCCCAAACACCCTCCAATCCAACCAACGACTCACCACCCCCAGCGCAACGAAGCCTTCGCCATCTACCCGTGGCCCTGCATCGGCCAGCTTCACTTCCTCTACTTCACTCTCGCCAACTCCCAATTCTACCCTGCGCTCCTCGCCCGCCTGACCTCCACCTCCACCTCCACCTCCCCGCCCCCTTCCCTCCTCGACGTAGGCTGCTGCTTCGGCCAGGACCTCCGCAAACTCATCGTCGACGGCGTATCGCCCTCCCAAATCGCCGGCCTCGACCTCGCCCCCGCCTTCAACACCCTCGGATACAAGCTCTTCCGCGACGACGTCCCCCGAGACGGCCGTCCCGCCCTGCAATTCGATTTCTACCCACGGGATATCCTCGACGATACCGCCGATTGGACGCCAATCGCCAAAAGATTCGATGTCATCCATACGGCTCATTTCTTGCATATCTGGGACTGGGATACCCAGGTGAAGGTTGCTTGTCGGCTTGTGTCGTTTTTGAAGCCCCAGGCGGGGAATAGTATTGTTGGGACTCTTCTTGCGACGGAGGGCGAGGAGGGCGCCGAGGGAAAGGTTTTGGAAAGGTTTGATCGGAAAGGTCAGTATTTCAGACATGATCTGTCTTCGTTCGACAGGTTTTGGGGCGTCGTGGGTGAGAGCGTGGGCATTAAGTTGGGGGTGCAGGCTTCGTTTGCGAAGATTGATTTGCCCGAGGATTTGAAGGGCGCTGCGTGGGCGCATTCGGGTATGGGGAGTATTGAGTTCCAGGTTACCATGGTGTAGATAGGTCTGATATTGAAGAAGCTCTCTATGGGGAACGTGGAGGGTCGCGCTCGACGGACACTCTTTTATTCAGAGTAGCTTACCGTCCAGAAATGGCTGGCCGTATTATGTACATGGTTTCCCGACAATTCCTGAGAATAATGAACATACAAGCAAATCAAATTAACTTCGCGCAGACAGGTGGGTTGAAATCGCTATAGGCAGCATGATTCAATGCAAAATGAACAGTATGTAGGCAAGCAGGTTGCTGGCAAGCTATACGCAGGCTAAGTTTAATAAGTTGTTCTGTGGCACTCTATGGTCATCATGTGACTGCACGGATGCGACGGTGCGAAAGTCCGCGACAGAGGCGGGAAGGTCGATGGGCCATCCGTCTCGAAGTGGACTAGCGCCGGTCAGCTGACCTCATTCTACTTTCGGCTTCTTCTTCTTCTTCTTCTTCTTCTCCCCTTCTCTTCACCTCAGTCTCGGTGTCAAGTACCACTCCCGGGCCACCGATCAGTCGCTGGCTATGCATCTCCGGTGTCTTCCGTCTTACTGGCTTATGGGGACTGATATGGAATCTATACGGAACGGAAGTCTTTCCTCGTCGAACCATTGATGTCGGTCGCAGTCTGGCTTAGCGCTTCTATCTAGATGCCCCCTATCGTTGCCAACCAACCTCAATGATCCCCCGAAGAAGGAAGTGCCCGAAAGAAAACAACGATCTTCTCCTTCAAGCCTTGGCCCTTCTCCTCACCAGGATCATTGCACGTCGCGGGGGGAGCGTTGCCTCGCGATGAATCACAGGCCGGGGACAGGGGTTCTTTGGCGATAGCTCGATCTCGTAATACCGAAGCATGTGGGTCAAGACCATCTTCAGCTGAGCGTCCGCCAGAAAGCGGCCGGGACAGGCGTGTTTCCCGTACCCGAACGGCAGATAGTCCGGTGTGATGGCCGTTAGCTTCTTCCCCGCGCCGTCGGTCGGGGTTCCCTCGGGGATCTCGTGCGCAGCAGCGAACCGAAAGGGGATGAACCGGCCTCCTTCGGTCATCAGCTCATGGTCCGTGTGGAGAGGCCGCGATATGACGCAGGTCAATGCCCCCTTTGGTAGGGCGGTTCCATCGGGAGCCTGGACCCCATCGACCATGATCTTCTTGAAAACATGACGGCTGATAAATGAATTGAGGCGGAGCGACTCCCGTAAGGTGCTATCCATCAATGAGCATTGCGCGGCAGTTGCCCTGCTCCAGGTCGGCCCATCGGCCCCGAAGACTCGCACGGTCTCCTCTTGAAGTCTGGATTTCGTTGCATACTCGGCATCCGATTTGAGGATTTCGAACATGGTAAATGTCGCAGTCAGTGAGATCTGATGACAAGACGCCCAGTAGAAGTAGAGCCCGTATATGGTTATGTCGTGCAGGTTGAAATCTTCCCTTCTTGTGGTGTACGCATGTTTCATCGCCTCATAAAGGAAGTCTTTAGGCGCGTCCTTCTCGGATGAGAAAGACAGGTACTGGAGTCTATCTTCAAAGACTGGTCGCACCAACTTCTTGGCCTGGGCTATGATATACTGCTGCCGGAGGGACGCGACTGGTCCCACCAACGGGTGCAGAATGCGGGGAGTATAATGCAGGATGCCGCTCACATAAAATACCGTCTCCATATACGCCACTGCCAGCCGATTGAATTCGCCATTCTGGCCTGCCCGTCATCATGTTAGCTGGGCATCCCCGATCCATGGCACCCGGGGAACATACACAGAGTTGGGCCCACCATCCATCGCCCTGCGGCACGGATGAAGATCGTCTTCATCGCTCCATACACAGTTACTTCCGTCCATTCGGTTCTCTTCTCTCCAAACTGTTCAGCGACCGCGGAAGGGAGCTCGGAACAGAAGTCCTGGATGAGTGCATCGAGGTTCGCGCGGAGCTTGGCGACAAACAGTCTCGTTGACCACGGTTCCATAATGTACTTGCTGCCCCCGAGGGACCATTTCGACTTCAACAGGTCATTGAAGGCCTCGCGGTGGTGGAACACGCTATCGGGCTGGGCTGCCAGCCAGGGTAGGTAGGTATGAGGCAATGCCAGGTGCTTGCTGAAACTGGACCCGGGGATCCAACACGGCTGACCATGCTTCGTGAACTACTCCTCGCGGTCAGCGCAGATTCCATGGGTTGCTCCATTGTCCTATTGGTCCCCGAGAGAGCCACATACACTGTCGTACGCGTCTTGGAAAAGGTCCTTGGAGTTGCTCCACAGACTCCAGTATCCAGCGAACCGTGATTTTCCTTTGTCGAAATCCCGAACGAAAGGGATGTCTCCGGGGGCCTGTGAGGCCATCCGGCTCAGGACGGCGTACAACAAGATCAAGGGGCCGAGAAAGATACCCAGGATGACGGTCATGTTCATCTTGGGCTGAGCATCGGCCAAGGTCTGGTAGTCCTCTGCCATGTTGAGAGACAGCCAAGCACGCAACCAAACCCGCTGAGTCCCGACGCCGGGCAAAGAAATGAAGGAGCGTTAGTTGTAGAATCCACAGGGATGGGTGGTCATCATAGCCGGAAACCCGTTGTTACGTGGCGCTTTATAGGATCGTGTCCCGGGGCTTTCTTGCTGCTGTCAACATTGCTGCGATACTGCCGGCTCCAGAGACGGCTATTGAAGTGGGTTGTAATGACAGCTAGGTGCGGAGAGAAAGAACTCAACCGACACACTGGATTTTAAGATGATTCTCGTCGCATGCATGGACACAAACAAGGGGCATTGCAAAGTGGCCCTTGCACGCTCCGGGGAGCGGAGGCTGAGGGCAACCATTCCCTCGATTTGTGAGCATGTTTCCAATAGCCTTATGTGAGATTTTGGCTATCACTTCTTCCACAATGTATGCAGAGTCCTCCAGCGGGGAACCAAGCCGATCAATTCGGTGCGGTCGCTGATGTCTATGGTCGACATGCAATATACCTGTATGCGGCGGGTCCCCATGCACCACTCGTCATGCCCCAACGTGCTCACTTTCAAGGTGAATCTTCGAAGGCGGACTTCGTCGTACAGGGTACTATTGTCCTATCCTTATTTTTTGACCACCTGATCCGATATTAGGGGAGTGTAATTTTCAACCATGCATCCCCCACTGTCCTCCTTCAGTCATATGCATTTCCTTTCTCTTTATGATGTGAGGTGTCAAGCCCGAGCCTTGTTTGTTGGAATTACTAGCCGGCAGCCTTCACCGACACCACAGCTACCGATCGCCTTATCGGGATTATTACACAGGCCACTATACTTCCTTCGTGCATGGCAATCTGCAAGTATAGCAGATATTGAATGTAGTCCGCTTATACTTTTCCCATCATAATACCTGTCAGGCCCATGACTGGCGCAACGGAATATTGCACAAACCTTGCTCCCTCAGGTCGAGCGTCTCTGGAATGGGCTCGGAATATCAGTAGAACCATGCAGAGAGTATCTAGCGTTCGAAAAGGTGATCTAGCGAGAAACTTGGTCGATACCGATTCCCACTGTCTGGATGGCACCCATGCAAGCAGATACGACTATGTTCATGGCATGACAACCCCATCCCAAATTCCTGGCACGGATGAAATTTGACAGGTATCCTGCGCTGAACCCTGCTGGCTTCTGTTGAAGCTTATGCGCTGACCGACCAAGCGTTATCAACATTATTTATGTCCGATATCCTTTCCCTGTTCGTTTTTATAACCCTTATCCATACCCAAAGCCTTGTCTCCTATCCCCTGTCCCCTGGTATGTCGAGTCAAGATACCATCCATTTACTCCCTGAACTAACCAATGACGCAGCAGTAGCAATGTCTTCAGCCCTACCCTACAAGCCCGCGGTCCCGGAGAAGCAGTTCTGGGGACGTTCACAGCATACATCGCGACTGGCCAGCCTAGGCAGTTTATCGATAATCCTAGCGTCACCCTTATTTGTAATGCTCTTATTGGCAGCGCTGTCCCAGTATCATGGTTCTTTTGCCCTGGCATTAGGAGGTCTCCGCGCCCATGGAACTCTACCATTTCTTGTCCGAAGCATCCCCCCCTTCAACCTGCAGGTTGGACTGTACTATGGCGGCTGGGTCGCTCTACAGGCCTGTCTTAACCATCTTCTGCCCGGCAAGATAGCAACAGGCCTGCCAACTCCAGGGGGCCAGTCCCTACCGTACAAGGTAAATGGGCTGGCCTGTTGCATCACGAATCTGGCGATTTTCATTACCCTTGCTGCGGCTGGTGTGTTCCGTCCATCATCCATAACGGCTCATGTTGGCGAGTTCCTCTTTGCAGCCAGTAATTATGGCTTCATTCTCTCACTGGCGGTGACCATCAAGTGTTACTGCATGGAACCAGGGGTCAAAGATGTTCGGTTTACAGGTATGCATCATGAGAGGCCATCACGCTATATGAATGGCTTGTTGAGTATCCGACAGGCTCCATCGTCCATGAATTCCTGTCTGGAATCGAGCTGAACCCACGCTTGGGGAAGTACTGGGATGTGAAGCTCTTCCAAATCGGCCGTGTTGGAATGATCAGCTGGCTATTACTGTATGCCTTCATCGAACCCTTACATGACCAGATACTGACAGATACCAGCGACCTTTCCTTCGCCGCTCTCCAGCTCGAGAGATTCGGCAGCATCACCAACCCCATGATTGTCGTCAACGCACTCCACGCGCTGTATATCCTTGACTTCTTCATCTACGAAGACTGGTCCGTACCAAGCCCATGGCCCGCCCACCTACTAACCACCACAAGAATCTGACCCCCCCCCCCCCGCCAGGTACCTAACCACAATCGACATCGCACACGATCATTTCGGCTTCTACCTCGCGTGGGGCTCCGCCGTGCTGGTCCCAGCCCTCTACACCACCCAAGCGCACTACCTGGCCTACCACCCCGTGGAAATCACCTGCACCCATGCCTCCATCCTCACTCTGGCTGGAATAATCAGCTACATTATCTTCCGCACATCTAACAACCAGAAATTCCGCTTCCGCCAAACCAACGGCAAATGCGTCATCTGGGGCGCCGCGCCCAAGACCATCCCTGCTGCGTATCGGACGGTGGATGGCTCTCTCCACCGTTCCATGCTCCTTTGCTCCGGTATGCCCCTCCCCCACGGCTCATATCCCATGAAATCAACCTCCGAGGACAGCTAACAAGATACCAGGCTGGTGGGGCCTCGTCCGTCACCCAAATTATATCGGAGATCTCCTCTTCTCCTTCTGCAGCTGCGCTGCCTGTGGCTTCACCCATCTTCTTCCATGGAGCTACTTGATTTTCATGACGGTGCTGCTCGCGCACAGATCCTGGAGAGATGATCGTCGGTGCTCGGAGAAGTATGGGGCGCAGTGGATGAAATACTGTGAGGTTGTCCGGTGGAGACTCGTCCCGTTTGTTTTTTGATGCGTGGGTAGACGGGTACTGGGGGAGAGCGTATAGACGTCGTCAGAGAATGAAGAAGTGTGTATTTTTAGGTCGTTGCGGGTCGGATACTGGATCCTTGGAGGCAGACTGTTGTGTTTTGTTCTGTTGCGGTGTTGCGTCTAGGGTATTGTTCTGCCACTCATTTTGAATCTGAATGGTGTATCTTCCTTTTCCAGTAGTCGTTGGCAGTCAATTCTTCTTATCTTAGACGCAACAAGGGCGCAGACGAGTATCGGTTAGCGTTTGCACCTCCTTAATTTCATGGCAAATATGCAGTTTTCACAAGATGCTTCTTTCACCCCGAGACTAAAAAGGCGCCTCGACAACCATCTAGCTACCTACTTTGGGATGTTGTCGTTTCTGTTTGATAGTCTCGGACTTAAGGCGGCGATCATTCCCATTCATCAAAGGACACTACATGGCACGCGAAGGGAGTCAACAATCGACACCTGCAACCAGGAGGCATTAGACTTCATCCTTCCATGCTCAAGTGCACGCACACCTAGTTACCGACCGCAGATATGTCAAATTATTGTCTGCCGACAGAACTAAACGTGCAGGGTACGCAACATCCGACGATCCATCGACACAAGTATTGGGCGTGCACGTTAGACTATCAGATTAGCAGATGATGCTCGTGCATCGCGACAGCAACACTCAATCGAATTCTCTAGCCATCCCTGGAAGAAGAATTCCCGGTTGGGACACCGTCCCTATGCCAAGCGCAGACGGATATTTCCCGAAGATATGACACGTCGGATATTGGAATTCGTGCGGCAGAGATTATCGAGTTTTGGCTGTACCTAGGCAAGCGTCCCCGACTTTCTGACGTTGTTCGGACCCAGGCTTTAATTTGTGATGAATAGGGGATATATTGGTGGGCGGTTGGGAGCGTGGATTGAAATATTGCTGTCTCGCCTTTCTCTGTGGATGTGGTGGGGTACGGGATATCATCCGCAGCTTCTGCAAACGAATTCTATAGAGCTTTCAGTTGTTGGACAACATTTTTCTCGAGCTCAGGTGCGATGTATCCGTTGCAGACGATCAGACGGGCAAATCTCTGGATCTCATCTCCGTCGACCTTATTATCTAAAGGCTCCCTCGAAGAATATGGCAGTCTCGGGGGCTGGGTACAGATCTCTAGCGAGGGACAGCCACATTCGAGTCTCAGGGAGCCCAGAGTGACTGGGACTGGCGACAAACGATCAGATCAAGCGACGCGAAAACAAGCGCAGCCTCACTCTTCACGCCCACCGTCATCCTCTGCCCACCTTCCAGCGTACACCGGCATCCACGCATTCATCCAGCGTCATGAGATCCTCCGCAAGCTGGCACACGTTTCAATGGGCCTGGCCATACTACTCATGTATAGCCACGGCATCCGTCCGCAACGTATAACGCCGTGGCTTTTATCGTCTGCGCTATTCATCGCCGGGTTCGATGTCACTCGTCATCACCTGGATAGCGTCAATCAGCCGTGGCTGAATATCTTCGGCATCTTCCTACGCAACACAGAAGTTGCTGGGTATAATCCGGTGATCTGGTTTCTGCTGGGGTCCTACATCGCGCTGCAGTTCTTTCCGGAGGATGTCGCTCTCATGGCTGTCCTTCTTCTGAGTGTCAGTGACACGGCGGCGTCGACGTTTGGCAGGCTGTACGGTCGCTACACTACCACTCTGCGTCCGGGGAAGACTCTGGCTGGGAGTATGGCGGCTGGTACGGCTGGTGTTGTTACGGCGGCCTGCTTCTGGGGGTACTTTGTACCGTATGCCAGGGAATTTCCTGGGACTGGTGATGACGCGTTCATGTTTACTGGACGCCTGTGTATGGATTCTCTACTCAGCCATGGTTATCGAGACCAATCGAGTTGTGGGGACGTGATCGATGGCCCGATGGCCCTTGGTGCTGTCAGCATTGTCACGGGATTTGTTGCTGCGGGGAGTGAGTTGGTTGATGTTTTGGGACTGAATGACAACATCACCATTCCCGTGTTGAGCAGCGTTTGGCTCTGTACATTCTTTAGGATGTTTGGCTGAATAGTGGCACGGACATTGGTGAAGACCGGGAGTGAAGAGTAAGATCTATCCAATGTAGCTTGTTGATGACGCCAAAGTCCCTTCATCAAGATGCAAAGGACAGTGGTCCGGAGTTGATGGAGAAAGGCTTCCCTGGCCTTGTCAATCCGATCCTGGAAGGGCAGGAAGATGTCGATTTTTGGAGAACCATGGTAGAATTCCGATGCTTGACTTGCCACGCCCGCACTCCGGAATAGCCTTTTCGCCATTTCCGAGGACTAGATGTCTTTTCCTGCAACACACTCTTTTTAGTGAACGGGAGTAGATCAGGCCAGATCCTTAGGATATAACATGATTTTTTCCGTGTCCACCTTTTCAACTGTGGTGTCACTGGGGGCAGCCGAAGTAAGTCCTGTACGTAGTCCTGAGCTGATCACTAGTTGCAGGGTGGAAGTCCAGGCATCGTGAACCCCTTGAAGGGAGGCACCCACACCCGTCGGGCCCCGGAATCCAAATCCGGCATGTGCACTATTGAAACCTGACGGGAAGTCAAGTATCCGCCAGCTCAGAGTTTTCTCCTCGCCGTTCCAGGCGCCCCTGGGGCACGGGACGGGGCCCACGAGGCCAACGTTGACGCTTTGACATCATCCTGTCAGTAACCAGTCGTCCGAAATTTTCTTCTTTTTTTTTTTTCCCAGGAGGATTCCGCGGGCTTTGGGCTGACGACGCGTGCTTCGCCCGCCAGGACCACGGCGGGGCAGACGACGAGAGTCCTGAGGCTGAAACAGTGGCGGCTTTGGCTTGGGTCAAGTTCGAAGCTGGAGGGAATTATCCCACAGGAGTCCGTGGAAGTGGAAAGGAAGTCACGCCGGGTGCATATGGCATGATCCATGAGGAGGTGGATAGTGCATTGCAAGAGACTGGAGAGAGAGAGAGAGAGAAGCAGAGACAGAAAGAAGGCAGAAAGAAGGCAGAAAGAAGGCGGAAAGAAGGCGGAAAGAAGGCTTCCCGCCCGCCTCGGAGCTCCACCTTTTCCGCGCCGCCCAGTCCCGTGTGTTCACGTGACTGCTGTTGGTCCGACTCCCCTGCTTCATTCCAGTTCTATATCACCCCTCAAAACCTCGCGTTGCAATCCCAAAGTGTCGCTCGTGAGAGCCCCTCTAGCGGAATCAGGCCTTGATCGGGATCGAGGTACAAGTCAGCATCGACATGACAAGATTCAGCACCATGGAAGCTTTTCACCACGACAGAATCAGCGATCGTCCGGCTTTCAGAGGGCGTTCCACTTCTTGTCACTCTGACCACGGCAGAGACAAGAGACCATGTGGTCGGTCAACCTGGACGGGAGGATCTCCCGGCCAGTTGAACGATCTACATTGAATCTGATGGATCATCACTGCGGGTGGTGGGTGACCAGAGAACGGCAAGTCCCGCTGTCGATGTATGGTACAGTGTATTATTTATTGAATTATGGTAGCGATGAAGTATTTTCTCTGTGGGAGCCATCTGTGAAACTGGGACAGTATTCAGTACTCCAGTTTCATTCTTGTGTGGGGTCTGGTTCCGGGGTAGGAAGGTCCTGTGGTGTGGTGCGGTGAGGTGAGGTGTGGTGAGGTGAATAGTATATATATATCAGGATAGGGAATGACTTCCCGTCAGCCACAACAGTAGAGGGCGAGGACTGCCACCCATTTTGAACTGCAACACAATCCCGGTGTAACTGCAGAGTACATACTAATCACAAATAAATGAAATTGGAGAACGAATACAAAGCCCATTGGTCTTGTGTAGTATGGGCTGCAAGACTCATTTCATTGTGTTTCTCATCCCAGCTCCTAGGTATTTTCAACCTCAGTAACTGAGAACACATGTTGCTGGGTCTCCCCTCACCCACCAGACATGGGTTTTGATTGAATGCCTGTTATAGGGAATTAAATATGTGAAGTGGCACCGGTACTTAAAACAGTATAAGGGACACAGTCCGAGGGTTGCATCATTGCCATGCTGGCTTAGGATCATGGCATAAAATCTCATACCCTGCCAAGGTTGGGCGCGTGTTACAACTCAGTGCCTTATTTCAACCACTGTTGTATTCTCATAGCGAAAGGGATTTATGGCGTCCTCTGAGGGCATGGCCACAAAAGTGTGTATACAGGTGAACCGGGTGTTGCCTTGCCATCGCAGATACACTCATGGCAGAGGGACATTTTCCGTATATGCATCTTAATGTCTGTACACTCATCCTTCATACGGACCATGGGTTTCAACAGAGCCTTCCTACACAGCTGCAACATTTCCGTGTTCGTCCGATAATGGCTTGATGCGGCGGTCATCCCAGGAATCGAATACTCTCCACATGCAATAATGATCGCGTTTGTGACTTCCGTGTGGTGACTGATTGCCCGTCGTCGGTCTCGGAAATGCTGGGCCCCAACAATCGCTTGATCCTCAACATCTGCGTGATTATCCGCAGTTGTCAATCAACCTGCAGTCCGGGGCAAGCCAGGCTACACGGTATCTCTCCAAGGACCAAGGAGACGGCCATCGACACTCCAATTCCCGTGGGCGGGGAATCATGACGTATGCAATCTAATGTCGAGCACGGAGCATCCGAAGAAGAGCATATTGGTTCAGTCACGTTGTCAACCCCTGAGCAAGAACGCTGGTCGACTTGCAACGACGAAAGTCAAGTCATGATTAATCTGTTGCAATCTGGAAGGCTTCCGATGCGAGTCAACCTGGCGGGTTCCGCAACCCATCGTGTCCGGATCCGAGTTCCATGTGGCGGAAATGTCAGCGGTGGATGTCTGGATTCATTAACGCGCATAGTGAACTGGCGGGACTTCAGCCGGACAGGGACAAAGGCTATAACTAGTTAACTAGTTGGCAGGTTATTAAGGAGGTTAATTGGGTGGAATTCCGGGAGATAACGCGAGGACCGCCCATTGGCGACGGAGTCTAGACTGATTCAAACATTCCGGAGCAGGGAGCAGGGAGTAATTGATGGAGTTGAGTTGCCGCTGAGCTAATGGGAATGCTGAACAGCACCGCCAGGAATTGCCTGATTAATATTATTGTTGAAACTCTGAGAGTGTTTTCCAGAAAAGCAACGATCTGCCGCGGTTGGTCTCTTGGCGGGCTTGGCAGGCCGCGCCCCGCCCCCGACAGGCCAACCAGCAGGGCATATCTGGCCGGGCGGAGCCCCGGTGCGTGGAACGCCCCTACCGCGCTAGCCGGGGCAGGCAATCAGAGGCGTCGAGCCGCGTGTTGGCGCATCGGATTAGGGCCGGGGGTGGATCGGGCCCGCCGTACTTTAATTGTTTTTAAGTGTTTAACCATGGCGAGGACCCTCACCATCGCGATCATCAGGTCGATAGCTGCCTTGAGTATAGCATGAACCGTCAGCAGGTTTCCTTCGAGAGGTTCGGACCTTCGGATGGCGAACGCCTCGGCTGTTTGACTCTGCACGGAGATGCAGAACCGATGCAGAACCACACGCCCTCCCCCCCTCTCAAACGTGCGCGGTGTCAGGTTGGCTCCCGCAGCGCGACGAAACAGGAGGCTCCCAGCCGGCGCGCTAGTCGGGTGGGCTGTTCCATGAGCCGCGTCATGCGGCCTGTCGAGCATGGAGGAGATAACTATCTATCTAGCCTCGACCCTCTCCTGAGTCCTGACTCCTGAAGTTCTGGACAGCATGGCGGTAGATACCTACCTGACTGCCAGGCTCGCAGCGACCCGGCGCGTGAGGCCAACAATCAACCCGAAACGCGATCAAATTAAGCACCCGCGGGTCCGCTGCTGCTCTGGGTGACCTCCGTGCCGCTCGGACGTCTCACTGGACGGTGGCGGTGGGGATTGTTTCAGACATTCCCCTCCACGCCGACGATCGCATTCCCAAAGCCACTTTAGCCGCACTGCGATCGGCGGTGGCATCACCAGCGGCGCCAGCATCACCGGGACCCAGATGTTTAATTCTACAGTCTACACGTCGAGTCTCGAGGGCGGGACCGCGGGACAGCCACCGTCACGCACTCACCAGGGCGGATATTATTGTTGTTCGAGATTACACGGGAGTGGGGGAGGAGGGAGAAGACCAAGAGAACCGGTTGGTTTACCCACTGGACCTTTCGGCCTTGGGGGTCTTGGACTGCTATCAGGAGAGGAGAAGCCATGGCGTGGCAGGTATATAACCGTCGTCCTGCCGGCCGGTCTCAGATCCTTTCCTCTCTTGCTTCACACACTCTTGTCTTTGTCATTCTTTCCCACCCTTTCTTTTGTCCCCATCCCTGTCACTCTTTACCCCCCTCCGCATCATAAACGACTTCCAGGATGAAGTACGCTGTTGCTTTCTCGGCTATCGCCGCTCTTGCTGCCCGCGCCGCTGCTGTCGGTGTCTCGGGCACCCCCGAGGGATTCGCCTCCAGCGCCACTGGCGGTGGCAGCGCGACTGCTGTTTACCCTTCCACCACCTCAGAGCTGGTCTCTTACCTCGGTGATGATGAGGAGCGTGTCATCGTCCTGACCAAGACCTTCGACTTCACCGACTCCGAGGGTACCACCACCACCACCGGTTGTGCTCCCTGGGGTACTGCCTCCAACTGCCAGCTGGCCATCGACCAGGACGACTGGTGTGAGAACTACGAGCCCGATGCGCCCACCTCCAGCGTTACCTAGTGAGTCTCTTGCCTCCCCTCGCGTCCCCGGCGGAGCGAACCTTTGATATCTCTCGTGTTGTCTCGTACTGACATCTCCAGCGACAACGCCGGTGTCCTCGGTATCACCGTCAACTCCAACAAGTCCCTCATCGGTGAGGGTACCTCCGGTGTGATCAAGGGCAAGGGTCTCCGCATGGTTTCCGGTGTCTCCAACATCATCATCCAGTACGTGCACGCGGACCGGTCTCATCCCTACTGTCGACCAGCCACTGATTTGCCCCTCCAGGAACATCGCCGTCACCGACATCAACCCCAAGTACGTCTGGGGAGGTGACGCCATCACCCTCGACGACGCCGACTTGGTCTGGATCGACCACGTCACCACCGCCCGTATCGGTCGCCAGCACTACGTGCTCGGAACCGAGGCCGACAACCGTGTCTCCATCACCAACAACTACATCGACGGCGAGTCCGACTACTCGGCCACCTGCGACGGCCACCACTACTGGAACGTCTACCTCGACGGCTCCTCCGACAAGGTGACCTTCAAGGGCAACTACCTGTACAAGACCTCCGGCCGTGCCCCCAAGGTCCAGGACAACACCTACCTCCACATCGTCAACAACTACTGGGACAACAACTCCGGCCACGCCTTCGAGATCGGCTCCGGTGGCTACGTCCTCGCCGAGGGTAACTACTTCTCCGACGTCGACACCGTCCTCGAGACCGACACCTTCGAGGGTGCTCTTTTCTCCTCTGACAGCTCCTCCTCCGCCTGCGAGGACTACATCGGCCGTGCCTGCGTCGCCAACGTCAACGGAGGTGACCTCACCGGTACCTCCACCACCGCCCTCGAGGCCTTCAACGGTGACACTCTCGCCACCGCCGCTGCTGCCAACACCAGCCCTGCCTCCACCGCTGGTCAGGGTAACCTGTAAATGTAGTCTTCGGATTGCATGTCTCACCACTCTGGGCTTGAGCCCTTGGATCCCCCCCCCCCCCCCCCCCCCCGTCTAGAACAGACAAAGCAAATTCTGCTGTTGTACAGTAGAAGTGTGACACCAAAATAGCTTCTATCTTAGTTATTAATAAATAATATCTCTGAGATGGATTTTGTTTCTGACACCCCCACTGTATTCTTTATTGCGCCTAAAATACCGTCTTGTAAACCGTGTCCATGTCTGATCAGCTTGGTGAAAACTTGATTAATGTGAGTGGTAGAACGGCACACGTGGAAATAGTCTCTCGATCAGCCACCCAAAAGATCCATATTACTATCTACTACGCCCTACCTAGAATGTCCACTCGCATCATTGCATATCTGACTGCGGGAGACCTGAGGGGAAAGAAGCACTCCCCACTCAGAAAGAACATCCTGCGAGACAACCCACCACTCGACCGAAGACTGAAGCTTCCCTGCCACAGATATCATCGGATCCAAAATCGAGGATGTTAGAAACGAGCACCCCATAGTAAAAAGGTAGTATGGCATAGATACAAGAGTCCGAAATAATAACCACATAAGCCTCGTTCCTCTTTGTTTCCTTCATTCACGGCGTGTTTTCGGGTTTGGATTGGAATTTTACTTATATGCCATGCCACAGATAATCCATTCCGATATAGATATACGATGGAAAAATAGCCATGAAAATAGGTGAATGGGATAAATGCGTGAGCGGAGCATGTGCTTAATCTATGAACCCGATATTTACGAGCTTGCTCTCTAGGATACATGTATATGACAGACATCGAAAGTAGACGGAAGACCAGGATGAAACAAACCCCTGAGATTGAAGCTTTTCTTTGCTTATGCATCGATAATTAAATGATGCGTCGTTGATGACTAGAGAATTGCTGTGCTAAATGCTTCATGCACGTGGAGGTGACCGTGAAGTCCATAGGGGATCCCCTTCGGTGGGTGGGGTGATTAGACCCTAAGGAAAATTTTGTATACCTCAAGAAGATATTTCGTTGCTAGTGAGAAGGGTGCTTTGAAACTTCAATACGACCCTGGTATAAAACCAAGTTTTTTCACTCTGGGGGTTCCTTGAGACGCGCCGCTATCAAATCTAGTCTGATGATAGAACAGAAGCAAGCGGCATAGCAAGCGACCAGAATCTTCAACTGAGAGAGTAAAAGTGAAAGGAAATGCCCGGCATTCTGTTTGGCTTTAGATGCAGTCTCGCGTTGGTGGCAATAAAATCCGTTCTTCGCAGTAACACACCTACTCTGTACCAAGCTCGGTAGTGCAATCTACGCAGCTGTCGGCCGCCGCCCCCAGATCTCCTTCTCCTGGAGCCACCCCAGGATCTGGTCCGCGCCTTTGGCATTGTTACTTCCAACCGATGCATCACCGGAAATCCCACCGGGACCCGGGTCGTTGAGAGCCTCGACATTTCTAGTCGTGTTCCGAAGGACCTCTAGGATAGTCCCTCCGGGCAGATCACTCTCCTCGACACATCTCAGCATCGCCACGGCGACTTCGTTCGGCGTGGCCCACCCGTCCTTCTCATCCAGAAGCATCATCTTCTCCGGATTATCCGTCCACAAGGGCGTGCGAATCAGACCGGGAGCAACGGCATTGACACGAACACCGACGGTCTGTTCCAGTGGTCCCAGGCATCGCACGAAGCCTGTCGTGGCGGCCTTGGAAGCTCCGTACATCGGACAAACAACATTCGGCATCTGTCCCGCCACGGAAGAGATGTGAATGACACGGCGCGGGTTCTGAGGCGAGACAGGATCTGAATTCGGACTACCCGGGTGCAGCCAATGCGACAACGCCAGCTGGGTTGTGCGGATCGGATGGATCATATTGATATCGAACAAAGCGTAACGGTCTCCGTCTTCGTTGTCCCGGCTGGCTTGGGAACCGGGCGGATGCCAGAAATTCGACCAGTACGGCTCGTAGACCCCGGCTCCGGGACAGACGATGTGGAACTCCTCGAATACAGACAATGCCCGTTCGAACATGCGGTTCAGATCGGTCCACGAGGTGACATCTGTCCGCACAAAGATCGCACGGGGCGGGCCATCGGCGGCGTCGTATTTGGCGATGAGTTGCTCGGCTTCCGGGCGGAGCCCGATGTCGGCAATGACTACATTGCAGTTTCGAGCGAGCAGGAGAGTTGCGAATGCCAGGTTGATTCCTGTGCGGGTCAGAGCGGAATGCTAGCGCATTGAGGGGAAGGGGAAGGGTTACTGACCAGATCCTGCCCCGGTGATGATTGCTGTCTTGCCATTGACCGAGAACGGCAGGATATTTTCTCCTTCGGACTTGGCCATTGTCGCAAGTGGGAATTAAGTGTGCTTTTTGTCGTCGAGGTGGATCTACCTCAGAAACCCTCCGGATCTAAATACCCATCACCCACGGTCGCCGATTACGGCGAAACCGGACAGGAAGTCGATCTGAGCCCGTCGTGGACGCGGGGAACCAGCAAATCAACTAAACATCCGGCGTTCCACGGCTGCATGAGGCCTATTCAGCTCCGACGTCCGGTGTGCCTCTCTCGGATAGGGAAACCCATGGTTCCCGTTGGAGGGACGTGCAGCCTTTCCCGGATCCGAAAAACCTGTTCTTCAGGGGTTGGGATGGGTGTATGATATCACGACCTCGAGGTCACACGGGGTTTGATATCGCGGGATAGGGCATCCGCGACGAAGGAAGGGAGAGGAAGTGAGGGATGTGGGGAGGACAGCGTGACGTGGAGATGCTGCTGCTGCTGCATGGAGGTCTGAGGGCGGCAATAATCGGCACCCCTTGAACCCCTTCAGGGCGGCGATCTAGTCAGCCAGAGAGGCACCCCCAAAACCGACATCAGGCGGGATTTGGATTTCTGGGGATCTAAAGTGTCCAGAGGAGTTAGCAGTGGGAATATGGAAGAAGCTCTGGGAAGGATTGAGGATTGTCCACCAAGTATCGCAGTTAGAGGAGACTGCCCCCTGCAATAAAGGGTCTCGATGGGTGTCCAGCCGGTCTGGACCGATCGATTGGCTTGTGAGAGCAAAGCAGCGAGAGGAACGAGAACGGAGAAAATCCGGGGATGGTTACACTTTCACTTTCACTTTCACTTTCACTTCCAAGCGCCGAGTGGAGCCGCGGGCCGGCTTGGCAAGGGGGCAGTGCCGGCACTCAGCCACAGTCTCGCGCCCTTCATCTATCCTTTCGCTGTCCTCTCCTCTCTCCTTCTCAAGCAGCCAGAGAGAGAGAGAGAGAGAGAGAGAGAGAGAGCTTGAGCACGGTCGCTACTCTCTACCAAAAGATGCACCAGCCAGAATGCTGGGTGGAAGTGGGAATGCTTGTTCATTTCCCCAGTCACTAACCAATCCTATCAAGTAGCAAATGGCCTATCCGAAAACACCGGTCGTCATGTCGCATCAACAAATTGCACAGGAAAACAGAAGAGAAGAGAAGCTAAAGTCACCCAAGGGCCTGCTCGGTCATCATCGTCACTCATGAATGATGCGGCGGTCGCACCCCCGTCGTCTGGTCCGCCGCCAACACTCGGCAGATGCGAACCAGGTCCTCCATCGACGCCTGCGTGTCGGGATGTGTTTTGCCCAGCACCTTCTCGCGACCCCGGACTGTCTCCTCCGCCAGCGTCTCCGCCTCGTCCCATCGCCCTTGCGATTGGTAGATCGCTCCCAGGTTCGCCATCGCCGTCAGGGTATGCGGATGGAGGGGCCCGAGATTCTTCTGCATCAGCCGCAGCACCTGTGCCGTCAACGCCTCCGCGCCGTCGGTGTGCCCTTGTCCCTGATATGTCAAAGCCAGATCTGCCATGGCGGTCAGTGTAAGGGGGCTCTGGTCGCCCAGACGCGACTTCATCGTGGCCACTGCGCGCCCCCCAAGGCGGGCGGCCTCTTCGAATCGATCTTGACCCCGGTACGTGGACGCAAGATTAACCATCGACACCAGGGTCTGGGGGTGTTGTTCGCCCAGCTTCTCCTTGCACGTCTCCACGACCTGCGTCTCGAGATGCTCCGCCTCCTCCAACCGGCCCAGGTCTCGGTACATGGAGGCGAGATTCGCCATGGAGGTGAGAGTGAGGGGGTGCTGGGGCCCGTGGATGTCGATGCGGGCGTCCAACACCTCTGACTCGAGCTTTTCCGCCTCATCCAGTCGGCCCTGCTCGCGATAAGTGGTGGCCAGGTTGGACTTCCAGGTCAGGGTGGAGGGATGGTGGTCCCCCAGCACGCGAGTACTCCGCTCGACCACCCGGGTCTCCAACCGCTCCGCATCGTCATATCGCCCCATGTGACTGTACGTGGTCGCTAGGCTGCCCATGGAGGTCAAGGTGGACTGGTCATCCTCGCCCAGTCTGCGCGTCTTGATCTCTAGCAGCCGCAGCTCCTGCGCCTCGGCTTGCCGCCAATGGCCCTGCCTGCGATATGCCGCCGCCAGATTGGACATGGAGGCCATGGTCTGGGGGTGCTCCTCCCCCAGCGCCTTCTTCCGGGCCTCTGTCACCTGGCGACCCAGGTTAATTGCGTCCGTCCAGCGACCCTGGCCCCAGTATGCCGAAACCAGATTGTTCATGGAGGTCATTGTGCTCGGATTGTTGGGGCCCAGCAGGGCGCGCCGGGCATCGACCACGATAATTCCGACGTCGACGGCGGCATTCCACTCGTTCTGCTGCAAAAAGGTGAGGACCAACGCGCCGAAGAGCACGAGGGCGCCCGCGGGGTTGTGCGCATCATTCTTGCTGGCCTGATCCACCACCGCGTCCAACTTGGCGGCGGACTCGGTGTGCCCCTGGCTGTGATAGCGTTTTGATAAGCTTCTAAACGCAGCCCAAAAGGATTCGGAGGGCGGGACATCCATCTATGAGCGACACAGCCTTCTCGCGGCGGTCGGAGTGTGGCGGGACAGCGGGTGAGAGGGAATCGAGGCCGGGGGCGTATTGGTGTGGTGGGAGAGAGAGACACCTGAGACGACAGGAAGGAAATTAATAATCCGAGTTTGCGGCTGACAGCGATCGGCCAACAGGGAGAGGGGAGGGGGATATGGCAGACTCCTACCGTTGTCGTTGTCGTCGTCGTCGTCGTCGTCGTCGGCGGGGCGGGCTAAAGACAAGAGACGATGGATGATAGACAGTCTGGGGCGCACTAGCTCAAAGACGCCAACACGAAGTGTCTTTGGGAGGGAGAATAATGCGAATGACGGCTGCAGGCTGGTGGGACAGGACGACGACCATTTCGGCAATAGCAAGAGAAAGAAAGCAGGCCGGTTATCAGCCGCCAAGCCGCTAGGCCGGAGGGATGGGGGATGATCCTATCGTCAGTTTGCGTGCCACTCACTCATCTGCCCCCCCTGCGCCGAGAGAACCGGTCGTTCCCCACGGAGCTCCGGCCCTGGGCTGCCCAGTTGCGATACCCATGGAACGGTCTTCTGGTGAAGACCTTGGGACCTGGGATGGAAGACGGGGGATGATCCACTCGTGTTGCAGGGTGAGGAATGAGGAATGAGGAATGAGGAATATTATTATTAGAGGGAGGACTGGAGGAGGGAAGGAGGGAAAGAAAGAGACCAACCGCCCACCGGAAAGCCGGAGGACGCATTTCACCATTTCAGCCCTGCCGGTTAAAAATAGCTGCCTCCCGCCTTACCGTACCGTCATGACTCATGACGTATGTATAGTAATACCATCTGTCGTCAGGTATGGTACGGTCACTCCTCCCCCCCCCCCCCCCCTCCCTCCTCCCTCCCCCTTGGGAACATCATCGGGGTTTAAAGCAGGGAATTTCGTCTGTCTGTCTGTCGGTCTCTCGGTCGGTCTATCGCCATCTCCATCTCCATCCCCTCCCCCTCTGCTATCCCACCACCATGCCTCCCTCGCCCACCACCCCCCAGTCTGGGGAGCTCCGTGACCCCTTACTGAAATCCCTCCCCGAACCGTATCTCCAGCCGCTGTCCGCCCCGTCCACTGCCTCCGCCGACCATCGCCATCACTCCTCCTTCCTGCACACCATTGCAGCCGCCATCCCCAGCGCGGGCGCATACCCGTTGCTCGTCTTTCTCCCCCTGGGCCTCATCGCTGGGGTCTGCGGCTGGAACCCCGTCCTCGTCTCCATCTACAACTTCCTCGCCATCATCCCCCTCTCCGCGTTGGTGTCGGACTCCTCAGACGCCTTGTCAGATTATCTGGGAGACCTCCTCGGGGGCCTGGTTAACGCCTCACTGGGCAACTCGGTCGAGTTAAGCGTACGTTCCCGTCCTTCCTGCAGGGGCAACACCACCCCCGAACAAGGCTGAACAATGGATGTGTGCCATCTAGACCGGAATCTTGGCCGTCGCAAGCGGAGATTTCTACTTCGCGCAGTGTGTCATGATAGGGAGTATCCTTTCGGACCTCCTGCTGATCCTCGGATGCTGTCTCGTCACCGCCTCGTACAACACCTATATCCTCCACTTCAACAAACCCGTCACGGGCGCCCTGGCCTCGTTGATGGTCGTGACCTCCGTCGGCTTGATTTTGCCCTCCGTGCTGTACTCGACCTTCCCCTTCGACCTCGGCGACCAGATCGTGTCCTTTTCGCGGGGAACCTCTGTCGTCCTGCTTGTCCTCTACGGGGGTTATCTATACTTTCAGCTGGGGACGCACAGCCATCTCTTCCAGCAGCAGAGTAGCGATCAGGATGAGGTGGACTCGTCTCCAGAGCCCCGGCGGGATTTGAACAAGTCGCTGTTCATCCTCGCCCTCTCTACACTCGCGATAGTTGCCTGCACCAGATATATCCTGGCCAGCATCCCCGCCACGGCCATCGCCCTGAATATCTCCAAGACCTTCATTGCGACCATCTTGATCCCCATTGCCAGCAATGCCCCCGAAGGAGCCGCAGTGATCATGGCTTGCACCGGTGGTGGCGATGTGAATTTTGCCATCAGCGTGATCGTGAGCAGCATCCTCCAGATCGGGTTGTTTGTCATCCCGTTCCTGGTGATGCTTGGCTGGCCGATTGGCCAGCCCATGACCCTCTACTTCGAAACCTTCCACACGGTCGTCTTGTTCTTCTCCGTCCTCCTGGTCAACTGTATCCTGCAAGACGGCAAGTACACCTATATCCACGGCAGCATGTTGGTGGCCATGTGAGTGTCCCTCTTCCCTCCCTCGCTGTCCCACCCCACCCACTGACTGTTCCACGCAGGTATGCCATTCTGACACTAGCCTTTTACGTCCGCTAAGCCGTAGCCCCGGGTGTTGTCATTTTATTCATAGCGACCAGTAGTGATGCAGTGTCATTCGTATTGCATGCTATCTAAAACACGAGATGGATGAATATATATATGTATCCCATCGATGATGAAAATGAACGATCAAGATGTGTTCACGGTCACCACATCCGCGCTGGGGCTGATCCCCGGACAGACGTAGAAGGCCACCCCCGCAATGACATATCTGTCCAACATCATAGTTAGCATACTGGTCACGAGCAAGAGGCAGGTGAAGGGGACGAAATAAACTCACGTTCCACACAACATCAACCCATCGAAATAGTTGGTCCTCCCCTCGTGGATCACGTGGTTGGTGACCATGGCGGCCAGGAACAACATGGTGGCCTCGAAGTTATCCAGCTGGAGGGTCACCGATTGGCCCAAAGTCCAGCCCGTCAGCACGAGAACGGGCACCACGAGCAGGGTGAGGCGAAGCACACTGTTCAGGATGGTCCGGACCGCGGCTTCCACATGGCCTTGGCGTGCGATGACCACGATCGTAAGGGACTTGGCCAGATTCCCGACCAGCGGAACCCAGATGAGGACGGGGAAGCTGGTGTTCGTGCCCCGCTCCAGCGCCGCACTGGCGCTGTCGACCAGATACACCGTGCATAGCGTCAAGCAGGACACTCCCTCCGTCAAAGCCAGGCAGGCAGTCCGAGGGGTAAACACGGCGACATGCTCTTCCTGCACTCGGTCCCCCCGGTGGCTCTCCGTGTCGGAATCCTCCAGTTGCGCGCGACCTGTCCGCTCCGCAACGTGGAAGATCCCAGCATGCGTCTTGAGCTGAAACAGCAGGAAGATGGCTAGCAAGAAGAGCAGAATGATCGCGATCCCGTACGAGACCATGCGCACCTCGTGGCTGGTGACCACCGCCTTGAGGGAAATGGTGTCCAGGGACGGGAAGGTGACCATGATTCCGGGCACGACCAGCGCAATGCATACGACAATCATCAGCGAGGACATGATGCTAGTCAACGTGCGATCAAAGTAGAGATGCTCCTTGTCGTAGCCGGCAACCAAGAAACTGCTGCCCAGCACCTAGATACATACTGTCAGGCCCCGAAGCACGGGCGTCAATGGGATGGGATAGGGTAGCCTACCAGAAGAGAATAACACAAGATACTGCCGACCACCATGGAATGAAAGATGCGGCCCTGCCCTCGCTGTGCGGCGACAAAGCCGACCATCAGCTCGACCGAGTTCCCCAGGGTGGCTTTGAGTAACTCATGCAGGAACGGTCCCAGCGTGGCGGACAACTCCGCAATGGCAATTGTAATCAGTGCCATGAGCGGGACCAATGCGATGAGATTCAGCCAGAACACCATCGGCTGGGGACCCCCCAGGATGCCCGACAATAAACCCAGGGGGGCAAACACCACCAGCGCCCGCAGATAGGGGTGGCTGCCAATCTTCACGATGGCCATGTGGAAGGGATGTGCACGCCCGTAGGGCACTTCGGCGGGGGAGAAGCCATGGTCGCTGGGCGAGGGGGTGGGCGGCGATGAACCTCCCTCCATCCCAGACGAAGACGAGTTCTCTGCGGTGGAGGTGAAGGAGTGGTGGTGACGATGGCGAACGGCGGGCATGCCGGGCAAGACCTCCTTCCAAATGGTCAAGGTCAGATGAGCATGAGAGGTGTCATCGCTTTGCTTTGCTTTGTTTCTCCTGAGCGGTGGCGGCGGCAGGCAATAAGCTATGCGGGTCAGGTATAAGGTAAGGTAGTAAGTACCACGGTAAGGGGCTTACCGTCCGTACCGTTCTGCGGTTCTCGCATCGCCCGCCCCAACCGAGCGTTTCCTGCTCGGGCCCCTCAGCCTTACAGGGCTGGGTGGCAGCTTCTCATTGGCCTGTCCCCCCACCTGACCGTCCAGCCGACTAGCTTGGCGCCTAGGCACCCCCCATTCTCGCCCAATAGGGCTGTCTGGTTTGCCATGGACCCCCACCCTTTTACCCGCTTGTTCCGCCTTTTTGTCAAAACAATGGTATCGTTCCCGTATGACGTTATGCAAACAGTACATGACGGTATTGATGGTATCTGCACCACCCCCTCTCCTGTACTGTTAACTAGTCCGGCCTTACAAATGGCGCAGAATGGGATAACATCGGGTGGAGGCTCCACTACATGCTTCTGCTCAGAACTCCATCCATCCTCTCTGCAAAGTGGGATTACTACGACTCAAGATGCCGCTGATGAAACCCCCTCGACCCATGGCTTTACCCTCGCCCATTGCAAACCTCCGCCACACGGTCGAAGTGACTCTCCTTTCCAGCTACACCAATGTCCTGCTGGTCTTCGTCCTCCTGGGCATCCTGTCCGGAACTCAGGGATGGAACCCGTCGGCAGTATTCGTGCTGAACTTTTTGGCCATCTTTCCCCTGGCCTCACTGCTGTCCTTCGCGACAGAGGAGCTGGCCAAGAGCGTCGGACAGACCGTCGGCGGGCTGATCAATGCTTCGTTTGGCAACGCCATCGAGATGATAGTGAGTGACAGTCTCTTTACCATCCTCTAGTCGGTCCTCGCGGCTAACCAAGCTCCAGGTGGGAATCACAGCCGTGACTCAAGGAGAAATCCATATTGTCCAGAGCTCCATGGTGGGGAGTATCCTCTCGGGCACTCTGCTGGTGCGAGAAACATCTTGACTTTTTTTTTTTGCTGCCGTATCTAACTAGCACCCAGGTCTTGGGATGCTGCTTCTTCGCCAGCGGCTGCAACAAAGACACCGTTGTCTTCAACGTCGACGTGACGGGGATCATGTCGTCACTGATGATCGTGTCCTCCGCGGCCCTGATCATCCCCTCGACGCTGTACTCTACCGCCCTGTACGCTTCCCCGCATGGGAGTGAGTACATCCTGCATCTGTCGCACATCACCGCCGTCCTCTTGCTCCTCTTCTACCTAGTCTACCTCTACTTCCAGCTGAGCAGCCACGCCCAACTCTTCATCGGCACCGAAGACGACGAAGAGGAGGAACGGCAACTTGGTCCCCTCGCCGCCAGCTTCGTCTTAATCCTGGCAACTCTAGGCGTCACCGTCTGTTCCGATTACCTGGTCGACGGCGTAGACGGCTTCGTCGAGGCCTACGGCGTCAGCCGCGCCTTCCTGGGTCTCATCGTGGTGCCGATTGTCGGCAACGCGGGAGAATTCGCAACGACCGTGAAGGCCGCGAAGGAGGGGAAAGTCGACCTGGCGATCGGGCTGATCTGTGGGAGTACTCTTCAGATTGCGCTGTTCGTCACGCCGTTTTTGGTGCTCTATGGATGGGCCCTTGGGCAGCCGATGTCGCTGAGGTTTAATACCTTTGAGACTGCGTGTTTCTCACTTGCGGTGGTAGTGATGAATTGTCTGATTCGCGAGGGGCGATCGAATTACTTTGCGGGGGTGCTGTTGTGTGGGACGTGAGTGTTCCTTCTCTTGTTGGTTTTGTTGCATCGATTGTGTTTTGCTAACTGCGTGCTAGATATTTGATCGTTGCCATTGCGTTCTATGTGCATCCGGATATTGTGACGCCGTCGGAGTAGGCGTCAAAATATGTTTCTGGGGGGTCGAGGGGTTTCTGGATAGCCAGCACTGGGGTTGAAAATTGGAATAGAATGATTTTATTTGATACCAACACCGCATACACTAGACACGAAGAAGGATGGCCGAGCGCAGGATCAGGATGGCGCTCTTGGGAAATTAACACCGAGTCATCCTGGATGATGCAAGCAATAATACCATACACTATAGGTCGGTCCCGTCCGATTCAGGTTAAATTACGGAGCGGCCTCTGCCCGGTATTGTGGTACGCCCGAATACCGCCCTGACCCATACGGCCCCGGGATGGAAAGGGAACCGCCAGCCATCCATCCATCCATCTCCGCCCATCTCACTTCCTTCTCCCCTCTGCGCTGCGTGCAAACCCCCGATCATTGCACCGGGACAGCATTTGTATCTGTGGCGTTTCAGACCTGCCTAACGACCTGCATTCCACCCGAGCTGAACCCCACTAGCCAATAAGCCATGGCAGCCCGCCGTTCTCCAAGCTAAGCCCAACTCTCACCTCGCGATAGCCGAGTTTGGAACCAAGGCACAATGAAGGAGGTAAGTCTCCGATTCCCCACAGCCTCTGGCGTTACACCTGCTAGGGTCGATCCCCAGACCAATGTCCCGCCAAGTGACAATCAATACTAACGGGGATCCAAGAGCCTGAACGAGAAGCCGGGCACCTCCCACAGCGAGCCGCTGGTCAGGGGCGAGCGCGGCGCATTCCAGTTCTCGCCAGAGCAGCTGAGTGCACTGATCGACGCGCGAAGCCTCAACACTTTCTGCGCATACGGAGGCCTTCCTGGACTCGAGAGGGGCCTGCGAACGGATCGCAATACCGGGTTGAGCGTCGATGAGACGATCATTCCAGGAGCCACACCCTTACCGGTCCCCCATCACCATACCCACACGATCGGCCATCATCACCATCATACCGAGCACTTCGCGGATCGACGACGAATCTTCGGTGACAACCACCTTCCCGTCCCCAAGTCACCCACGGTCCTTCAGCTGATATGGATGGCATACAACGATCACGTCCTTTTCCTCCTGACCGGCGCGGCGATCATCTCCCTCGCCTTGGGTCTCTACCAAACGTTCGGAATCAAACACACGAGCTCGAATCCGCCGGTGGAGTGGGTGGAAGGCGTGGCCATTATCGTTGCTATCATTGTGATCGTACTGGTCGGCGCAGGAAACGATTTCCAAAAGCAGCTGCAGTTCCAGAGCTTGAACAAGAAGAAGCTAGATCGCGGTGTGAGGGTGATTCGCTCCGGTCGGCTGCAGGAAATTGCTATCTACGACTTGGTGGTGGGTGATATCGTGCATATGGAGCCAGGGGATGTTATCCCGGCGGATGGGATACTGATTCAGGGGCATCATATTCGATGTGACGAGGCATCCGCCACCGGGGAGTCAGACCTCTTGATCAAGACCACTGGCGATGAGGTATCCCGAGCCTTTGCTGAATGTCAGAACACAAAGCACCTGGATCCGTTCATCATATCGGGCTCAAAGGTTGCGGAGGGGGTCGGGTCATTCCTGGTGCTGGCGACGGGCACGCATTCCAGCTACGGCAAGATTCTTCTCAGCCTTGAAGATGATCCGGGATTTACGCCCATGCAATCACGACTGAATGTACTCGCCAAGTGGATTGCCAAGTTCGGTGGTCTTGCAGGCTTGGTGTTGTTTGTTATTTTGTTCATGAAGTTCCTTGTTGGACTCCATCACTCGACGACATCGGGGGCGGAAAAGGGCCAGGAGTTCTTGAATGTGTTCATTATTGCCCTCACGGTGGTTGTGATTGCCGTGCCGGAAGGCCTCCCTCTGACAGTGACTCTTTCTCTGGCTTTTGCGACTACGCGGATGCTCAAAGACAATAACCTGGTCCGGCAGCTACGGGCCTGCGAGACCATGGGCAATGCGACCGATATCTGCTCCGATAAAACGGGGACACTGACACAGAACCGCATGACAGTCGCTGCAGGGACATTTGGTCTGGGTTCAGAATTTCCAAGATCCGCAGCATCGGATCGCAGAGTCGGAGAGCGGGGCGACTTCCGCTGATTTTGCAGCAAGTCTCAACGATGTCGTCAAATCACTTATTCGGCAGTCCATTGCCCTCAACTCAACTGCCTTTGAGACAGATGCAGATGGGACTCAATCGTTTGTTGGGTCCAAGACGGAGTCGGCTCTGCTGGAATTCTCCCGGGAGTACCTAGCCATGGGTCCACTCGACGTCGAGAGAGCGAACTGTGAAGTGGTAGAGCTATTCCCCTTTGATGCTTCTCGCAAATGCATGATTACCGTTGTCCGCGTCGGGGAGGCCTACCGGGCTTATGTCAAAGGGGCACCGGAAGTGTTGCTGGGCATGTGTACGGCGGCAATGGTGGACCCGGCAGAGGAGCTCTCTATTGTTTCCTTGGATGGAAGCGCAAAGAAAACTCTGCATGAGAAGATCGACAAGTACGCCCGGCGGTCGCTGCGGACGATTGCGCTAGTCTTCCGAGATTTCCAGACATGGCCCCCTAATCAGACCGGGGAGATCCAGTCCGATACGCTTGATATCGCGGATGTCTTGTGTCATCTGACCTTCATCGGTATTGCCGGTATTCGGGATCCCCTGCGCCACGGGGCTCGCGATGCGGTGGAGACTTGCCATAGAGCGGGCGTGACGGTGCGCATGGTGACAGGTGACAATCTTCTGACAGCGCGATCTATCGCCGAGGAATGTGGCATCGTCTCCAGCGACGAGGACATTGCGATGGAAGGGTATGAGTTCCGAGCTTTGGACGAGGTACAGCAGCTTGAGATCGCGCCGCATCTCAAAGTCCTGGCTCGATCTCGCCCGGAAGACAAGCGTACGCTGGTCCGACGACTGAAAGAACTGGGTGCAACAGTGGCTGTCACCGGAGACGGAACGAATGACGCCCCGGCTCTGACCGCCGCCGATGTTGGCTTTTCGATGGGCATCTCAGGGACTGAGATTGCACGCGAAGCATCAGCGATTGTTCTCATGGACGATAATTTCAGCTCCATTGTCAAGGCGATCATGTGGGGGAGAGCAGTCAGCGATGCTGTCAAGAAGTTCCTGCAGGTAAGATACCGCACCAGCCCGGATCTCAAAGCGTCTATCTAACATGATCAGTTTCAAATCACTATTACATTCACCTCTGTCGGCCTGGCCTTCGTCACATCCGTCGCCAGCTCGAGCGAAACATCGGTTCTGACAGCCGTGCAGCTGATGTGGGTGAATCTATTCCAGGACACCTTAGCGGCCTTGGCTCTCGCGACGGATCCCCCGTCCCTCAAAGTCTTGGACCGGAAACCCGAAAAGAGGTCGACTGCCTTGATCACTGTAGCGATGTGGAAGATGATCGTCGGCCAGTCCATTTACCAGCTCGCCGTAACCTTGGTGCTGTACTTCGCCGGCAACAGCATCTTCTCCTACACGACCTCGCACGAACACGATCAACTCCAGACAGCCATCTTCAACACCTACGTCTGGATGCAGGTCTTCAACCTGTACAAGTGAGTCTCCCGCCCAACCCACCCTTCACATCCTCGATCATTCCGCGCTAACCAATGTACCTCAGCACCCGCACCCTCGGAAACAACCTCAACCTCCTTGAAGGCGTCCACCGCAACTGGCTCTTCATCGGCGTCAGCCTCGTCATGGTCGGCGGACAACTGATAATCATGTTTGTTGGTGGCCGCGCATTCTCAATCAGCCATCTTACTGGCGTGCAGTGGGCCTACTCTGTTGTCCTGGGGGCCATCTCCCTCCTGGTTGGGGTGGTCGTGCGTCTGAGTCCGGATGCGTTGTTTGAGAGGCTGCTGGGTGGTTTAGGGGTCGTCACTGGGCCTGTTCTGAGGACTCTGCGTCTGCGAAAGGGAGAATAGTTTTCAGGGAGAATAGTTTTCGGGTTAATAGTCTTCTGGCTTCTTTCTTTTCATTTTTTGATGCGTTATACCCCGGGGCCTGTGTGTACATTTGCACCTATATATAATGTTACTTTATGGATGGAATATTGTTCGAATATAATTCTGGGGGTTAGGAAGAATTGAAGAACTGCAGATGTATAGCAGTTGACAGCACTATAGGAAGAATAGAATACACTCAGAAATGCCAGTAGATCATGTCATGATTACGCCTGGCCAGGGGAATTGTCGGGTCACATGCCCACCTCGCCGCTCCTTCCTTCCTCCTCCGCTTCGTACTTCCTCCCCACAACTATCCTCGACGATCCCACCCCCCCCCTCCCCCACAAAACACACGGGGAAAGCTTCATTCCAACGCTTTCAAACCATGTGGTTCCGCCGCACCTCAGGCCTGGATGCCCTGCTGCAGCGCCCCGAGCAAGAGAGCTTTCTCCGCCGCTTCCTGCGCTCTCCCGTGACAACCACCGCACGGCTCCTCTACAACTACTTCACCCGCAAGCATCCCATTCCCACCCAGCAAACCGATAGCTCTCGAGTCCGAGTAGTCTGCATTTCAGACACCCACAATACCCAACCCCAACTCCCAGACGGCGACATCCTCATCCACGCCGGCGACCTCACCCAATCTGGGACGCAGGGGGAACTCAACGCGCAGATCGAACGGCTGGATGCGCAACCCCACCGACACAAAGTCGTCATAGCAGGCAACCACGAGCTGTGTCTCGATCCTCGCTTCTCCGATACTGCGACTACCATCAACTGGAAGTCCCTCATATACCTCCAAAACACCTCAACCACCCTCGAATTCGGCGACGATTACACCCCGCGTCGTCTGAAGGTGTTCGGCTCTCCGTATACCCCTAAACACGGCAACTGGGCCTTTGAATGCCTGCGGACTAATTCAAGATTCTGGGGAGATGTCGGGATCCCCGAAGACACGGATATCCTCATAACTCATGGACCGCCGAGGGGACATCTCGATCTGGGATGGCTGGGGTGTTCGCTTCTTCTGGAGAGATTGTGGGAAATAAAGCGCAGACCAAGGTTGCATGTTTTCGGGCATATTCATGGTGGATATGGGGCTGAGATTGTTTGTTGGGATGCGTTTCAAAGGGTTTATGAGGGGGTGATGGATCGGAAAGTAGGATGGGTCGGGGTGGTGAAATCGGTGTATTTGGGGACCGCACGGGCGTTGCTCGGGAGAAGATTCGGTTTGGGAGGCCAGGATATGATTATGGTTAATGCTGCTGTGGTGGGGGGTGTCCGCGATGAGAAGAGGCGGGAGGCGATCTGCATTGATATCTAGCCTCCAGCGCAGCTGAGGAAGGTCTCAGATTGGCCTTGTAATTTACCAGGTGATGTCTATTTCCGATTGGACTTTGCTGATCGTGTGTTGTAGGCCGTGAATTGGGACTAAATTGTATCTCATTGGACTCTTGACACCACGGTAGAGTCAAATAGATCCTTCCCGAGAGGATCATGCACTCTTTTGATTCATATGAAAGACGATAGGATTGCTTGCGTCTCTTTCCATGAATGTATCTTACAATGTTTCAAGTCATCCAGCAACCAGTGCTTCAGAGAATTCCAAGCCGGAGGCAGAAAGACCGACAAGTTACCAACCGTCAACAGCCAGATCCATAACTGAGAGGACACATAATCCTTAGTCCTCAGCTGTACTAGGCACCGTTCATATGCTGCGGACAGATATGGCGAATGAATGAAGCAATCATCCCACCGCAGGAAGACGTCGAATCCGTAGGCCAGCAGAGCAAGACGAACGGCCTCATCGCAGGACCCGTTCTCGAAGACCATCCGTTGTAGTGGATACATGACGGAAAGCATCGTCCTGACAAAATCTATCTCCGGAATTCGGCCGCTGGTTTCACTCGCAAGGTTCATATATGCACTGAAGGTCTGCATAGTGCGCCAGATCCCGGCTAGTCCTGGGTCCAGGTCCTGGACGAACGGGGGTTCGGAGATGAGACTCATTTTCAGGTACGGGGGAAACAGAATAGAAGGTCCGAGCTCCCTATACTCACCAAATACGGGCTTGTCACCCACTAGCAAAGCCCGTCCGATGTCGCAGCTTGATGGAATCGATGAGTGTCAGTACTTTATCCTGGAGTACCAGGCACGCATTCCACAGGAAATGAACGAACCTACCGAATAAGGTTGATGGGAAGTCTAGAAATCGACATGAACGCCTTCAGACCATCTTGCGCAGACCCTCGGTATGATGTCGCGCAGCACTCATATCACCCGTCATATGAGCATGCATAGCCAGAAGGCTCATGGCCGTGATTGTCGCATTGGATAAATGAGACTGCTCGTCGGAGAGCTTATCCCGCAGCAACCTGATGGTCCTGTTCAAGTAAGGCGACGCCGAACCTTTGTCGTCCTTCTCAAAGTACAGTTGAGCCGTCATTATTACGGCATTGACATATGCATCATTCGAGCTGAGCATGCGCAGCATCCAATGACTGTCAACTTTGTTGAAGACGACACATCGGGCAAGAGGGAAGAAACCCACTCTTGCTCTGTGTTCAACTGTATAGATTAGAAATAGAGCCACCACGGTACCAACGCACACCTACAACGAAAGATAAGGGATACCGCTGCCGCACTGGTAGTTGCATCTGCCAGCTGGATCAGGGACGTGTCGTTCCCGATACGGGGGGGAATATGTGGCGCAGACTGATGCATCTTGATCTGTTCCTCGTGCTCATTTGTAATGCCTGCATGGGTGTCGTGCGTGTGTGGGGCCTGTTGGCTGGGCTGTTCCACGCGGGCCTTCCCCCGATTCTTGCCCCTCGTGACATGGCTGCGAATGAGCTTGCGGGTGTGGGGGTCGACTTTCTTTGTCCCGGTGGATATGATGAATGGCATTTCCGCCTTGGATGCTATGGAATGGCGGGCTCAGACGATGTTACACGACAAACTGATCCGGGTGGAGATACATACCACACTGCCGAGAAGGAGGCATGGCGAGTGGGGCCACTGTGGTGAGTAGACTCAATGTATGAGTGAGTCGGGACAGACAGGTCTGGACAGTGGAATGGTATTAACTATACGCCTGTAGGAAGCCCATGGAGGCCCGGGGAGGGGGGAATGTGGTATGGGTATGAATTGTTGACTGGACAGGATGGACGTGAGTCAGGCTGTCAGGGGTCGAGGCCGAAGGACAAAGAGAACAGCACCTCAGGCTTACTAAATTCCCCAACCACCGCCAAGAACGCCATTTGCTGCATCCCTGTCTCGCGACTCACAACGCGCTGTTGCTGAATGGCACTACTAGCCTTCTCAACCGCTAGATTTGAAGGCCACCCGAGGCTTCTTCTTCCTGGGAGGAGCTGTCGGAGCCACGCGCTCCCGCCGCTGTATCCCCCACCATTCCCTGGTGACTGCTTCTTTTTCTTCCGGTAATTCCAAATTGAATGAAATCGAGGATATCCCAAATTACTATAAGCAGAACGATAGGATTGCTTGCATCTCTGTCCAGGAATACACTTCATAATATCTCAAATTATCAAGAAGCCAACTGTCAAGACCCAGATCCATAACTGCGGGAACACATAATCTTTAGTTTTAAGCTGCACTAACGCCGCTCCTGCATCGATAGCCCCACAAATAAATATCAGAGCTCTTCCAACACAGTCGTCACAACCTTTGATAGCTACCTTGACGCCAAGCACTGAAACAACAACGGTCCCGGTATATCCCATCGATATCTGTGGAATACTGGAGCTCGCGGTCCAAGAGTTGCACAAGATAGTCACACAAAAACAAACAGTAAGTCATGCTTACTAGAATGGCAATATTCAACTATAGAGCTCGGACTCCCGCTCCCATGTCTGTGCTATATCAATTGGGCTGCGGATCACAAAATATGTAAGAGAAAGCAAAAGCTCAATCCCGACAAATGAAATTCACGCACCCCAGCCAACCTTCCGATTTCGAAGCTCACACCTACTGGGAACATATCGCGGAGCTCAGTTGTCGTTCTCGATGTCGTCAATCAAGTCGTTGGCAAGTTTGTCCGCCGCCTGCTGTGTTGGGGCCTCCTTGACATTGACCCATGCCGTAGCATACGTGTGATGAGAACCATTCGCTTTGAGTAAGCTCTTGAGAACACTAGTCTTTGCCTCCCTATTTATCTGAAGGTTCACGGCAACCAAGTCGGGGTTGTCCTTCTTCGGCTCTCCGGCATCCAGCCTAATTTCCCACTCCGCATTCTTCCTTGGGTTGTCCGCTGGCCACACGCGGCGACCGGGAGTACTGGGGTCGAAGTTCAATAGGCGCTTCGGTCCGGACGCAGTCTTCATAGCGGAATCGACCAGGGACCGAAGTTTGCGTTTGAGGGCGTTCATCTTGAGGTATATCTCTGGAGCCGGGCATTAGTGAGGTAACAAAGGGAGCATGCTGATGGAAGATTACCTATCAAAGCTTCTTCAAAGAAAAATAATCTGCTTTGGTCGAACACAGAGCGGACTTTTCTTGGGAGAGATGAATTATAACTGAATGGGTTGAAGTTGCATGAAGGTCCTGCCCATTCCGATTGAAACGCTCACTTATATGTTGCGCAATGGACATTTTTGGAGTCTCTCAATCGACGCTAGAGCAAACCGCGACGCGCCCACTGGTTGCTGTAATTATCGCAGTCTACCTCTGCTTGAGAACTACTGGATGTTGATAGCTTGCCAAGCGCTCGTCATTGGCGCTGGGAGATCGATTGGACAGACCGCGAGTTTCAAGGCGGTGCTGAAGATGGGGTCGACAACCAGGCATTGCGGCACCTATTATGAATGATGTTGGCTCCGTTGTCTATTCAGGCGCTTCACGCAGAGGGCCAATTGGCTGAGAACTTCACATGCATCCTGCGGTGTGGTTTCATACCTCCAGAGCTGATTGGTTGCTGCTCGCCAAGATCGCAGTAGGCGCCGGGTAGCCAAAAAGGGCTAGCGCCCTTACTTTTAGACGGCGCCTCCCCAACCGCCGCCAAGGCCGCGACTTCCATCCATCCTTGCTTAATGGCAACGAGATGACAGACTTCCGACCTCTTTCAACCACTAGATATGAAGGCCATCCGAGGCCTCTTCCCGGGAAGAACTCTAGGAGCCACGCTTTCCCGCTTCAGTAATCCCCACAGTACACTCATGTCGGCTTCTTTCTCTTCCGGCCAGGCCAACATGAATGAGACCAAGGGTGTCACAGATTCCAGGCATGACCTCGAGGCACTCAATCGATTCACTTCAGGTCGCTGGCTTTGGAATGAGGGACAGCAGCTTGCCTGCCGCTATGTCAAGTTCGACCTCTCAACACTTCTGCAACTAGCTGCCTCTGCGATCGGATCGAAATCATGTACCCAAGTGTTAAAGATCTCGGAGGGCCAGTATAACAAAGTATTCCAGCTTACCATGGACGATGGACGCGAGATTATTGCGAAACTTCCAAATCCCAATGCAGGCAGACCGCACTTCACGACAGCCAGTGAGGTTGCCACTATGGACTTTGTATGGCCTGCTTTCTTTTCTGCTCCGTCTTACGCGTCAGTACTGACTTTGCTAGCTGAGAAATGTGCTAAATCTCCCTGTTCCGAGAGTGTACGCGTGGAGCTCTCGAGCATCACAGAACCCTGTCGGAGCAGAGTATATCCTGATGGAGAAGCAGGCCGGCGTGGTCCTAACCGATGTATGGGACGTCATCAAAGGGAAGCAGAAAGTACAAATTCTCGACCAGATTGTCGATATTGAAAGGCGCCTAGCAGCTACAACATTCTCCAAGTTCGGGTCGTTATACTATAAGGACGACCTTCCTGAAAATTCGGATCCTACTTCACCCCAATACCGTGATTCAACTGGGAAGGAAGTGCAGAGCGAAACCTTTGGCATTGGACCGACTAACCACCGTTCTTTCTTTGACTTTAGGAGAGGCGAGTTGGATATTGACTGTGGTCCATGTAAGTTCATCTCCGACTCGTGATATATCATTGCCCTGTGCTTATCCCTGCGCAACCCTCAGGGTCAACAGTCACAGAATTCATGACGGCTATTGCCCGGAGGGAAATCGCAACCGCAAAGTCAGGTCTCCGATACCCCTTGATGCCCGAAGGCCTCTTCTATGGGCCCCGACAATACCAACCTAGCCTCTCCAAAAAGCTCACCGCGTTGGAAAACTACCTCAAGGTGGCACCTCATGTTCTCCCAGAAAATAAAGCCACTCACGCCTCAGTCTTATGGCATGGCGATCTCCATTCGCATAATATCTTTGTCGACCCCGAAGACCCAGGTCGCATTGTGGGGATTATTGACTGGCAGTCCGTCAGTGCATGTCCCCTTTTCATGCAAGTTGGGCGCCCGGCGTTTCTCGATTACAATGGCCCGGTTCCTGATGGGTTGGGGAAAGTCCCCTTGCCACCGGATTTTGACTCCATGGATCCCGAGGAGCAGCGAGAGGCAAAGGAACTCCATAGGGCACAGACACTGCACAATCTCTATCTAGTTCGGTGTCTTCAGGGTAATGAAACGGTCTTTCAGGCGATACAGGGCCAGAATACTCTCCGGCATCAGGTTAGTGTGGTCCCGGGATTAGTTCTGATGGACTACGAGCCGCTTCTCAATAACTTGTTGCGAGATGTCGAGAAGGAATGGGAACAGATTACTGCCGCGGGCGAGGATGGTAGTTCTTCTGGAACGCCGTTCCCGTTACAATTCTCGAAAGAAGAAGTCGAGCAGCAGGTACAAGATGGAGAGCTATGGGCGCAAGGTGTCGAACTTATGGACGCATTTGTTCGCGACACTGGCTGCTTCAAACACTGGGATGGTAGGGTTAGCGATGGAGATTATGAAAAGTCTAGAAGGGAGCTGGATGAGGGGGTGAAGAGGTTCTTGGATCGTCAAGCCAGAAATTATGAGGAACAGAGGGAGTGGCTCAAAGCCCTACCATTTGTGGATTGAAATGGGTGGCAGCTGGAAGATATCGCTGATATCAGCATTTCGCAATTTAACCAGTCTCCCTTATTTACAAATCGAATCTACGCAGGCAAGCAGGTTGCATTGCATACTACTACAGTACTGACAGGCTACACGCGGGCCAACTTCACAAGGTTCAACGATAGTAAGAAAAAAAGCGTATTATCGAACCAGGCCCTTCCTCCATTCAGCAATACCCATGGGACGATTTCTCGCCACATATCCTCAATACATTGAAACCAAGCCCATAATCCGCTTCAATTCGTTTCGTCCCACACATCTGCAATGCGACCAGCTGTCTCCCACAACGTACCCAAAACCAGGCTTACATGTTCAGATACTGCTCTCTCAGTCTCTCAGTCCCTCCTCCTTCATTCTCTGGCCATATCGCTCCTCCAAGTCGTGCAACTCCACCTCGGTTGGGAGAGAGTAAAGAATGCAACCTGGAATAGATGCTCTGTTAGCTGGTTCCATCTGTCAAACCACTCATCATCAAGTCCATACCGTGCTCTCTCTCACAAACCTTCCTCCACTGTTTGATGCGAGCCCTCAGCTTCTTCTTCGGCACCACATTGCGAACCTCTTCCCGGCCGAGGGTGGTATAGAGCTCCTCAGCACGGGCTAGCATCTCCCTGGTCGAGGTATACTCACCCCGCCAGGCGTGGTCGATCAGCAAGTCAATACCATCGTGCCCGGTGTAGAATCGAGGAAGCAAGAGATCTCCGGTCTCGCTGTTCGTCCGAATCTGAGGCGGGTATCCCTTCTCCATTTCATAGATCAGGGACCCCATGGCGAATCGATCGCTGGCGTCACAAACCGTCTCTGTATACCCGTTCTGAGGCGTTCCGATGAACGGGTTTGATGCTCCCTGACGACAACTTCCGCCAAAGTCACTCAGCACGGCGTTTCCCTTGTTATCCAGCAGTATGTTGGCTCGGTGCAGATCAGAGTGGGTGATGCCCAGGCTGTGGATGTGTGCCAGGCCCCGGATGATATCCTGATACCAGCGGATGCGTCTCCCCTGCGCGGTGAAGGCCGGATCAGGACACGAGTGGTACTTGCGGAAATAGATGCCTTCGGGGCGAGTGGTGTCCAGCGCTTCCACGATGTTCGGGTGCGGATGCTTCTCGAGTAGACGATGCACTGCTCTTTCGTCTCGCATGAGGCTCGCGTGTTGGAGTGTCTTCGAGGCATAGATCCATCGGTCGTGCGAGGAGGTCTGGCGAGTTGGACGCGTGTAGAGTCGACTGGCCTTCAGGACAATGTCGTCGTCGATGCGATACACATGTCCCTCGGTGCCAGCGCCAATGATTTCCAGATTTGCCTGATAACAGGGCATGGCGTCGACGTTGAATGTGTGGTATCCGGGGATGTCGTCATGCAGGATGGCAGAGGCGGGACTGTTCTGTTCGATGTCTATCTCGCGCTCGCGACGTGCGAAGATGAGGGGAGCAACAATCCAAAGAATGGCAAGAACACCGCAGACCGCCACACATGCCAGTGCAAACCAGCACCAGGATAGGATCGATGAATCCATCCTGTGCGCGCAGTCAGGAACGAAAGTGAGGTTGTGCTGCTGGGATTGAGGAGAGGTGGATGAGAGAGAGGAGGAGAGAGGAGGGGGGGTTTAATACCTATCGCTCCATCCTGTGCTCTGTGAATAGAGTCGCGATGGTGATAGTAGGTAGTCTTTCACTGTTGAGGTTGTGTGATTATCATCCAACATCGTTCCCTTGGAACGCAGTGCGTTTGTGGATTGAAATGGTGCCCAGAGCGCTCTTATCCTGCACTGGTTGTTAACTGGGATCTCTCATTGGTTTGCCTACTTGCCATTAACCCAATGTTCCATTGTTTGAGGTTCTATCGTTCCAAGGAAGGTGGCAAGATATCCTGTCTCTGTCCCGCTTGTCTTGGATTATTGCTAGGTGAATGCCTCCAGATGGAGTGAAGTGTTTCTGCTGTTATATATCCAGCGCCCAACGAAGATCTTATCTATTCATCAGAAACCATATGTTAGATAGTAATTGGACTGGATGAGATCTTCTTATCTGTGAAGTGTGAAGTACAGCTATCCCATTATATCCTAGATACTTAGGGATGTTTTGGGTGATAGGCCTGTATACATGTCTTGATGCAACACTGCACATGCTGGCATAATCAGCTGGCATTTGTGCATCTTATGCTCGAGAATAACACCTTCTTGTGTCTTTGAATGATGATCAGACCTCTTCCTACCTCCTACAGTACTGCTGGAAACATTAGAATATCGCTAATCTTTCAGAAAAATGTCTGCCGACGCGCATATCTTTTCCGTGTGGACGTGCAAATTTAAGCTAGATCCGGTCCGTTCCTGACAAACATATGCTTATTGCTCATCCCGTCACTGGCATGCCTGCAGATGTCGAATCAGCCCGACTGAGTAATCGGGTCTTTACAATCCATACGAGAGCAATCTGCACCCCTGTCGATAGAAACTGGATAAATCGCAGTGGTGATAATGGCCGAGCTATTGAAAACAGACTGGGGCGAGTCCGGATTCCAGACTCAGGTGAATGCAGCCCACTCGCCTGACTCCGAACAGGTCAGTGAGAAGAATTGGGTCTCGTCCGATGATGGGCAATCTGCCTCGAAGGATGTCTTCGTCAGGTCAATTGCTGGATTTAAGGTGAGTAGTTTCGTGAAATGGATTGGCTCGACTGCAGGACGCAGACGCTCATGGCGCATGGCGGTGTTGTAGTGGATTCTCGTCGTGACGGCCATCTTGTCCAGCCGTATGCTCTTTGCGCTGGACAACACCATCGTCGCCAATATTCAGCCGGTATGCGATGCCTCTCTGTTGTGATAGACTGTGCAGCGGGACTGACTCTTCCAGGCTATCGTCGAGACATTCCAGGAAGCCCAGAAAATGTCAATGCCGTGATTGTTGGTCGTGCAATCGCTGGAGCAGGGGTGAGTTTATCATCTTCTCCCCAGCTGATTGTACTCGTATGTTAATGTCCGAATCAGGGGAGCGGTATGTACGTCGGTGTTTTGACATTGCTTTCGGTCAACACCACTGTCCCTGAGCGCCCTTTTTGCATCGGATTAACGTGAGTGGTAAGCCCTGATTGATATCCCGACACAGAGCCGTCTCCTGAGGAATCGGAACCGCAACGGGACCGGCCATCGGAGGAGCGTTTGCGGAGAGTTCTGCAACATGGCGCTGGGTATGAGCTTCCAGTCCCCGATAGGCCGACCGCTGAATCTGACACTGACATCGGCATTCCAGGCCTTCTGTATTAACATAGTGATCGGAGGCGCTTTCTCTCCAGTCTACGTCCTCCTGCTACCGTCACATGAGCCTCTCCCGACCGCCACTCAACAGGAGAAGGCGAAGAATATCGACTGGGTGGCTCTGACTGGCCCTGGGGCGGTGATTGTTCGATTGCACTTTTTGTCGTGGCGGGAATTTTGTTCATCGTCTTCGGTGTGCAGCAGACGTTTCACATTTGCTGCAATGAGAAGAATCGACTGTTCCCCATCCACTTCCTCAAGAGACGCTCCTTGCCCATCCTCTTCATCCTGAACAGTGCGTACCTTCCAGCGGATTTTCTCTGTCACCACTGACATACCTCTAGCCTGTGCCAGCAGCGGACTTTTCATTTCCGTCTACAAAATTCCGTTGTTCTTCCAGTTCACTATGGGTGACACTGCGATTAAAGCCTCCCTGCGCTTACTGCCCTTCGTGCTGGTGCTTATCTTCATCATCATCATGAATGGCCATATGATGACCAAGTTCGGCTATTATCTGCCGTGGTATGTATTCGGGTGTACCCTGGAGCTGATCGCCGCGGCCTTGGTGTGTAAGCCTCCCATTCCTCTGCACGACCCACTCTTCGGTGGCATTTTGAATAACTTCGTCTCAGTCGTGGTTAAGACTGGTACCTCTGCGAGTGCGATCTATGGCTATACCTCCCTCATGGCGCTGGGAGTGGGCGCATTCAATCAGGCCGGGTACAGTGTCGTCCAGGCGAAGGTGAAGACCAGCGAGATTCCATGGGCGCTAGGATTTATGATGGTTTGTAAGTATACCCTGCTCTTGGCTCAACTGATATCTTGCTAATCCCAACCAGCGCAACTCGGAGGAATTGTCATCGGCCTGGGAACAGCTGGCGCGATCTTTGTCAATGAAGCAACCGAGGGATTGCTAAAGCTCCTCCCCGAGGTAGACCCTGAAGTGGTGAAAAATGCCATCGCGGGGACCAGCAGCTCCCTGTTCGACACGTTGACCATTGATGAGAGAGCCAAGGCATTAGACGTGATTGTTCATGCAATTAACCAAGTGTATGAATTCCTGCAGGGGTATAATCTGGACCGTCACTGATATTATCCGCCACAGGTATATCCTCCTTATTACTGCTGGAGCGATGGGGGTCGTTCTTTCAGTCTTCCTCAAGGTAAGTCCATGTGTACTTGCGCCATTAATCACAGTGCTCTACTTGCCAACATTCTGACGTGGTCTCCAGAGCGAGAAGCTGTTCCTCGAGGTAGCTGCGGGTGGCGCATAGAGAAATGGTATGTCAAACATCATATCGGTTGCATCCACCAAGGGACGGACTTGATGCGAGTTTGTCAGTCGTTAATATAGCGGGAAGGTTTCTTAATGAGTTTAGATGGATGAAGGATGTGCCACTTCGACGGACAGGAACGCGTTGGCTGGCGTTTTGTCCATAGAATGATCTTATCTGTGTTTGTGAAACTAGTCCATTGATCACTCCAATAAAAGCATATTTTCGAGTGAGAACCTCGTAATACCTGGCCAGAGAGAATAGATGGAAAGCCATTGGCCAAGCAACATCTGGCTCTCGCACCCTGACCCTGCATGGCACGACAGCTGACAATCCGGTTGCCCTGAACATATGAGGTCATCTTGGCCCAATCCCTGGGAACAACCTTGAATGGACGCGTCAATCAAAAACAAGTCCACCAAAGCTCCGAGATGCAAATGTTGGTGTAAGTAGCCTTAGCTGTTCGTGCCAGCCACTGATGGCAGTTCCCAGTCGGTTACGGGGTATGGATAGATCGCTTTGTATGCCCACATGTGGCTTATTTATTGGTGAAACCTGAACCGGGGGCTCGAGGCCTCCATCGGTCTTGTGTAAAATCACTACATTCCCTTCCCATCTTCGTGTGACTGATTCTGACAGCCCCGCCCTATGTCTTACAGTGACGGGGGGGGTCCTATTCATTCTCACCTGTATTCACCACATGTCAGGTTATCTGTGAATCGGTGTCTATCACTGTGATCCTCGATTTCACTTTGGTTTAAGATAAAATTGAAATCCTCTTATCACTTACCATTTTAAAAATCCTGCTCGAATGGTATTGCCTTCCGCATCTGGTGCTGAGCTGCCCAGCATGGCAATCCCAGCAAACTGTACAGTCCTGGTGGTAGGAGGTGGCCCAGCAGGATCATATACAGCCTCTGTGCTGGCCCGCGAGGGTATTGACACCGTCCTGCTCGAATCCGAGGCTTTTCCCCGGTACCATATTGGAGAGAGCCTGTTACCATCATCGCGCTACTTCCTGGATTTCATCGACCTCTACGACAAGTTTAACAACCATGGGTTTGTGCAGAAAGTAAGGGTGGCGGTGCAAATCTGAATAGTGTGAAGGCCACTGACTGGGATAGACCGGGGCCGCATTTAAGTTTGTGCCAGATGCGCGAGTGGACGAATGTTCGTAGAGCCGGCCTAGCTTAAACACCAATGCACGTCGCATTCCCAGCTGACAAGTTCTAGATACGGATTTCCTGGCCGCGGGAGGTGCCGGCAACCATGCGTGGAACGTCATTCGGGCCGAAGCCGACGATCTTCTCTTCCGACATGCAGGTGACAGCGGAGCAAAGGCCTTCGACGGAGTGAAGGTGACAGAGATTCAATTTGCCGCCTCTCCCGACGAGCCTGGACGGCCGATCTCCGCGTCATGGGCACGCAAAGGTGGCAGCACGGGGGATATCGCCTTCGAGTATCTCGTGGACGCATCCGGACGGGCAGGCCTGGTCAGCACCCAGTATATGAAGAATCGCCATTTCAACCCAGGTCTCAAGAATGTTGCAACATGGGGCTACTGGACGGGCATACGTACGTATGAGAAAGGCACGCCGCGGGAGAACGCACCCTACTTCGAGGGCCTAACCGATGGCAGCGGGTGGGTCTGGTACATCCCCCTGCACGATGGAACTACGTCCGTGGGAGTGGTCTTGCAGCAAGCCCAAGCCTCTGTCAAACGAAAGGGCATGGGTCACGCCGACTTCTACCACGCCACCCTCCAGGAGGCCCCTAACGTCGCCCGCCTGATGGATGGGGCCCAGCTCCAGTCGGGTTTGAAGTCCGCCTCCGACTGGTCCTACCATGCCTCGACCTATGCCGGCCCCTTTCTCCGCATCATCGGCGACGCAGGGTGCTTCATCGATCCTCTCTTCTCGTCCGGGGTCCACTTGGCTATGGCTACGGGTCTGTCCGCCGCTGTGACGATCTGCGCGGCGCATCGGGGAGACTGTAGTGAAGAGGCCGCAGGCAGCTGGCACACCAAGAAGGTGACAGAAAGCTATACCCGGTTCCTGTTGGTGGTCACTAGCGCCTTGGAGCAGATCTATGGTCGGGATCGGCACATCCTTAATGAGCTGGAAGAGATGGACTTTGGGCGGGCCTTTGCCCACTTCAGACCGAGTAAGGCTTCGGTGCACTCCCTTCGTTCCCAGACCGGCTGCTAACCCTCGGTGCAGTTATCCAAGGTACCATCGATGCAGGGGGGAAGCTGAGCCGAAGCAAGGCCGCCCAGTCCGTCGACTTCTGTGTGCAGGTCCTACAGAAGGTGCTGGCCTCCACGGCCGAGAATGGGGCGACACGAAAGGGGGAACCGGACACGGGGGCACTGGGACTGATCCGGCCAGACGACCGCAGCCGAGAGCCGGTGCGCAAAATCATGCAGATGCATCGCGTGCTGGACCTGAGCCACTTCACCACGGACGTCATCGATGGGATGGCCTCGAATGTGCAGCGGGGGGATCTGGGCCTGGTCCGGGCGATAGACAAGTAGTAAGTAGTAAGTTCTGAGGTGTTATCCTCTGCTTCCTGGACGTAGCCTAGCTAGCCTAGCTAGCACCAAGCATTCCACTCCTCTCCTGGATTCTCTGCTCCCTGACTCCACGTAGATAGGTAGTGGTTATAGCAGGATAGAGATCGTAGTGGAGAAAGGGAAGGAAGTGGATCGAAAGAACGAAGATGGAAGGGAGGATTGGCTTTGTGGGTGGCCGCCGGGCCGCTAAGCCGCATGAGGCATGGGGGTTAGCCCCGGTGACGAGTCACCTGACCTGCAGATGACCCTGTGGCGCACGATGACGCCATTGTCTTCAGGCACTCTTCAGGCACCCTTCAGGCACCTTTCCATCGGCCCGGGCATATCCGCACGTGGGGCAGGCATCAAAGCCTGCAACATCCGGGCCCGAGAGGCGTCGACCCGGTCTAGAACCCCCCCGATTACTACTGCACTTCGATATAAATGCCGAATGGCCATCGGTGGGGCTCGTCAGCGGCCGGACAGGGGTCTTCGTCTCTTCTCTGCCTCACAGTATCCCCAGCATCAGCCCTAACGAAGACATGGCCGCAACCAAGCTATTCCCCGGGGATCCGTCCGATGTGATGGTGATCCGCGACGTCACCGACCAGATCACCACCTTCAGCGTCCCCTTTGCCCGCTTCGGCCTCTTGCGCTTTGGGGGTAGAGGTACCCTAGGTCAGTCCAGCCCTCTGCTCGCGTAGTTGGAGGCTCCATTGCTTCGGGACACGTCTAATCTTGCGCAGTCAGAATGGCCAGCGGCTCGCTAGTGATCGTCTCTCCCGTCGCGCTCACCCCCAGGGTCCATGACATCATCACCAAACATGGGGGCAAGGTGGATTACATTGTGGCCCCGGACCTGGAGCATCATATCTTCCTGTCTGCCTGGAAGAGCGCCTTCCCGGGCGCCTCGATCATTGCCCCCGAAGGCCTCTACGAGAAACGCCAGAAGTCCCCCGAGTACCAAAGCGACCCCTTCGAGTACGTCTACACCAAGGAGAACAAGCACTCGCTTCGCATCGCAGGGGACTTCCACTCCGAGTTCGAGGTCGAATACGTCGACGGGCACAGCAACCGGGAGATCGTCCTCTGGCACAAGCCGACGCGAACCGTCATCGAGGCCGATCTGGTGTTCAACCTGCCCGCCACGGAGCAGTACTCCCAGTCCGGGGAGTCCCCGACAGCTGGCCTGCTGAACCGTCTCTTCATGCCGCTGATCACGGCCACCCCGTCGACCTGGCACGAACGCTTCGCGTGGCATGTGCTGTCCTCTCAAGATCGCGATTCCTTCACCGAGTCACTCGGGCGGATCAAGGAGTGGGATTTCAGCCGTATCATTCCCTGTCATGGGGATGTCATCGAGGATGGCGCCAAGGAGGTGTTTACCCGCATCTTTGCCAGGTTCTGGAACCGATGATGGGTGATCGAATACGGTGATTCTCAGGGAGGTGAATTTCCGCCGGTCCCCGACAGTGTATATATATATATCTACTACCACTTTTGTACTATTAGTAATTTAGAGTCGTCATAGTAATCAACTGTTCGAATGGTGTTCGGAGTATGGTTATTTCATTTCAATTCCAGACTTATACAGACACCAGGCATGGTTCATGCATTCATTTCCCTGACTGACCACCATCGATCTGCTAGGCACCGTGAGGCACAGCCGGAGATGACAGTGCCTGAATATCCAGGCACTTTAAGATTCTGCCGGACACCCTCCCAGAGCGGTAGGCGGGGAAAGCGGACGTTCTTCATCCCGCATCGGCTCACCATCTTCCTCTCCGTCTTCTCCCGCTCTTCTTTCCCCCGTTGTCTCTCCCAAACAGCTGTCTTGAATCACGACGAGCAGACTTTATTGCCTGCCAGTTTCCTCCATGGTACCCTACTTCTGTCAGGCTCCGGGCTCGGCCTGCTCTCCCATCGCACGTAGCGCGTGCCCAGTAACGGCCCTATGTGGGACCCCTCCAGCGTGACCCTGTCCCGAGTGCCGACGACCTCGATGCGTGGGCCTCGCTGTCAACATCCGGCCTGCCATCCCTTCTATTTCCGCGATAACCTTGAAAGTGCGCTGGAGAACCCTGCCATTGTTCAGCCGATTTCTTGCGCAGTCTCTCAATAAACTCCGATGTTGCGAAACCCTTCGTCACTGTCTGGGACCAAGTCAACTAGGGATACGAAGAAGTGAGACATGCGGGATGAAGCACCGATCGGCAGGAACAACTACTCTAACGGGTTGGATGCGTTGGTTCCGATGGTTTCACAGGCCCCAGCCCCAACAAGCCCCAGCCCCGCCGATTTCCTCAGTCTGAACGCGACTTCAAATCCTCCTCGATGTGGCTCTATCCCTCATGACTCGCCCGGTGAGTTGCATTGAGAACAAAGTACCCCATTGGGCAATGACTCCGGGGAACTGTGACCGGTGACCTTCTTGGCAACCTGCATGGGGAGGGATTTTGCACTGCTCAGCAGGCCACGCAGGGTCTTCCGAGGCCTCAAATAATGAGTTCACGAGAACATCGCCGCGTTCGGTGACGACCGTGACAGGGCAGCGCTTCGGCTCGTGAACGACTTATCACATCACAAACAACCCTCTGGCCGCGAGCGGTCTCAAGGACCCCTATGACCCGGAACTCTGGGATGATGGTGTCCACCGGAAACTCACCTGCGCCTATGCGCTGAGTCAGAGCTTCGCGAACTTTCTGGATATAACCACCCCACCGCAACTCGACGCTATGGATTTTACACGTCTTTGATCGGAACGTGGTGGCCTATTTTTATTTGCTTCGACCCGATGCTTAACTACCACGCCATTCTTAACAAATACATCGTCGGGCTGGAGGGGACGTCATCAATGATGTCTCCATTCTGGTGGGCGACGCCAAAAAAGGAAGATGCCATCGATCTAAGCTTGATCTACACCGGAGTGGAGGACGATTCGGCAATCAACTGGACCTGCGGACCGTATGCCGCGGCACTACCGGCTGCCAACCCAGCAAACAACGACACCGCCGCCATCGACGCATACAACTCCACCATCATCATCCGCTCAGGCTACTACACGTCGACATAATGTTCCCCGACCGATGGAATCAGTTTTCCTTCAAGGCAACTTGCTACAGAGTACGATTTCTTGATCCAGTCGTCGCCACTCACGGCTCCGAGGTGGTCTAAGCCCTAGGAAATCTGTTTGCCTCGTCGTACGGGCGTTGACTACGAGATCACCGACCGCCTGACGTCCTATTACTACTACGACTACTACTACTACTACTACTACTACTTCTACTTCTTCTGGGCCAACATTGTCAAAATGCAGAACCTCACGCAATGTGGCTCGTACTCTAATGGAACCCTGCCCTCCCAGAACTCAACTCCACCTGCCGAGTTGGGCAGCCTCTGAGAAAAAATAAAGTTCCTCGAATGTTTCCGGTACGCGACTTCGCACCCTTACTGAAGAGGGAAGGATGTATTCTATCCGCGTCAAGCCCTGGCTGCGACTTCTCCCCTTTGCCGATCTGTTTGCGCGTCTGCTCACTGTAAACCTTGCGTGTATCTCATGTATCTAACATTTATCCGACTCGGCTTTATGCATCACATGGTGAACAAACGGAGAGACGCCCCGTGTGCCGATCATGGCGGGAAACCTCTGCTATAAATAGCGACTTGTACTCGAAACGACGACGCGAAGATAGAGGCGTCATCGCAATACACTTTGCGCAACATATAGATCAAATCCAGGCCCTACTACTACTGCTGCGAGCCGTTCACTGCCATTTCATCATTCCCATCTAAACCGTTCAGATCTCTCGCTACAGCGGGTTTTTGTTGACAGATATCACACCACAGTCATGACATCAGAAACGCTCGCCCACCGTGATGGCCAGATTGCGCGTTTCCCCTTCCTGGATGTACTTTCAGACTACTCTCGCTCTCCCAACCTACTTTGTTGAAGAATCTTCTCCTTAGGACGTGGCAATATAGATCTGCGGGCGAACGGAAACATTGCATTTGTCTCACGGTCTCAGGAGCCTATTTCGCACTAGCTAGCGTCGGGGCGAGTTGGAGCCTAGCAGGCCGATATTCGGATGCGATCAGACAGGTGCCATATCTTGCAGGCTTCGAGCCGAGACGATGGACGCCTACAAAAGCCTAGGCAAGATATCTACTCCGTCGGACGGGGAACGAATGGGAAGCTCCCTGGATAAGCAGGGCGCTAGATGCGCGAGGCCGACGGGGAAAGACGGTGAGGACGCGCGGGAAGTCATAATACGATCATAGATAGGCGTCAGCAGGCGCTAGCTCCTGGCGGCACCCCGATCTCTACCTTGACTAACCCAAGAACACTGATTCGGCAGCGGCGTGATGAGGGATGACGATAGTGATACGGAGAATAATACGGAGCATCTATCTACCTAGTAGATAGGGCATGATAGGCGTCCATCCGTGGCCCCCATTCCCCACAGGGTCGGACATAAGATAGCGCACCCTGACGGCCGGGGCGTTCCGCATTCCGAATACGTGCCTCGGCAAGTCGCCGCGATGCAGCAGCCACTGAGCCCGAGCTAGGATGCGCCAAGGACGCCGCCAAGGGGGCCGATATCACGATGTGCGTTTGGCGAGCCGTGCCAAGTCGGAGATAGTATGCGATCGCCAGGCGCACGAGCGAAAACAGGGCAGGAAACCCCGAGACAGCGGAGTCATTATGCAACAACGCCGATCCCTACCCCGTTCAGTTACGTCGGTCGAGCCAGTGGCAGTCTGCCAGGCGCGCTACGGCCGTCGCTCGCGCCTCGACCGTTGCCCTACCGTCCCTGCAAGTCTGTCTGAAGACGACGATCCCTCCCTCACACGTATGCTGGGACCTTCCTCTCACTGGCTATCACTTCGGATCCGACCACCCTCCCTGGCGATGGGTGAGAATTCTTCCGTTATGCCCCAGGTGCCCCGGTGTAGTCGCTGATTGATTGATAAGCTGATCCCTCCACTTGATTAGATGGAAATGGGAATAGAGTCATTCTGATGGGCTCGGCCGTACCCACGCCGTGGGTCACCTTGGCAACTCTGCTCCGAAGGGACCGCCGCGTGTCGCTGTTGCCCAGCCTCCAGAACCTTCCTCGTTGAGACGAGCCAAGGCGAGGAACAACTTCCCAATTTCCCTCAGTCGCCCTCTGCCCAGACTCTCCCCTATATATAGTCGCCGATCGTCTCCTTCTCGGGGGTTCTCCCTCCAGACTTGTCTCTCACAACACGATCTCCTCGAGTGAACATTCGCAATCATATAGGTCGAAGACATGCGCATTTCCGCTGCCATCACCCTAGCAGGCTTGGTGGCCGGCTCGGCCGCCGCAGCCTGCCCGTATGCAGAGCGCGCCAACACGAAGGCCGCTGCGGCTGGCTGTCCCTATGCCCAGCGGGCTGCGGCGGCGGCGGCGGCTGCCCCGGCGAAGGATGCCCCCGGGTTGTCGCGTCGGGGGCCCGTGGAGGGCAAAGAGGGCATCTTTTATTGTGAGTGATTTGGATGGCTCCAGGTTGCATGGCGTACTTCAGGCTGACCGACACGCCCGTAGTGAACCGCATCGGGCCCTCGGGGTCGCAACTATGGATCGCCAACGCGGATGGCACCAATGCCACGAAGCTGATGGGCAACCAGACCAATGCGTTTGACTACCACGCATCCTGGTCACTCGATGGAGAATGGATTATCTTCACCAGTGAGCGCCGCGGTGCGGGCCAGTCGGACCTGTATCGGGTGCACCCGGACGGCACCGGGCTGGAGGTGCTGGCCGACACGGATTCGGTTGAAGACATTGGCGTGCTGTCGCCGGATGGCACCCAGCTTGCGTATGTTTCGACCCGGGGTAACTTCACGACCAACATCTGGGTCCAGGATCTCCGGACGGGGCTGGCCCAGAACCTCACCGACACGGCGAACACCCGGGCGGACAACACCTGGCCGACGGGCCACTTCCGTCCATCCTGGTCCCCCGACGGCCAGTGGATCGCTTTCAGCTCTGACCGCAACACGGACTGGACGGGCCACAGCGAGGGTGTCGGCTGGGAGCACACCCAGACGCTAGGCGTGTATGCGATTCGGCCGAATGGTAGTGACTTCCGCACGGTGCTGCGCCAGGATGGCTACTCCCTGGGGACCCCTCAGTGGTCGGCCGACGGAAAGCGCATCATCTACAACAACATGACCCGGGAGTTTACATATGACTGTCACGGTGTCTCGGCCCAGCAGGAGATTGCCACCGCGCAGATCTACAGCGTGGACTTCGCCACCGGGAAGGACGTGGTGGCTCACACCTCCGGCAGCTACCCCAAGGTCGGACAGCACTACATGGGCAACTCCAGCAACATCGGTTACCTGATCAAAGCCGGAGACTATGAGGGTATCCACTACACGCAGCCCGATGGCATCCACCGGGCCTTCAACCAGACCAACCTGCGCGATCCCTGGTGGTCGCCGGACGGGTCCAAGATCGTGTACGATGTCCCCAACTGGACGCAGCAAGAGGCCGATCTGAAGCTCTGGAGCTTTGACGATGCCTGGGACTACCGGTACATGGATGTGTTCCCCATGCACCACACCCTGACCAACCGGCTCGCCACGACGCAGAAGGTTCTCGGCAGCGCCAACGGCTCCCTGGTGCACTCGTCGCCGCTGTACACCGACCTGGTCGACGCGCTCGACTCGTACGATCTCTACAGTCTCGAGAACAGCACCGAGGTTGAATGGCTCGCGGAGGGCCAGGCTGGTGCGTTCCAGCCCTCGTGGAGCCCCGATGGCTCTGAGCTTGTCGTCGGATTCGGCGCCTGGTTCACCACCCGCACTGAAGCCAACGCCATCATCTGGCGCACCTTTTCCAACGGAACCTTCCACACTAACCTCACCGACGGTATCAGCGACAACTCGGGCTTCCCGTCCTGGTCCCCCGATGGCTCGGCCATGGTCTACCGCAAATGGAGCCTCGTGACCGGCGCCCCCGAGGGCCTGCACATCATGAACTTCACCACCGGGGTGACCACTCAACTCACCGCGGGCTGGGACAACACTCCCGGCTGGTCTCCCGATGGCGAGCGTATTGTCTTCACCCGCAACAACAACTGGACCGAGTCCTACGGCGCTCGTTGGTACGCGGATCGCTTTGACATCTACACCATCCGTCCCGACGGCTCCGAGCTGACCCGGGTGACGGACAGTCTGGCCAACGATGCCCAGTAGGTGTCTCCCACACCCCCCTTCCCCTCTTCATGTTTGCTAACCTCATGTCCCCAGTGCGGTATGGTCCCAGGACGGTCGCATCATGTGGAGCTCCGGCATGTACGGCTTCAAGGACGAGAGCGCCCTCTACGACGACACCTTCCAGCCGTATGGCCAGATCCTGGTCATGAACTACGACGGGTCCAACAAGACCTTGGTTACCGATACGATCTGGGAGGACTCCATGCCGCTCTACATGCCCAACAAGTATCTGGAGTAAGGTCCGGGTCGGGTGTCAATGCTGGAGAGACAGATGTGTAGATAGTTTTGTACCAGTTGCTGGATATACCTTTTTGTTACTGATCATGTCTCTGTACGTATAGCTAACTCAATGTATTACTTAAAGGAGTCCGGTGGTATCTGATAAGTAAGGGCGCGTTTGGGTGGTATTTCGCTGGGCGGCCACCGAGGAGTCTTTTTTCTTCTCATCGATCCTTATCAACCTGTGACATTCGGTGGAGCATCCGTCGATCATTTGTCTCAGGGACTCTCTCGTCCCCTTCCAGTCTCCTGCAGTCTGGTGTCAGGCAATTCAACGGCCACTATCAAGGTGAAAAGAGGCCCTTTTCTTCTGCTTCCTCTATTACTTCTTCATCATCACTCATCGTGGATCCTTCCATCATCCACCTCCTTGACAGTTCCCATGTCTCCTTTACTTCCCACCCATCTCTTCCTGTCTTATACCTACCTCCTATCTCATGGTTCTATACTTCTCTCCCAACTCACACTTCCCATCCCATACAGAATTCTCATCATGTCTTTCATTCTACTCTATACCTACCTTTGATCTCTCTTCCTTCGCACCTCATACTGACTTCCCCGGTCACATCTCTCCTACTTACTTCCCATCTCTTCCTTTCCGCCTCTTCCTTCCCATCTCATACTTTCTTGTACTTAATTCTCCCCTCACACTCACTTCCCCCCTCTCTTACCTCTCATCTCATCTCATCTCTCCTTTCCATCTCACCCACCCTATTTTACACCCCACATCCTACAACCCTACAACTCTACAACTCTACGCACGAGAAACACATCAAATCTTCAATTGTCTGATTGACGGTCTCCGCAGAGACATTAACTAACTAAGAACAAAGGTATCTCAAAACAAACATCAAAACAAGGTCCTGATTCCCCCTAGCCCCCCCATTTGGGTCACAGCCAAGGAAAACTCCTATCACATTTGTGTAGGTAAAAACCTTCGCCGGGGCTAGTCGATGTCCACTTCCATCTCGCTGGGCAATCCCCAGCCCCTTCCTTGCTGTTGCTGTTGTTGTTGCGGTTCCTGCTGACGTACGTTAGTTGGATGATGGTGATGATGATGAGCAGGAGAAGGAGGCTACTTACTTCGGCCGGTGCGTCCGGCATCTCGATGTCTTCGTCCGAGGGAGGTGCATCCCCCATCGGGACGTCTCCGTCAGGGGGAGCAGAGCTCCCTCGATGGTGAGGGTGGTGAGGTCGGTGAGGTCGGTGAGGGTGAGGGTGAGGATGAGGGTGAGAGTGCGGGTGGGAGTGAGGTTGAGAGTGAGGTTGAGAGTGAGGTTGAGAGTGAGGTTGAGGTTGAGGCTGGCGAGCCTGACACGGCTGGCCAGGCCGGCCAGGCTGCCGCGGGTGAGGTCGAGGTCGAGGTCGAGGTCGGTGAGGGTGAGGGTGAGGGTGAGGGTGAGGTCGCTGAGGTCGCTGAGGTTGGTTGGTTGAGGGCTGTGCCCTGGAGGAGGAGGAGGAGGTATTGGTGGTGGTGGAGGAGGAGACGTTCCAACGGCCGGGGGCTCGTCGGAAGTTGATGCGCCCGTTAATCCGTTTTTTATTGTGGCGCATGTTGTTATTGTTGTTGTTGTTTGGAGGAGGTCTCCTCTGCCCTTGCTGGGCAGAGGGAGATGGCGCCGGCGCCTTGGGGGTCCTTTGCTCGGGCATCTTGGAATGACGGCGTCAAGGTCGAGGCAAAGGGGAGAAGGAGGAGGAGGAGGAGGAGGAGGAGAAAAGGAGGGACTTTGTCGGGTCCCTCGAGAAAAGGAGGTGTTTCGGAGGATAAAGGTGAAGGTGAACGATAAATCAAAGGCAAGAAACGATTCGCAAGAAAGACAAGTTTTTGAAGAGTGGTTATTCGGCACTCTCAGGTTATGAGGATTGTTCGGGGTGATTCTGAAAATTTGGGGAGTTGCTTTCGACAAGGGGGGACCGGGGGGCAAGGGCTTTTTATGAGGCATTCTGGGACGCTACATATGTCATGATGCTCAGTGCCCTGACGAGCAAACCTACGTACGTGAGGCCTTGATGACGGACCGGAGGCTAAGTATAGACCACAACCAGGGGCGGAACCAGGGTTGAGCGAGACGGTCAGGTACAGCAGAACATAAGGTTGGAGCATATGGTACATAGGGCTGGCCAGTGAGAGGCCAGGAAACGGCTGTCAAGGGACTATCCAAAAAAGCCAAATCAAGGGCTGTGTGAGCTGCTGACCTCCCGTCAAGGCCCATCGATAGGCCAGGAACATCCCTCCCCAGAAAGAAGTGAGAGCATTTGACGCAAGCAAAGTGGCATTCAAAGCTTGACCCCTTGCATCCTCACGCCGTGCCTGTCAGAGATGCCATCGACGGCCCCGACTACTCCCTCACCTCCCCGTCCCAAGTCTGGCCTTCTTCTTGAGGTGCTTCGTCACTGTCCCGGGCGAGGAGGTACTTCCGTTGGAGTTCATGCTGTCTCTCTTCCGCTTGTCGACCTTGGAGGCACTGCGTTTCTTCCGCTGCTTGTCCTTGATCTCCAGGCGTCGCTGGACTTCCTCCGAGATGTCCTCGGTCTCGACGGACAGGGGCGTGACGTCGCGTACTTCTTCATCCGCACCGGCGATAATTCGGTCGAGCCGTTTTCGTTTCTGGGAGCGTGGGGGGGGGCTCTGGTTCTGCGTCACAGGGTGCGTCCTGGGCTCGCTGCTTTCTGGTACGGGGACATCCTGGTCCGATTCATCGTCACTCTGGCGTGCGCGCTTCAAGCTGTCCAGGGGGGGTTGGGGCCGGGACTTGGGTCGGCCAGGAAGCTCGTTTGACCGATGAGTTGAGGTTGAGGTTGAGTCGTCCGAGCTCTGGCCGGGGGTCTTCTGGTGGGGTTTGAAGCCGGCAGCAGCTGGTTCTGGGAAACAGGGAACGGTCGGTATCAATGACTCTGTTCTGTCCCGGTAGCCAGGGACGAGGGACGGGGGGACTCACGGGGCATCTGCTGCTGGCGGTCAGAGTCGTCATGCGTCAAGTGACCTTGGTGGGAGCCACTTACTACGATCTGTCGCTTCAGGACGTGGAACTGGGCGACCAGGCGAGTGGTCTTCTCCAGCATGTGAGACACGAGGCGGAAGGCGTCTCCGTCGGACGGGACCTGGCCTTGGACCTGCTGCAGGGCCTGCAGATGCGAGGACAGGAGGGACTCGTGTTGGGAGCAGATCTATAAAGTACAGGCGAGGGGCACACCCCCCCTCACCCCGGGTGATATCAGGATCGAGTAAGAGTAAGAATCAGGAAGTACGAAGGACCCCGGATGGCGTCATGGACGGATCACGCCGATCTATTTTGGGACGGAGGGAGGGAAAGAGGGAAAGAGTGGAAGAGTGGAAGATGAAGAGTGGAAGAGTGGAAGAGTGGAAGAGGGAAAGAGGGAAAGAGGAAGAGGAAGAGGGGGAAGAAAGAGGATACACACCTCAGGCCAGCCCGCACTGGTTGGCTGGTCGGGCCCGGGCAAGGGGAAGGCCATCGTCGTTCGTGATTGACGGGCTTAAAGTGAGTGAGTGACGTTGGCCGACTGCCTGAGGTCCTTCACGCCCTCCTTCCATCTGCCCCTCGCCGCCGCCTTCCTCTTTCTGTCGCGGTTCTCCTCGCTTGCGGCAGGACACACCCGATAGCCCTGAAAAACAATATAAACTAAACTAAAATCAAATCAAATAAAATAAAATAAAATAAAATTGAAAAAAAAAAAAAAAAAAAAAAATTCCTCGCATTTTACCATACAAAGCCTGTGCGTGATATGTGATATTATTCAATCGTAAACCCATGCATGCTATCGTCCAATTGCGCCGGGTCCGTCCAGTCCAAAGTCATACACCCAAAACTTCATCACCATGCACCCGCGTCGAAATCAAACCGGGACAGCTCCTTCTCCGCATCCTCCACGTCCTTCTTCGCCTTCATCCGCATGTAGAAGATCGGGCAATCCCGGGACGAGCAGATCACCTCGCAGTGCAGACTGCCCTGGCACCGCTGGCACTGCGTCCACAGCCGCCCAAACCGGACCTCCAGGTCCGACACTTTGGTCAGCGACCGCGTGTAGAGCTCCCCCATGCGAGGGCGGCAGTACGCGCACACCGCGCCCGCCGACTCCTCCTTCCCGGACAGCGGCTTCTTGCAGCCCAGGCAGGTCTGCGTCTTCTTCGCGAACTTCATCAGCCCGCCCATCGTGGGCGCTGCCACCGAGATCGACCGCGTGTGCTCGCCCGTGAGCAGCTGGCTGGCCTTCTTCTCCCCGAGGATGGGCTCGAAGATGCGCCCGAGCGGGTTGGCCAGCTGGTTGTCGAGGTAGTATTTCGTGTCGATGGGGATGTTGTTCTCCAGCACATAGATCGGGTCTTCCGACCGCTCGTAGTTCTTCGACCCCCCGGCGCCCTTGATGATGACATACGCCACGCGGTCCCCCAGCGTGGGCGCAGACCCGGCGTCGCGTTTCCTCATCCGCTCGGCCAGCTCGACGTGCGCCTGCTTCGCCGTGTAGGCATCTTTCGACAGAGCCTTGGTGATCACCAGCTTCGACATGTCGACCTTGTTCTGGAGAAGGTCCGAGATGGTGTGCTTCACGTAGCTGGGATCAAGTCAGTGGGTGATACAGTCGAGTCGGGTCTCCCGGGAAGCGGCCACACTTACTCCTGCGCCCCGTCCAGGTCCCGGTCAATCAGGATCTTGTGCAGCACCGTCTCGATCACGTTCTGAACCAGCAGGCAGTTGTCGCGACGGACCGTCTCAATCCCCTTGGTGTCCATCTTGTCGTACTTCTTGGGGTTCGTCCAGTACAGCCCGGCATACCGCTTCTTGTTGATCAGCAGGTAGGGGAAGTACACCTTTTCGAACTCGAGTTTGATCGGCTTCAGGAACTTGGACGACACGTATTCCGAGGCCTCCTGCCCCAGTCTCATGGCCTCCTCCAACTCGGAGACGCCAAATTTGACCATCACCGAGTCGGTATCACCGTAGATGACCTTGGCGTCGTGCGAATACCCGTTCGCAATCGTGTATCGGGCTTCCACCTCCTGCTTGGTCTTCTCGATCATCTGACGGCCATAGCTGGTCGTGCTACTCGCGATGGGCAAGCACGGCAATTTCCCCACGGTCGCACCCGTGAGGCCGTACACACTGTTGGCGCTGATCTTCAACGCAAGCTGTCTTCCGTTGAGGACGGCCTTCTTGAAGGGGTCCGTCTCGGTCGCCAGCTCCTTCTTGGCCCGCTTTCGGGCCGTCAACAGTTCTTCCAGAATCTGAGACAACAGGCCCTTGCGGACCTTGCTTGTGCAGAACATGTCGCCATTCGGAGTGACGATGTAATCCTCGTCCTTCTTGAGGTTCAGCTTCTCGATGCTGTTCTTGTTCAGTAGCGTGGTGTAGCAGAGGTTATGTGCCTGAATGATGGAAGGGTACAGCGAGGCGAAATCGAGAGTGGCAATCGGGACGCCGTAGTAGCCCCGAGTGGGCTCAATGACCGTGGCACCTTCATAGTCCTGTTCGTCGTTGGACTTGGAGTTCGGAATCACCAGCTGTTGCTCCAAAGCCTTGCGGAAGAGCTGACTGATGAACTTGACCTGCTGACCTCGGGACAGCAGGAAGTTGAACGGCACACCTGTGACTCTCGCCATTTCGGTGTAGTTGACCAGACACATCAGCTTATCCATCAGGCGCTGCGGGAGGTAGGCATCCTTCAGACAGTACACGGCTAAACGTCGTCTCGAGTCGGGTGTCCCGTTAAACAACTCTGTGATCATGGTGTGGTGCACGTCCTCCTTCTGTTCACCCAGGAATTCAAAGGATACCGAGTTCAAGGTGTAACTTCGCAGGTGGTAGTCTCTCTGCACCAGCTGCAGCATGTCGAGCTGGATTCTACCATTCGTGTTCGTCGACTTCGTGTCCCGGTTGCCCATCTGCTTGCTGGAGAAGTTGGTCTCTTTGCTGACCGACTGGACGCCGTTGAGCCGGGTCCAGAGCGGAAATCCCTGGCACTTGAGATGCTTCGCGCGGTCCAAGAGGTACGGGAAATCGAAATTGGCAATGTTGTACCCGATGATCACATCGGGGTCGACCTTCTCCACAAAGTCGCGCCACGCCATCAACATCTTCGACTCGTCCTTGAACTCCAAGATCTGTGTGTTGACAATCAGGCTGCACGTGTCCAGAACGAAGACATTCCGCACGAAGGGTTTGGACTCTCCGTAGCGAGTCACGACGTTGGCAATCTGGATGACGGGGTCCTGGTTCGGTTCGGGGAAGATCCCTTTTCGACCCGCACACTCGATATCAAAGGACAGGACACGGAGCGGGGCCATCTTGGCCCATTCGCCGTTCGGTGGATGCGAGATCAGATCCCGGTAGTCGACACACGCCTCGATCTGACAGTTGGACACGCGCCCCTGACTCTGCAGCAGGCGGTATTTGCCCGCCTTTGCTTCCACCCACGACATGCCTGAGATGTCGGTGTCGATCATGAAGCGGAGAAGATACTGGATGTTGTCGAAGGTGAGAATGCCCCCCTCCCCGCTGCTCCACAGGCCCTTGTAGTTCAGGTTTTGCGTCCCGGCGGTCTCCAACGCGTTCCGCAGCTTGCTGATGAACTTGGGCTCGGTGACGGTGATCTTGAGGTAGTAGCTCTTCTGGTTGCCCTGGAATCCGTAGATATTTTCCCGCATGGTGATCTGGACGGACTGGATGGTCTGCTGTTGGAACTGCTGGAGTCGACTTTCCAGGAAGGCTCGGTAGGGGTCGCAGTCCTCCTTGGTGAAATTCACGGGCGCGGCGATGTAGAGGTAGTGCTGGAATCCGGTAACGTGGAGGAGGACCGATTGACCTGCCTGGGAGGGAAAGAGAGTTAGCGCATCACCACCGGTTGCTGGGAGCACGCCGGGGAAGGCGATTTACCTCGGTGACACCGAAGAGTCGAACGGCGGTCTTGCCGCCCATAAAGGTGCCCTCTTCCGCATCGATCTGCTGGAAGCAAATGTTCTCCTTGGAGGGGTCAAACTCGCCGAGCGGCGGGCGCTCCCACTGCTGGTCCTTCTCGGAATTGTGATTCTTCAACTCGTTGATGTCCTGGGTCAATTTCTCCAGCACCTCCTCCTCGAACTGACTCTTCTGGGGCTGACTCGAGCCGGGGACTCTCCGCTGGCCATTGGTGGTGGGGTTGAGTCTGGCGACGGGGTCGTTGGCGAGCTTGCGCTTCTTGAGGGCGCTGGAATCGGGGACGACGGGGCGGGAGTTATTGGAAGCATCGCCCAGAACCCGCTTCTGGGGGGTGGCGACGGCTTCAGGCATGATGTAGGGTCATGAAAGAAACGGCGGAGGAGGGAGGGGAGGTGAGGATGGCGTCAAAGCAGCCAGGACGGGAGGTGGGAGAGTCTGGGGGGGGGGGGAAACTGCGCTCCTCCCAAAGCTGCGAAGGCGAAGGGTCCATCCAGCCCGGCCAGGCGTGTCGCTCTCGCGCCCGACGTGACGCGTTGAGTGCTCACGTGATACTTTGTTTGCCCCAGGCATCCAGGCATCCAGGCATCCATCCATCCACCGTCATCGCGGTTGCCAGGCCACACAGCAGTCGCACCTCTGGGTGTCAGTTCACATCAATTGAGGTCCGAGACTGTCATCTGGTACACTTCTTTGGGTCCTCTGTTTTTCCCGATTCGCTCAATAAATGACGTCATCTTCCATGATGATTTGTTGTGTCTGGTGAGAGTTTTCGAACGGATAGTATATATTTCCAGCGACCGAGCATCAGGGTGAGAGTGATGGACATAGTTACTACTTTACCACTCCGGAGTCAAAAGATATCGAGACTGGAAGAGTCACCTGATGCAGGCTGCAGCTGGAGCTGGCCGGTCAGGTGATGAGGGCGCATTTTGACGCTCTCTCGAACCTCGCCTTCCCCCTCCTTCTTCAAGGCATCCCCATCTCTATATTCACCTCGGACACGCTGCAACGCTGCAACGCTGCACCGCCGAAAGTTTCGAATGTCCACCCAACGTGGTGTCGTGCTTTTCTCCGGGAGTCCAGGCGCTGTTTTCCTTGTCCCTATCCAGCGGGTTCGATTCGCTGCTCAGACTAACAAGATCGCCGTCTCTACAGACTACTCCGACGAATTTTCCGACTTCCCGTCATGGCAATGGTATATTGACTATATATCATAATTCTAAACGATTATCACGGCGACGCGCGCCGATAGTGTACAAAGAAGAGGAAAGCCCGCGGCTCACGGGCAATCGGGGCGGATACCCACCCATGGGGCTATGGACGCATCGGACGCGTTTGGAATCTGATGCGAGTGGAACTGACCCTCCGCTTAGTTTCCATGGCCGTGGTGACCATGGTGGTGGCCGTGACCAGTGGCCTGGGGAGCGGAACCCTGGACGGGAGCACCAAGACCCTGGGGACCAGAGGCGCCAGTGGGGGCAGGGCCGTCGGTGCTGACCTTCCTCCACGACCAGGAGGCCTGGCTGGGGACAGCGGAGGCTCCGGGGCCAGCCTCAGAGAACGCGGGCACGTAAGGAGCGTCTCTCTCGGGGCCGGCACGCTTGGCGACAGCCGAGGTGGCCACGGCGGCAACAGTGCTGGACGAGCCGGATCCGTTGCTCAGCTTACCGATCCCAGCATTGGCCTTGACGTAGGCGGCAACCTGGCTGGCCGCCTTGACGGTGATATCCGACTCGCCGGAGGGCCAGCTGCTGATAACGGAGCTGTTGCTGCCGGTCAGGGTGCCGGAGCTGATCAGGGTGTTCGCGACGCAGGTCCGGCCCAGGGCCTTGGTGCAGGTGGACACGTCGCTGGAGTTGACGGCGAAGACGGCACCGGGGTTGCTGTCGGCCAGGAGAGGGGTGTTGACATCGACCATGACGTTACCCTCGATCAGGGCGCGGGTGTTCTCGCCGACATCGAAGGCATGGCCGGTGTTGTTGAACCAGTAGTTGTTGTACGCGTGCCAGTAGCTGTTGAACTCGAGCTTGGGGGACCGGCCGGAGGTGTGGTGGAGGTAGTTATTGGCGAAGGTGACCTTGTCGTTGTGGCCGTATCCGAGACTGGAGGCGGTTAGAAGTGCTTGCGGTCGAGATGGACGGGAGTCGGCAACTTACACAGTCCAGTAGTGATGGCCATTGCAAGTGGCAGACCAGCTGGTCTGGCCATCGAACTCGCTGTTGGAGATAGTCACGCTGTGGCCTGCAGGCGGTCAGCGCTCCATTTAACCTGAGAAGTGTGACAGGGAGGAAGACATACTGGCCTCATATCCGGCAACAAACATCTGACGACCAATGAGGTTGATCTTGACGTGGTCGATCCAGATGTTGTTGGTGCCATCCAGGGTGATGGCATCGCCACCCCAGATGAACTCGGGGTTGAGCTGGGTGATGTGGATGTTCTGGACGATGATGTTGCTGACGCCGTTCACCATACGCAGACCCTTACCACGGATGACACCCGCGCTGCCCACGCCGACGATCGACTTGTTGGAGGCGACCTCCAAGCCCTCGATGGCGGCGTTGTCGTAGGTGCAGGTCAGGCTGGGGTAGCTGCCGCACCAGTCGGAGCCGTTCTGCTTGACCGCATTCTGGCCCGAGCTGCCACAAGTGTTCGAGGACGGCTTGCAGCACTCGCAGTCGGTGCACTTGCCTTCGCTGTCAAGGAAGTTGAACTCCTTGTCGATGAGGATGACCCGCGGGGTGCTATCGGACAGCCAGGTCGTCAGCTCGGTGATGTCGCTGGGCGCCGCAGGGGTGGCATCACCACCACCCGTGGTCCCGCTGGCAAAGCCAAAGGCGCTGCCAGTGACGCCTGTTGCCGCCTGGGCAGAGGCACCGAGCAAGGCGGTTGCCGTCAGAAGGTGACGAAGGAGGGGCATGGTCGTGTCTCAATACGGAAAGGAATGACTGACCCAGCAGTTCTCGCAACAAGAAGAAAGTCAAGACAAGGATAGGAATAAAAAGAGCGTGATGTCGAATTCGTGATGACCACTGACGAGCCCGGTGTCGAGTGGTGTTTATATAGCAGTCAAGTCGTCGAGTCGTCGAAGACTCGAAGACTCGAAGAACATACCGATTAGGGCTCGGGCCCGGCTGTGTTGCACGCGCGGGACGTTTGAGCGAACATGGAAACGGCCGTGTTAATCATGGCGGAGCGCGTCGCAGATTGATCACCGATCGCATGGTGAAACTCCCGGACGGGAGAGATTCGCGGCCCTCTCGCTGGACGCGGTGGCTCCGCCTGCCGATCGGGCAACGGTTTGAGCTCTGTCGGCGAGGGCCAAGTCCGACCATGCCTTGCATCACTAGAATCCGTCTCCAGGGACCGACTGAGACATGGACGATCTTCACTTGTCCTCGGGATCCAGAGCCAACGTGATTGACATGGCGGGTGGTGACTCTGGTGAGAAACAGATAACCCTGCGATCGTCAGGACGACGTTCCACCGCGCCAGAACTTGATCCCCACTGTAGGATGACTCCAGCAGATCGTCATGAACTCCTATTCACATCTTTGCTGATTGCTACTGGTTGATAGCTCAATAGCCAGCCGTGCTATAGCCCTGGGCTTCCGTGTGTTGCGGGGGGATGCCTCCGCTCCATTTCACCCTGCATCGGCCAGATTAATCGACGCGGAATCGTTGATGGGGGCGTTCTCCACACCCCAGCACAGGCGGAGCAAAGCACGAGGCATATGGCCGCCCGCAGAGGTCCATCAGGCCATATCCCGGAACGTCAATAATATCTGGTGATGATATAGAACCGAATATCCGCCCCCTGACGAGGGCAGAAGGAGGCCGGTTGGTCGGACGGCGATATTGACCTCTTCTCCACAAACTCAACAGCTGGCCGTCATTCATCTACTCTTCATCTCCAACCCGCGGTTGCAATTAACTCAGATGAGACGATAGACCGGAAAGTCAGTTTGCCGTCATTTCCCCTCGGGATCGGAGGGATAATCGTCGCCATGTTTCTAGAAACTTCGGCCGTGTCTCACCTGGACAGGCACCATGTATCATCGTTGACTGGCTGATACATCTGCTCGTCAGTCGGACCCAACCATTTTGACGCGGACACAGAGGAAGAGAGCTGCACCAGAGATTAGTCGCCTGACTATGAGATTCTCTCTGTGTAGGCGTCGAGTTCACTTCAGCAATGGAGCGGATCATCAACCTGCGGTGTGTACGGCCGTATGTGAACGATGCCGTTCTGCTCGTCAAAATTTGGGCCAAGGAGACCGGAATGCTCCTTGTGCCATGATGTCATTGACGATGAAGACGTGCTGGCGAAGGTAACTCCCGTCATGCTGATCAGCTTTGATGGAGCTGTGCTGAAATCGCGAGAGAGTCATGGAACTGCGATTCTGCTTGCGCTAAACACGGTGTAATCAGATTTCAGTGAGGTCTTTGAAGGGGGAAGGGGGGGCGGGGGGGAGGAGAAGAGAAGATACAGTGAGCCTAATTCAGACCTCGGGCACTCGCAGGTACCTCAATGCCTACAGCAACACGTTTCTGGGCGTATGCAAGGCATTGGATCCCAAAGCAGGCACCCTATCCGGTCATTCGGGTCTTCGGTGAGGTAGAAAAAACATACCCCTTCCCATCAACGTTATTTGGAAACCTGCTCAGATGATAATTTCCAAGACCATGGCAATGTCAGAGATAAGGTATTTCCACAGCTGCATCAAACCACATTTCACAACAATGCTCTTCATCCTGGTGTTATGTCTGATGGTGAGAACCTTGGTATTGTGTTGCCGGTCTGTTGCGTTGGTCCAAATGCCTAGAATAGCAATGCGATGCACCCACTCCGCGCGACTGCAGGCCCCTACCCCTACTGCCGAGAGGCCACGCAGTATGTGAATTCTACTTAGGTTAGACCACTACCTTGGGGACTTCTGTCATGCAAGAGGCTTCACATGGCATCAAACTGTGAACACACATAAGGACCCTGTGGCCAGGTAAAGGGAATGAGCCGGTCTCCCAAGGTACCCCGGGTCTCGATATAACAAGAGGGTGTTGAATCTTCTATCATCGCACTCGGGTTTCACATCGGCAACCTGACATCATGCCGTCGTTCGACCCAACCAACGTGAACCTGGACACAGCCAGTGTTGAGGAAATCTACTGCTACCTGCAGCTGTCGGAAAATGAATACAACGGACGACTCGGGGCGCGCATCTCTTCCATCTTCGTCATTCTAGTGAGTTCGTCAGCATTCACACTCTTCCCTGTAGTGGCAAGAAGAGTTCCGCGGTGGAATATCCCCTACCCGGTCTACCTCTTCGCTCGATATTTCGGCACCGGGGTCATTGTTGCCACGGCCTTCATCCACCTCTTGGACCCGGCATACGAGGGAATCGGCACAAACAGCTGCGTGGGTATATCAGGGCACTGGGCGGACTATTCTTGGTGTGCCGCCATTGTCCTGGGGTCGGTGATAGTTATCTTTCTGATGGACGTGGCGTCCGAGGTGTACGTGGAGAGGACATATGGCGTGGAGAAGGAGCACGGCGCGACCGACCGATTTCTAATTCGAACTAGCTTGCTGCAGAGCGACAGCACGTCTGTGGAAAGCGATACCCTCTCGGGGCCCAAGTGGCCCGAGCCCCCTGTGGAGGTAAGCTCCTTCGGATCCGAACGGTCATTCCGAAAGGACATCGCGGCCTTTCTCATCCTGGAATTTGGCATCATCTTCCACTCCGTCATCATCGGACTGAATCTGGGAGTTACCGGCGATGAGTTCACGACTCTGTACCCGGTGTTGGTCTTTCATCAAGCGTTTGAGGGCCTGGGCATCGGGGCGCAAATGTCTGCCCTCCACTTTGGCCCACGCCGGTGGCTGCCCTGGGTGCTCTGCATGGCATATGGCCTCACCACACCGGTCTCGATCGGGATCGGGCTGGGGGTGCGCACCACGTATAACTCGGGGTCCAAGACGGCAACGATCGTGCAGGGGGTGTTGAACGCCATCTCTGCGGGGGTTCTGATCTACAGCGGGCTGGTGGAGCTGTTGGCGCGCGACTTTCTGTTTAACCCGGACCGGACCAAGCGGCGGGCGCACCTGCTGGGGATGCTGTGCTGCGTGTTGCTGGGGGTAGGCGTCATGGCGCTGCTGGGGAAATGGGCCTAGAGGGTATGATGTCGGGTGTAGAACCATCATTTCATGATTTTACCATGTTTCCAGTTTCACAGGTCACAGAGGAGGGCTCAAGGGACCTTGGGGGTTGACCGGCTACGGCCGAGCAAATACCCGGAAGATGTGTTTTTGCAATACGGGCCTCAGCCCTGCCGTGCGTTGTTACCACCTGGCAGGAGGCGTGGCTTAGCCCTGCATCTGCAAGGCAGCAGCTACTAGAACCCCATATAAAAGGCCTCTCACATCGTCAACACCGCTCTTCTTTCCTCCTCTTTACCCTCACCCCAACAACATGCTGGTCCCTCCGACCATGGGCCTTCTTACCCCAACATCATCCTGTATCCCCTAGACCATCGAACCCATCCGCCCAAGAGGCTTCTTCGGCAACTTCTGTCCATTTTTCCCCCTATTATTCTTTTGAACCCTCCAGTTAACTACTGCTGCTTGCCGCGTGATCGCCATGGGCAAAGCCACGCTGGCCCCGGAGCCCGTCAACGTGCTGGAGATTCTGCAGCAAACCTACGACGATTCCCGCATCATCGTGGTCGTCTGCCTCGCCGCCTGGTGTATCGGCCGTCTCGAGCTGGGCTTCACTTGGCTCTTTATCGTGCTGGGGGTGTGCCGAGCCTACGCGGTGGTGTCGTCGACCCGCGTGCAGCGCATCATCCGGGACGAATGCCGGCGCTACCATGCCCGCAAGATCCTGGCGGACGGGGAGACGGTGGAGTGGGTCAACGGGGTGATGCAGCGGTTCTGGCACATGTACCAGGATCGGATCTGCGAGCACCTGGTGCAGTACGTGAACAACGGGCTGGCACGCCGGATGCTGGCCGACGCAGAGACGACGCCGTCGCGGAAGGTGGTGATGCATTCGCTGGCGCTCATCGACCTCCCCCTCCGATTCACGCGCGTCTTCGTGCACTCGAAACCGTTGTCGCCCAACCTGATCGTCGAGGGCCAGTTCCAGGTGAATATCGCCCCGCACCCATCCCACCGGCACCTCGTCGAGCGGACGGGACACCCGCTCATCGACCTCACCATCGTCCACGACCGCAGCGCGCGGGACTCGCGCCACCGCAACAATGATCTGGCGGTGCAGGTGCGGCAGTTCAGCAGCACGGGGTCGTTGCGGGTGGAGCTGGACCTGGAAGGCGCGCATCCGTTCCTGCTGCAGCCACACATCGAGCTCCAGGAGCACCCGAAGATGGACTGCACCATCAAGTCGATCAGCCAGCATCACTTCCCGCTGCACTTTGCGCACCAGGTGGACTGGCGGCGGGTGGTGGAGATGCAGCTGCGCGAGGGGCTGGGGTGGGCGTTCCGGCGGCCGCTACCCTTGCTGCCCTTCTCGCCGGGGGAACGGTGGCTGCTGCGGGTGATGACGTGGTGGTGGCACACTGTCAATTAGTTAGTTGCATAGTATCATGTTGTTCACTTGTTAGAGTAAGTCCCTGGCCGCAGCTGCATGGGATTATTGGATGTACGAGTAATGATGATTGAATCCCTTCCGGGCAGTGGGGGCGACCTTGTAGGGCTGAGACGGGGGGGGGGGGGGGAGCCACTCACCGGCGGCGAAACGGTGTTGCCTGTGTGCGGGAGTATTGAAAATACGGGCTGTACGGGCTGTACGGGCTGTATTGTCATGCTGGCCAGTGGCGCAGCTTTCTCCTCTTCGGGGGGGTAAGTCCTTTCCCGCCTGTTCTGTTCCAGAGGCTGATGCAGGCAGTGAGGCCAGTCAGTAGCCTAGAAGCTGACATGGAATAGTACTCCGTATCTACCTGTCAGTGACAGATAGTTAGTGCATCCTGCAGGATCAACATCCGAATGTTGCAGTCTGGTGGACCGTGAGACTCCAAGAGACCCTGGAAGCATCCCCGGAGTGTGCAACGTTGCTCCCCTGCCTGCATTGGTGTGCTGCATCCCTGCGTCAACCCCAACCCTAACCTGGCCCATCATCGCTTGGTCTTCCAGGCTTCCAGCGACGATCCCCTCGCTGGTCGCGCTTTGTTCCAGTACATTGTTGTGTATCCCTGTCCAATGTCTCCAGGACAAGGGCCTCACTAACGATGCCAATCCCTCGCGCTAATGCACGCCCTGGTCGCGGAACAATCCTGCCTCCGATGGGGTTGGCTTGACTTCCCCTCCGCATCTCCCTTCCTCGTTTCTTGCTTTCCTCCCCCCCCCCTGAAGCCCTGAAGCCCTGAAGCCCCACCATGCCCAACACAATCCCCATCGCTGCCCCCAAGATATCCAGAACCCCCCGGAAGAGGTCCAAAACAGGATGTCGAACCTGCCGGTGAGTCGCATCATCCCCCTCCCCCCCCCCCCCCCAAATCCATCGATGCCCGTGGACTGACCCCCCCATGAGTGCCCGTCGTGTGAAATGCGATGAAACCCCCGGGGCCTGCATCAGATGTACCTCGACGGGCCGCAAATGCGATGGATACGATGTGCACCGGCTCCCCCTCCGGAAGCCCACGTTTCTGATCCCGCCCAACCCCCTCATGCGCTACTGCGGGCCGATGGGCCCCGACGAGAGGCGAGGCTTTTCTTATTTCCGACAACGCGTCGTGCCTGGTCTGGTCGGCTTCTTTGACTCCCCCCTCTGGCAGAGACACGTCCTGCAGATGAGCCAGGCCGAGCCCGCCGTCTGCCATGCCGTCAACATGCTCAGTGCCATCTACCAGGACGCCGAGGCCAATCGCATGACCCTGACCGGGGACAACCTGGGCAATGCGCAGCACGCCTACGCCCTCGAGCAGGCCTCGCGGTCCTTCGCCCTGCTGAGCAAACGCCGCGCCTCCTCGGACCCCCAGCTGCGCCAAGTCACCCTGCTGTGCTGCCTCCTCTTTGTCCTGTCGGAGTTGCTTCTGGGGCGCTACGACAGTGCCTTCGTGCACCTGCGCAATGGGATGCAGATAGTGAGATATTCTCAGCACCGGGGGGAGCGCGAGTTACCCTTCATGCGGCCCCTGGTCGACGCCCTGATCTATCTGCATGTGCAGTCCGCCCACTTTGTCAGCGTGGACGTGCGCGATGCGCTGGCACCCGAGCAGACGCCGTCCAGCTTCCTTTCCACCTTCCATACCGTGGAGGATGCCCGGCAGACGATCAATCAGATTCTGAAAAACACCAGCCCATTTCTCGCCTACTGCTGGCGACTCTCCGAGGCCGAAAAGACGGCGCAGCAGGGGGAGCTGTGGCGGAGGCAACAGGAACTCCTCTTCCTGCTGGACCTATTCAATGACCAGCTCACCATCTTCCACGCGGTATCGCACCGCACCCTGACCCCCAAGGATCAGCGGGGAGCGGAGATGGTCCGGTTACAATATCTATCGCAGCGCCTCGCCGTCGAGGACAGTCTGACCGCGGAGCAGGATCTCCCGTCGCTGACCCCCCAGCACCTGGCCGTTCTGTCGGCCTGTGAGGCCCTCATGGAGCGGTTTCCAGAGCGCCCGGCCTTCACCATCGACCTCGGCTTCATTCAGGGTCTGCACACGGTGGCCACCAAATGTGCGGATCTGCGCGTCCGCGTCCGGGCCGTTCAGGCCTTGCACGCCTGGCCGCACTGCGAAGGCATCCTGAACACCAGTGTATCCGTGGCGCTGGCGACCCGGACCCTGAAGACGGACCTGCAGCGGAGACAGCTGGGGATAACCGATATACCGACGGCCGGGGACGAGGACCGGTTCCTGATGAAGCTTCTTACGTCGACGCAGTTCGGACCGGACTGGTCCACCGTCCGCGATGCGAAGATCCAGCTGGATGACAGCAGCTCCACCGACGGCAACACTCCGTTGTCATTTCGCTTGTCTCCCCCTCCCCCGCCGTCGACAGTTATCTCTCCCGGGGGGGGGGGGGAACCTCTTATATTACGACACGCTCTGACGGATGGGACTTGCGCGAGCCCGTGATCCACCAGTAGAGCATTTCTTGTTAGCGCCTACTGTACCACAACCAGTGAACAAGCTGTATGAATCACAGTATGTATTAACAAAGAAACCTATGCGATAGAATTTGAGTGGCGATGTCCAGCATACCTACCCCAAGCCCATCCCGAAGGGTCGCATCTACCCTCTCAACCCCTTCATCACCCCCGGTCGAATGACCTCCAAGATGGCCTCCAACTCCCCCCAAAGCCTGCCCTGCAGCTCCTTGCCCTCGGCACTCGTCACCAGCGGAGACAGCGCATGTGGCGCCACCACCCCGTTGGACATGTACTCGCCATGGCTCTCCCACCCGGCCGCCGCCGCGGCGACCAGCGTGCGACTGCCCACCTCGCTGGTGCGTCCCAGCACCCTCTGCATGGCTGCAAACGCGCACGAGTCCGAATCCCTCCCCAGCAGCGTGCGACAGAACCCGGGATTCAGGTAGTTGATCACCACACTCTGATCCGGCTGCTTGTCGGCCAGCTCCCGCGTCAGCAACACATCCAACAACTTCGACGTTTGATACCGCTCTCCCATGGTCCCAGCGGCCTCATCATCCAACGCCTCGAAGATCTGCGCGGCCTTCCGCTCCGGGAACTTCGCCCACGCATGCACCTCGCTGGCCACGATGTTCAGTCTCGGGGCGGGCCCCTCGGGGTGCTCGCTCGCCGTGGCGCGGAGTTTTGGGAGGAGCAGGACGGCGAGCAGGAAAGTGCTGATGACGTTCACGGTGACGGTGCGTTCGTGGCCCTCACTCTGCGCGTATTTCTCGGTCGCGATGCCGGCATTTTCGAGCAGGACGTCGAGGCGCGCGAGGGTCTGGGTGGCTTTGTCGGCGAAGGCGAGCACGGATGCGTAGGAGCTCAGGTCCAGCGGCCAGACTTCCACGACGCCCGTCCGTTGCGTCGTGGATTCGATCGACTCTCGGGCGGCTTCGCCGGCGGTGATGTTGCGGACGGCGAGGATGACTTTCCCGGCGCCTTGTGAGACGATGTGGCGCGCGGCTTCGAGGCCCAGACCGGTGTTGGACCCGGTGATGATCACAGTCTGGTGGGCGAAGGAGGTGGGGGGGAGTTGGGGGGTCACGAAGACTTGGTTGTAGAGGAAATGTAGTTGGGAAGACATGGCTGGCTTTGGGTGTCTGGGAGAATTGCTGGAGAGGATAGCGAGGGATGAAGAGGACGAGGAAAGGGAAGTTTTATAGGGTTAAGCCGGACTTAGCGGGCTTTAGAGGGATTTACTGGAGATCGGGACGGGGTTAAGAGGCATCTGATCTGCCATGGACTGAGCGCGACACTAACCCGTTGGAAGGGATTCTGTCAGCATGCATGCATGCATGCATGACTGATGATATCACGACTCCCTCGCAGCCCCAAGTGGATCGATCCCCTTCGATGGATCCGATGGATCCGATTGATCCTGACCGGCGATATTGTGGAGTCGACTTCGACCCATTCTGCATCTACACATCTCTACAATCCATCGTCGATCCTCACAAAAATCATGATATTATTATTACACGACCACTATCCTTTATCCAGCACTATTAACACCATTACTAGGATATACAACCGCAGTACAAGCACAAATCCGATCACAATCACAGGCGTTCTGGGAAACAATCTGATAACCCCCCCCCCCACAAACCCTAACCCTATCTTATATAGCCTCCTACAGCGCCGTGATGGACAGCCGTTTGGCACCCGCATTGCCCGTCAGCAACGATGATCCGCTCGACTGCCGGAGATGGTTGGAATGCTTCGCCGTCTCCTCGACGTCCAGACTGAACCGCCGCGGCCGTTCCCACATGCCCACCGACTCGTCGCCTGCTGACGACGTCGTGGCCTGCAGGCGAGCCGACGACAGCCCGAACTTGGTGGCGATCTGCTGCACGCGCTCCTGCGCGGCCTCGGCGTCGATGGCGGCACTCTGGCCTTCCTTGGACAGTCGCGACTGGGCATGCTGCAGCAGGTCCAGATGCTGCGTGACGGCCTCGACCGCCGCCGTCTGGTCCTCCGTCTCGCTGTTCAGCAGCTCGGCCAGCGCCGTCTCGTGCAGCGCCGCCGCGGCCAGGTGGTTGCCCGACGCGGCGTAGAGGCCGGACAGCAGCTTGTTCATCTCCAGGGTCACCGGGTCCGAGTTGCCCCAGACCTGGCGCAGGTTGTAGCAGATGTCCTTGCCCAGCGTCGTCGCTGCGCTGACGTGCCCGCGACAGAAGCGCGTCTCGACCAGGCGGCGGCCGATCCACACCACCGCCGGCAGGGTCCACGTCTTCTGCACGATGCGCGACGTCCACAGATCCGTCAGGATCGCCTCCAGGTCCTCGAACAGCTCGTGCTCGCCCAGCACCGTCACCAGGTCGTTGAGCTCCTCGAACGGCAGCTCCGAGAACTCCAGCTGCAGGTCCTTGGCGTTGGTCATGATCTCCTGCAGCAGCATCTGCGACTCCAGCGACATCGCCTTGGCCGTCGTGCCGTCCGTGCACTTGGGCACCTGGTACCCGCTGAGATACAGACACAGCTTAATCGCCGTGAAGAGGCTCTCCGTCAGCCGCAGCCCGTCCGTGAGATGGACGAACGAGTGGAACACCCCTGTCACGTCCGCCGCGTCCTGGAACCGCGACCGGTTGCACAGGTCGCGCACCAGGCTGGTGGACTGTGTGACGATGTTGATGTTGTAGTCGTCGTGCAGCGACTCGCGGCGGCACATGGCATAGAACTGGTGCACGACGTCCTTCTTGCGCAGCGGCTGGGCCACGGACAGGGTGTTGCAGAAGTACTCGTACAGCTTGTCCTGCGTCTTCTGCGCGGACGCAGTGCGCTTCTGCTCCGTCTGCAACCGATGCAGCTTCTCGCCAGCCGCCAGCGTCGGCATCAGGTCGTGGCTGGATAGGCTCTGTTGGAAGACGTTGTACACCTGGCCTTCACGGGCCAGGTCGTCCAGGATCTGCCGCGAGGACCGCGTCCGCCCGAACACCTCTTCGAACGAGGCCACAAACACCGCCGGCCGGTACTCCTCCAGGTTCTGGCGCTGTGCGGCCGGCGTGTCGTGGATGACCTGCTGGTGCAGCCGGTCGATCAGCTCCCAGCCCTCGGTCGTGTAGCCACACTCGAGGTAGATTTCCGCCAGCTGGCGCGCGCGGTCGACCAGCGCGTCGTGGTTGGCCGTGACATGCACAACCTCGTCGACGTGCTCGTTCAGCAGCACGGCACCCTTGCGTCGCGAGTCGATGCTGTCCTGGAGGGAGTACATCCGGGCGATCTCGCGCAGCCACAGCAGCGTGGTGGGCGCGGACAGCCCCTGCTGCTGCTTGGACAGCGCCAGCTCCTCCGTGTACAGGGCGCAGGCCTGCGGCGAGGTGTCCTTCTGGCGCATGTGCAGCTGGGCCATGCGGTGTTTGATGTCCATGGGCAGCGGCTGGGTCATCTCCGGCAGCGACCGCGAGGCCTCGGCGGCCGACACCCAGTCGTTGGTCTTCAGCACCTGCCGGTACAGGTCGATGGCCTCGCCGCGGTGGTGATCGCTCCCGGCACACAGCGCCGCCAGATACATGGTGGCGTCGCGGGTGCGCGCGCTGGTGGGCCCGTACAGCTTGCGACACAGCTGCTGGTGCTGCTGGGCCACCTGATGGCGCTCGGCGTATCCGGCCTCGCTGGACGTGCTGTCGAGGATGGCAACGTAGCCGGTATAGGTCTTGGGGAGCAGGCCCTCGAGCAGGGCCCGGTCATAGCCGTCCTTCTCGTCGAAGCGCACCAGCGTCGGCCACAGGTGGCGATAGACCTCCAGCGCGGCGTCCCACTTCTTGTCCTGCTCGTACAGCGTCACCAGGGCCACGGCCGCGCGCACGCCGGAAGAGGAGATCTTGCCGTCGCGCAGGCAGCCCTGATAGATGCGGCGGTAGCTGTCCTCGGCCTCGAGGCGGCGGTTCAGGCGCAGCGCCAGGTCGGCCTCGTAGTAGAGGCTGTCCAGGGTGTTCTTGTCCTGCACGCCCAGGCGCGAGGCGTAGAACTCGCTGACCTGATGCAGCAGCACCAGCGCCTTGTCGAACTGGAAGGTGGTCTCGTAGAACTCGACCACCGTCTTCATGACGGTGTTGACGGCCGGCACAGCCACCTGCTCGGCCGTGATGGACGCCCGGAAGGCGTTGCCATACACGACCGTGGCCGTCGAGACGTCCAGCCGCCGGAACAGGCAGTACGCATAGTCGAGGGCCAGCGTCGACATGACGGGGGCCAGCTCGGACGAGAACTTGGCCTTGCTCTGCGCATCCTCGACCGACGGCCAGGTGTGCTTCAGCACCGCCCAGGCACAGTGGCTGCCCTCGCGCCACTCCTCATCGCGGATGTGCTGCGTCGCCAGCTGGTGCGACAGCATCAGGATGGCCATCATGTCACCGTCGCGCTCGCTGCCGGCCGACGCCAGCGTGTCGATCCAGCCGGGCAGCAGCTCGTAGTCCTCGGGGGACACGGCAGCCAGCATGTATTCGGTCTCGGCCGTCGAGGCCTCGCGCGTGGGGATCATGCCGTCCGTCAGGGACTCGGCCAGCGACACGGCCTGGGGCGAGTACTGCTCGCCCGAGGTCTGGTAGTACTTCCACATCTGCATCGCCAGGGCTCGATCCATGTCCGTCAGGTTCATCTCGCGCGCCTCGCCGCGCAGCTCGTCGGCTCGCTTGACCATCTCGGGCGACTTGACGCCCCCTTCGGCCTCCAGCTCGGCCGACAGCTCGCGCAGGATCGTCGTCGCCTGGTCCGGCCGGTGCTGCCGCCGCAGGAACTGCGAGTAGTAGAAGGCCACCTTGGTCTTCTGGTCCCACGAGCTGGTGGTGTCGACCTCGCGTGCCGACAATCCAGCCCACAGGCGCGACAGCACCGTCTCGGCCTTGCCCGCGTGCCCGTTCTCCTCGTACAGCTGCGCCAGGTACAGCGAGTACGCGATGCGTCGCGGGTCAGTGGCGTCCATCGACTGCACCATCGTCTCGTACTTGGTGCGCGCCAGCTCCAGGGCCAGCTCGTCGGGGGGGGCGATCTTGAAATGCTTCGTCAGGAAGTCGGCCGCCTGGACCGTCTCGGACGAGTGCGCGCCGTACGTCTTGACCGTTTGCCGGTAGAACTGCTTGGACACGGCGTAGGCCTCGTCGTTCTGCTTGTTCTCCTGGTACGTGGTGACCAACCGGTCAAGGTACTGCAGCCGCTGTGCGAAGCTGAGGTCCGACGAGCCCCAGCCGGCCAGCGTCATGTCGCGCAGGGCATCGGTCTTGAGCCCTGCAGCGCGGTCCGCACGTCCGGCACCTTCGGGGGTGGCCACCAGCATCTGCTCCAGATCGCGGGTGAGGTCGTTGGAGGTGCCCAGCTGGCTGCGACTGAGGGTCCAGGCCTGGTACAGATGGTCGTTGGCCCACGAGGCGTGAGCCTTCTCGGCCGCACGCGCGCTGAGGATGAGGGTCTGCAGCACCGCCGGGGCCTCGTTGCCCAGCACCACGCGACGCACCCCGACGGCCAGTCGGTACAGCTCCACGATGCTGGAGCGGCTGAACTGTGACTCACGGTTGGTCAGCTCCAGCTGAGCGAACAGTACGGTATCGGGCATGGCGCGGCGGAAGGAGGTTGGGAACGACAGCTCGCGGTCCGACGAGGCCATCGGCGAGGCCAGCATGTGTGACAGCCAGTACCGCGCAGTGTATTCCAGCAGCACGTACGCGTCCAGATAGCGGTCGCGCACGTAGACACTCATCTTGTCCCAGGCCACGGTGACCTCGTCCGTCACGGAGCGACGCACCCAGGCCAGGCAGCGGATAAGCAGGTCGTAGTGGGCGTCCGCCAGCGAGAAAGGCAGCTCCTGGCGCATCTGGGCGCGTGCCTGCAGGTGCTCGCGGATCATGGGGTGGCGAAAGGCGACGAAGCCATCGCGCACCGAGATCAGCCGGTTCAAGGGCTGGAAGACGTCGCGTTCGACGTTGGGGGTGCGTGCGGCGACCTTCAGCGTCCCCAGATCGACGGCCAGCAGCTGCTCGACCTCGGGGATGCGCAGGGGCCGCTCGCTGGCGGCCAGCCAGGCCAGCAGGCTCTGCGTGCCCACGCGGTTCAGGTTGATGTTACGCAGGTGCGAGTCGATCAGGTCGCCCAGCGTCTTGGGCATGCGCGCCACGGCCGAGTTCATGTCGTGGAAGGTCGTCTGGTGGCGCACTGCCTCGACGGCCAGCTGGGCCCACACGAAGCAGCCCAAGGATCGCGTCACAATGGCCGCACTCAGGGACTCGCGCTGAGTCGCCTCGAGACCGGAGAAGGCTGAGTCGGCGATCATCATGTCGGTCACGGCCGCCTGCAGGTCCAGCTGGGTGGTGGCGGCGTTCATGGCCACCTGGTGCGTGACGACCGTCTCGCGGATGGGCAGCAGATCGGCGGACATGGGACGGCTGAAGATGACCAGCTTGGAGGGCGTGTTGGCGACGGTGTCCTGCAGCAGGCCCAGGAAGGCGCCGACGGTGGTCTCCGCGTGCTTCATCTGGTCGAAGCCGTCGATCACCAGCATGAAGTGCAGATTCGACTGCACTGCCGTGCGGATCGCCGTCCACAGCTGGCCCTCGACCTGGGGGTCGGAGGCTCCGGACACGGCCAGCTCCAGGGCGCCCATGACGGCCACCAGGATGCCGTCCTGGGTCTTGCGGCTGCTGACGCAGTGGTCGAGCATCTGGATGAGGATGCCCTTGAGAATGCTGAGGGTGAGGGTGGAGATGGGCACGTCCGAGCGGATGGTGACGGGGATGACGTTCCAGATGTCGTATTCCGATGAGGCCTGCAATCGCTCGACCGTCCACTGGGCCAGGGCACTCTTGCCGGCGCCCGGGTTGCCGCGGACCATCAGCAGACTGCGCCGTCCCATGGCGAAGGTGGTGAGATGGGGGTCAAACCAGGCGAAGGAGCCGTCGGCCAGGGAGTGGTTGTGGCCCTCAAGCAGCATCTGCAGGGGGCGGTCCTGCAGCTCGAGGAACTGGTAGATGGCGGACAGATCGACGGTGGCGGTCATCTTGGCCGTGCTGGACTCGAGGACGATGGCTGAGATGCGACGCCAGTGGGTGACGAAGCGATTCGTGTAGCGGAAGAAGGCCGTATCGACGGCGCTGCTCACCGTCTGCCAGTGCTGCGTGCGCGTGCCTTGGCGATATTCGGAGGCGACATGCACGACCAGCTGCAGCAGGTGGGCATAGATCTCGGCCACCTGCTGCTGCAGGGCCCGCGAGGTCGGGAAGAAGGTCTCCTGCTGCAGCAACAGCGAGATGCCCAGCGTGATGCGCCCGTACCGGCCGAAGAGGCTGTCGATGACCTCGATGTGGTCGATCCCCATCTCCAGCAGCAGCAGGGTGGTGCCCCAGACCAACTGGGTGGCCTCCTCCGCGCCGTCCATGAAGCTGTAGACCGAGTCTCGCAGCGAGCCCACCGCGACGGCGAGGCGAGACGCGCGCCGCAGGGCTCCATCTAACCGACTGCCATCCGGGGGCATGCGCCGCAGTCGTTCCGCGGCGATGGCATCGAAGAAGACATCGAGGGTGGGTGATTTGGCCTGGACCTCGCTCGCGGAGGCTCCCAGGCGCGAGGGACACTCGTGGGAGACAGTGTTGACCGTCTCGCGGAGGATGGGGAGGGAGTTGGCGGTGGTTGTGGTGGTTGTGGTGGTGGTGGTGCCCCCATTCCCATTCACAGCCGTGTTCCCCTTTGCGCGAGTGGAAGACATGCTGTTCGTGGTTCAATGGAGGTGACTGGTGGGAAGCATAGTAGAGAGGAGTAGGAGAGAGCAAGAGAGCAAGAGCAATTGGGTTCTTCTCGTTCGTGGTTGCTGGCCGGTATATGAACTTCCGACTGCTCCGTCAGGGTCAATGATGCGGGATCAGCCCTGAACCCCGAGCGCAGAGCAATCCTGACATCATGGAGAGGCCCTCCAGCAGCAAGGGGAGGGAGCCATGCTGGCCATGGGGGTCGTCCGCGAGCTGGTTCGAATAAACTAAGCGATGACCGTGGGTCGCTCGCGTCTGGCGCGAGTTTGTCTCTAGCGGTCCATCGCGGTTTGGAAGTCAGCCATCGCTGGACGCTGCCAATAACCGATCATCGGGCCACGTGAAACAGACGAATATTGGCGTAGTCATGGTGTCATGGGCGTCTTTGTTGACGCGAAAGGGTGGTTGCGATGCGTCATGGGGGGGGGAGCGAGTCAATGACATCACGAGGCAGACGAGACGATTGTTCGCATCCGGGGGAGCACAATGCCGGGTGTGCCGGAGTGGAGACGGCCAGCCGCAGCGTGATGCCATTATATATGCGACCGAAACCTGAGGAAGGCATTGTTGGTGAGACGGGGGGGATGTAGAGACGAAGGTGGTGAGGGCTGTGGTCGTGAACAGAAGCCGTCACGGGAGCCCCAAAACCCTCACTTCTAGCCGGATACCACTGATCGCAGATCCACTCGACACATGTGACGGACGATCCTGTCGATCCACATATCTTCCAGCCCATCCAGCCCATCCGTCCATTAGTTGTTACTATACAAGGCACACCCTACTGCCCCTACCCTTCCCCAGCATCCCTCGTGCTGGACTCTCCACCAGTGGAAGCACGCCCATGAAGCATCACCAAGCCAGTCTCACAACTCACGACCGATTCTCTGTCTGCGACAGCTTCCAACGGCCGACTGATCTGGCCCGCCATGATAACCTTGATCCCCCGCTCGGAAATGCCCGGCACGCTGGCCCGGCCTTGATCGGGATGGGTCATCCACGGTCGACAGCTCCTAGCGCGAGAGATTCCTATGGTTCAGCACCCCGGGCCAAGATAGGATTGGCAAGGTGATGATGCCCTGTCGAAGCCTCGAAGTAACCGGCAAAGTCTGAGATGCTGTCGTCCCATGCACCCCTCCTCCAATTTGCCGGCAGGACCTCCGTTGTTGTTTTTCCCGCGAAGTATGAAGCCCAAGCCCTCGGACGGGCGATCTTGCTTGTTGGACCCCCATCCAATCCAGCTTTGGGGATGGAGCAGCTCTGATTCTTGTCGGTTGCTCGGACCAGCGACGCATTTCGAATCCTGGTCCGCAGAACTAGGGTCCTCATACCTGGTGGCTGCACTCCCCGGAGAGAACATTGCCCACCGATCCATGGCCCTGAGACAAGGTGTATGGCCCTGCAGTAATATCGGGAGAGATGTCCGACCTTCGACCCCAGTCGGATTATCTTGCGGTTATTCACTGGGTCACTCGTTCGGGGCCCCATTCACTTGCGTTGATCATCTCTGGATCTCGGGGATGCTGAACGATCTTCCCCTCTACTAATGGCCTTACTTAAGGCGCTATTTTCATCCACAGTCTGAGACATCGATAAGTTGTTAAGAATGTCTACAGGAATCAAGCTCGGCCCCAATCACATTGATCGCATCGCACCTTCCAGCAGTGGGATTTCAAGTGCTGGCAATGGGCACGGACAGTTCCGTTCGCACTGTTATCTCGCGACCTTTTCATTGGAGTTTCGGTGCCCGATGTCGAGGGCTGGGTAGTACAGCTATCCTTGAAACGGGCCGAGGAATCGTGTCCATGACCGGACCTTGTCCGGTCGCAATGGACTCAAAACAGCATTGGGGATTGCAGATCGCTATGTAGGGGTGTGTGTATGGATATACGGATACTCGGCAATGTCCTCTTGCCCATCCCTCTCAGCTGTCCCCCCTCGCCGGCTCCTCATACCCGGGATAAGCCCTCGTCATCTGATGACGCACCCACTGTCGATGTGCGTGTCAGCTCGTGCAACATGACCATCAGCAAACCGGTCATCTCACTCACCTCGCCCGCCTTGAACGCCGGCTTACACGCCGGCCGGTCGTCGGAAATGCAGCTCGGCAGAACCGACACGGTGGTGTCATAATCCACCCCGAAGAAGAACGGAATGGTGTACCGCTCCTGTCCGGTCAGATTCGTCACCCGGTGGATCGTCGATTTGAAGATTTTGTTGGTCCTATGCATATTAATCGGTTGGAATCAGTGTGAGGAGTCTCTCTCGCTTACCAGATCGACAGACAATCGGCGATGTTCACGACCAAAGTGCCAGGGATGGGCGGCGCGAGGATCCACTCCCCCCGGGAATTGCGAACCTGCAAGGCTGGTACCTGGTCTTGCAACAGCAGAGTGAAGCATTCGTAATCCTGACAGTCGGGTTAGCTTGCGCAGTCGTCGCCATTCATATGTGGCTTGTTCACCGTATGTTCCCCCAGTCCGATCCTGATCGCATCCGCCGCCGGCTGGGGCGGATAGTGCAACATGCGTGATGTCGCCCCAGGATAGTTGACCATCGGGTCGAAGAAGTCCTCGGGGAGATCCAGGGCGAGGGCAAAGATGCGGATCATGGCGCGGCAGAGGGTCAATGCCTCGGCGAAGTATCGCCGGTAGACCTCACGAAAGCCAGGCAGCAAATCGTCGCGGGGCCACTGGTTGTCCCCGTACAGCTCGTAGGCGTCTGCTGGGAGGGTATCGGTGGGGCTTCGCTGGGGGTCTGCGTCCAGCTCGTATCCGATGTCAAACGCTTCGGAGAAGGCGGCGGTGGAGGGGTCGGGCTCGGGCGCCGGCTCCAGATCGGTGCCGGTCGGTTGCTCGCAGTTAAGGGGGATGAAGCCCCGGTATTTCTGCGGGTGTTAATTCGGGGGGAGAGATCCTGCAGTGGTGGCAAGTGGTGCACGTATGTATACCTTGGACTTTCGGATGGAGGTTTCCATCTTCTGCTCCTCCGGGAGAGAAAAGAACCGTTGTGCGGCCTCTCGCAGGGTGGCAATCAGCTCTTCGGGGATTCCATGGTTCTGTGACAGAGTGAGTCGGTGGTGGACACTACATCGTGTGTAGATAGATCGGGGACAGATGGGCAGCGTACCTTGATGTAGAAGAAGCCGACCTGGGTGCAGGCCGTGTAGATCTCCCTGGCGAGCCGCTGCCGTTCCTGAAGGAGGGGACTTCTCAGGGGGGCGAGGTCGATGACGGGGATATGGTCGAACTCGCCTTTCTCGAGGGAAGGGGAGGATGACATGGTGGTGGTGTTGTTTTGGGGGAGGGGGGGGGGGTTGGTTAGGGTTATGAATGAGGGAGAGGTAGAGGATATGTGTGGCGGGATATACTGTATAGTCAGGAAGGCAGCAGTTGGGGGCCGCCCTTTATGACGCGGGGGTTTTGGACTGGACCCATTCCTCTCACGGCCGATCAGGTTTGCCTGGGAAGGACCAAGGATGAGGATGAGGATGAGGATGATGATGATGACTCCTCGGACATGCACACGCAGACGCATGCAATGGGTATGTATATCCCCGAGTGGATCGGATTTCTCTTCGGAGACCACTGCCCACTTCTCCCTCTGGTCTAAAGAGTATCACAAGCCCATGGACTCTGTATTTCCCTCGTACCCCCTCATCCGGGTAAAATATCTGCTACTAATCCGCCTCTAGCCTCTATCTAGCGCCAGCCCTAAACTGCATCCGGCCTTGAAGCGAATGGCTCTCTCCACAGCCAAGCCGGCCGGTGGGGCAGCCTTGTCTACTTATCTGCCAGTCTGCCAGGCCTGGCATCTCTCCTGATCTCTCCTGATCTCTCCTGATCTCTCCTGATCTGATCTCCTGATCTCCTGATCTCCTCTATCAAATATCCACCCCCCCCCCTCTCTCTTTCCTTTCAACCACCACCACCACCATGCCCATCCCCTTCTCCTTCGCCTCCCCCTGCTACGACCGCATGGTCCCCCTCGCCACGGGCGAGGTGCGCCCCGCGGGCCTGGACCTGCACTTCGTCGAGGTGCAGCACCCGCGCGACGTGTTCGACCGGATGGTGCGCAACGCTGAGTTCGACGCCTCGGAGCTGTCGAGCAGCGAGTATATCACCCGCCACGTCGCCGGCGATCGCGCCTTCACCGCGGTGCCGGCCTTCCCCCTGCGTACCTTCCGCCACGGCTACATCGTCGTCAACACCGACCGCATCAAGGCCCCCGCCGACCTGTCCGGCAAGCGCATCGGCGTCCAGCTGTACACCATGACCGCCGCCGTCTGGATCCGCGGCCTGCTCATGCACGAGTACGGCGTCGACCTGTCGAGCATCACCTGGGTCGAGGGGCGCATGGACGCCCCCGGCGCCCACGGGAAGCCGTCCGTCCTGATCCGCACCGAGGGTGGCCGGCCGTTGGCCAATATCGAGAAGAACGAGAGTGGGAAGTCGCTGAACCAGCTGCTGGCGGACGGGGACATCGATGCCACCATCGGCGCGGAGGTGCCCAGCTGCATGTGGGACAACGAGACGTCGCCGCACATCCAGCGGCTGTTCCCCGATTACAAGGAGGCCGAGAAGGCCTACTACCGCAAGACGGGCATCTTCCCCATCATGCATCTCGTGGCCATCCGTCGCGAGGTGCACGAGCAGCACAAGTGGATCGCCACCAGTCTGTTCCAGGCCCTGAACGAGTCCAAGGAGCTCGTCCGGAAGAGGACCTACATGCCCGGCATGATCCGGTGCATGCTGCCGTGGCTGCGCGAGGCCCTGGAGGAGACCGTCGAGGTCTTCGGCGAGGACTGCTGGCCCTATGGCATCGAGAAGAACCGCAAGACCTTGGAGGCCCTGGTGCAGTATCTGTACGAGCAGGGCATGATCGAGAGGGTCGTCAAGGTCGAGGACCTGTTTGCTCCGGTGCAGGAGACCCCGTTTGTGATCCAGTAAACGGGCTTGACGACTTCGGATATTGTACATAGGGTGGGGAAGGGGGGGAATGCGTAGATATCATGGGATCGGGGATAGAAGAGAATGGAAAATGACTAGATATCACGAGGATAGAGAAATCGTGGAATAGCATAGGTTATGTCATTGGGTATAGCTTCGTAGCTTCGTCGAGAACAGAAATTGTGGTTAACAGGTATCATTTGACGCAAACCTGGCTCAGATAACAAACCAGTCCTCGTCCTCACGGCAAAGCCTTGATCGCGATTTCCTCCCTGGACGCCGCTACGACGCAGGGTCCCTGGCCCTCATCGACCATGTGGGCCACGGCCAGGGCAGCACTAGCGGCGCTTGGGCCTTCTCTCCAGCATCTATCTATCTACAGCTGACAGCTGCGATGCATTGGCTGATGTTCCAAGCCGGAGAACGGCGTCCCCGGCACAATCCCTGATTCCATGCCAGGAAACCAGTTTAGCCACCGGACGTTTTCTTGCCAGCTATTCTACATCTTGCTGGCCGACCATGGAGAACTCTCTCATCAGATGTGGGACCCAGCTTGCTAGAGCCGGTTGGCCGCAACGACAAGGGCTCCCCTCAGGTTCAGGGTTCGTCCAATCCGGAAGAGCGGAGTCCTTTTCCAGCATTTCTCGTCCAAGGTGAGTAGATCGATCCGGTCAACTCTTCCAGGTTCAACGCGGCCACAATACTTGGTTGTGTCAAACTGCAGGATGGCATAAAAGGGGTTCCCCGGGCCCAAAGGCAAGCAGACGGGTGTCATGTCTGACGCGGTCTAATTGGATCGACCTTCGAAAAAATGTCCGCTTGCTACGAGCTGTTGCCTAGTCGCACTCTTCCATTCCCTGTTCAGGGTGGACTGCCCGCCCTTACCGAGATCGATGGGCTGTTCAACTTCCGCGACGCCGGGGGATTTCGAGCGACCGGCGGAGGGTTCACCAGGAAGGGGCTGATCTTCCGCTCAGCCAATACGGAGAATATCACCCAAGCCGGGGCGCTCAAGCTGACGAAAGCGTATGGAATTCGAGCGATATTCGACTTGCGCTCCGCGGGTGAAGTGGGTGATGTGGTCCAGCAAAGTCGCCACCTCGCCGATGTCCCTACTGTCCGAGTCCCAGCGCTCTCGAACCTGGACGATGACGAGATCGTGGCCTATTGGGAGGGTCTGGCCACGGACGATGCGCCGTTGTTCGCCGTAGACCTATACATGTGGATCTGTGCCATGTCAAATAGCGCCTTCCGCACCATTTTTACACATCTGCGGGACAAGCCCGGCCATCCAGTCTTGATCCATTGCGAAATGGGAAAAGATCGGACTGGGGTTTGCGTGGCGGTGATTCTTCTGGTGCTGGGGGTTTCCGACCAGGATATTATACGCGATTATCAGCTGTCCCAAGAGGCTATCAAGCCGATCGTCCCCGAGAGGCGGCGGAAACTGTTGCGGTTACCGATCCTGCAGAGAACCTCGGTGTCGATGGCCACAATCGACAAGCATTTCCTGGCGTCGCCGGAAACCATGCGCCAGTTTTTGGCGAGCTTCCGAACGACGTATGGCAGTGGCCAGAACTACTTGTTGTCCCTCGGCTTCAGCGTCGATGATTGCAATGCCATTCGCCGGAACCTGATCGAGTATTCCCAGTTCTGCTAGCGGGTATCTGGAGCCTTGGGGGTCCTGTCATTTTAGTTGTTTCGTCCCGGGTATTCTATCATCAATACAGGGGCCACCATGGTCGATGAACGCTTTGTATCTGATCACCGTCGTAGCCTACGTCACCCCGCCAGCGTAATCCATCGTTCATGCTCTGTATCACCCACCATCCGGAGTGGTTTTATTCTGGGGGCAGTGGTTCAGCGTCTCCAAGGTGATGGTCTCCTCCGCCATGCGTGCAGTCAAGTTTGAATCCCAGGGGCCCTCCCGATGCGGCCAGGACCGGGGCGCCTCGATGGCATTCCAGCGCAGTATCCCCCTCGTGCACGTGCAGGAGTGGCCCTTCCACGCCACACTGCACGGACTGCATGTCCCAGTGGGCAAATGCCTCGACCAGCGCCTGCTCGACTGGCCGTCGGCCCCCGGCCGCGGGCTCCAGCGGGCTCTGAGTCTGGGACTCGTTCAAAATCCCCAGCCCGCATCGCACGCAGATGCCGGAAGGCGTTGTCATACTAGCCCCGGATCCGCTCCAAGACGACAAACAGCAGACAGCGGAGGAGGGTGACCTCGGGGAACCGGGGATCGTGTGACGCCCGCCGCGCATGGAGCAAGGCAAACGAGCAGCCCGACTGCTCCAAGGCAACGGTGTGCCAGGTATTCCGCAGGGTCCTCCCTCGGCCGTGGCATGCCTTGTCTCTTGAAGTCGTGGTAGACGGCGGGCTCGGCGGGGCTCGGCGTGGCTCATCTGCAGCACGAGGGTGTGCCAGAGCGACGAGTCGACCCGGGCGAGGAAGGCGGGCACGGTGCGGTCCTGAAAGAAGGCGAAGGCGCGTTGCTCGTCGGGGTTCATGAGGCGGTGGCGGCTGTGGGAAAGAGCGGTCGCGCGGGCCTGCTTGCCTCTGGGCAGGCGGGGGGGGAAGTCATATCCATCGCAGGTGCAGGCGCATGCTGCTCACCGACAGGTGCGACAGTGGACCTCTTCCCAGCGGCTCTTGGGGGGGTGAATTTGACGAGGGAAGAGGTCATGGGAGGGAAGCATAGCGGATGAAGTTGGTTGAGGCGAGTTGGCGAGATGGAGAGTTGGAGAGTTGGAGAGTTGGAGAGTTGGAGGGAAGACGGGAAGGGAAGAAACACCCCCCACGTGCCAGGCAGTCAGGCAGCCTTTCTGCCTTTCTGCCTGTGACATCATCCCCCCCCCCCCTCCCTTTCCTTTCCTATATCCGAAATTCCGGATATCCGCCCCTTTCATCCGTGGTCAACTGCCGTGGGTCTCTCCGAGGCTCCGCCCCGGTGTAAGGCTGCAGGCTGCCGGCTGCCGGAGAAGAGTCGTTATCTGATCCGGTTTTTTTGGTGACTCTGGAGTCCTTCGTCCGTCTCGACCAGTCAATATCTAGTGATGCCACGTCGCCTGGCTGGGATCCGGAAGAGCGTCGCTCGGAGATACCACAAGGGGCAGGCAGCCAGATCAGATAAGCCCAAAGGCCGACCGAGCGCCCCCCCGCCTAAGCCTTCTGCCGCCTATATACTGTATATATTGGCCCGTTCATCCTTCCCTCCGTCGTCGCTGGCCTGGCAATGCTCTGGGCTGGCCAACACCTGCGCTTCTCGTCGATTAGTAGTTGCACTTTGTTGATTACTGCAATCACCGCAAGCCTCGCCCTGTTTCTATCCTCAATGGCATCCCACAACATGGCCACCTCGCTCAAGAACGTCATCGTGGTGGGCGGCTCCTACGTGGGCAAGGTAAACACAACCCCGTCCGGTTGGTTCACAGGCACAGGGGCAGGGAAGGAAGGAAGGCAGCCATCCACTGACACGGACTGCAGGCCGCGGCGCAGGAACTCGCCCGGGTCATTCCCGCAACACACCGAGTAAGAAGCCGAATCTCGCCGTCGCACGGGTTGAGAGAGACATGCTGACCGCCCCCCGCCTCCCCCCACCACCAGGTCCTGTTGATCGAGCCCCATAGCCACTTCCACCACCTGTTCGCTTTTGTACGTCGACCATCCAGTTCGCAACTCCCTCTCCCCGCTAATGTAACCCCCCAAAACAGCCTCGTTTTGCCGTCCTGTCCGGCCACGAACAAAAAGCCTTCATCCCCTACACCCGCCTCTTCGCCGCCCTCCCCCACTCCACCCAGCACGCCACCGTCCAGGCGCGCGTCCTCTCCGTCCACCAGCAACATGTCCACCTGGACCGCGACTGGCAGGGCCTGCGACAGATCCCCTTCGAGTACCTCGTCGTCGCCACGGGCACGCGTCTGGCCGAGCCCGCCGCCATGAAGGACGAGGACAAGCCCTCGTCCGTGCGGTACCTGCAGAAGCACCAGTCGGATGTCAAGCAGGCCCGCTCCGTGGTGATCGTGGGCGGAGGCGCCGTCGGGGTGCAGATGGCCACCGATATGAAGGAGCTATACCCGGAGAAGGAGATCACCGTGGTGCAGTCGCGCGAGCACCTGATGCCCCAGTTCCACCCGCGGCTCCATGAGATCGTCAAGAAGCGCTTCGAGGAGCTGGGCATCCAGTAAGCCATCCTCGCCTCTTCCTCCTCCTTCTCCTCCTCCTCCGACGATGATGATGATGATGATGATGATGCTGATCCCTGCTAACCCATAACCCATCTAGCCTTATCACCGGCGCTCGCATCGTCGTCCCCGAGGGCGGCTTCCCCAACCACGGCTCCCCGTTCACCGTCCAGCTCAACAACGGCTCCGAGCTGACCACCGACTTCGTCATCCTGGCCACCGGCCAGAAGCCCAACAACGACCTCCTCCGCCAGCTGCCCGCCACCTCCGCCGACTCCCTCATCAACCCGGACAATGGCTTCATCCGCATCCGCCCCACCCTGCAGTTCCAGGACCCGCAGTACCCCAACCTCTTCGCCCTGGGCGACATCGCCGACACGGGCCTGCGCAAGGCCGCCCGCCCCGGGGGTGGGCAGGCCGCCGCCGTGGCGAAGAACATCCAGGCCATGATCGAGGGTCGCCAGCCGGAGGACGTCTTCCCGGCGTTCCCCATGGCCATCCACATCACCCTGGGATTGGTGCGTTTGTGTCCGGTCTCGGTCCGGGAGCGTGGTGCTAATCTCGAGTCCAGAAATACAACATCGTGTTCCGCAATCCCAACCCGGCCGAGGGTCAGCCCGAGCCGGTGATCAAGGAGTCGTGGGAGTAAGTACTCGTTTCCGGCAGGAGGTTTGATCGCAGACTAACGGTTGGCGTCAGTTCCCAGGCAGATATGGGCGTGGAGCGGTGGTGGGAGCGCATGGGATTCCAGGAGAATGGGCCCTCCCAGTACCATTTGTAAAGCGGGGCTTTTTTTTTAATGATACCACCTTGACGGGTTTTGGCGAGACCGGTCCGGCATCATGATGATAGATTTCGACAAAAAATATATATATATATATATATCTCTCTATATTTCTATATATTTCTATATATTTCTATATATTTCTGTATATTTCTATATATTTCTATATATTAATTTATTTAGACAAGCGACAGTACCCATCATATATCCAAGCGATCCCCGTGGCTCACACGATCCCGAAAAGGACGGGTTTCGTGATCAACATCAAGCATGTACAGACCGGCCAACGGGGTATATTTATACATTGGAGGACTGCCAAGGTCTTGCTCGGAAAAAGCCCCAAGGGTCTTCACGCGCGCCACAAGAATGAGTGCGGAACCGCGAATCGCCCACCCCAGGGGGGAAGGGAAGGGGGATGTATACAGTACAGATGACGTGTCCGAGGAGCTCGGAAGGGAGACGGGGATGCCGGCCTCCGATCCCCATGCTCGACGGGTGGTCCCCAGGGTGATGATGTCTGTTTCATCCGATCATACGGAGTAGTATAGTGAGTATCCCGGATCCCGCACTTCTGCATGGCGGAGAGGCCATGGCGGGGACGCAAACCCGCACATGGGCGTCAGTGAGCGGTGCGGGTTTCGGACACGGAGGAAGGGGAAGAAGGGGCAGGCGACTCGGCAAGTGGTGACTCAGGCCTTGGTTCAGACAGCAGGAGGGAATGCCGGTGGTCCGGATGCGGAAGGAGGGCCCCTATCCACGCCACACCGCCTGCCAACCCGGGACCGGCATTACTGCGGGCGGTACTTATGTCCGCAACCAGGCGGTCAGCCGCGTTGGTTTCCTCTTCTTCCTCTTCTCCTCCCTCTTCTCCTCCCTCGGCGGACTCTCGTCATGCTGAGATGACCCATCATGCTGCCTCCTCGTCAAACGTCTGCAACCAGCCTACTCCCTGCCTGGTTACCACCTTGACCTCAGATCCCCGCCCCCCTCCATCGAGACTTGCTGAGGAGTCCAGGGACTCCTGGGGCAATTGACACTGACCAGGCACAGATTCTAGCAGCGCACTTCTTCCTTTTCCTCATCATGCTATGCCTACCCTCGAAAGCTGTTCCTATATTTCACCCATCCGCGTGGGACGGAAGACGCTCGAAGCGCCTCGCATCGATCCGGCATGTTTTTTTCGAGACCCCGAGAACCGGCAAGGAGAATATACTAGGATAGCTTGCATCGCAACTTGTGTCTCGGAACTTCCTGCATAACATACAATGGTCGCACGGCCTTGACCACCGACATCTCGGCCTACACCGTTTCTTCCCTTCATAATTGGCGTAAATGTTGGACCCCAGGCTCAGCCAGCACAGAGACGCGCCAGCTAGGACTCCACCTGAACGTACGTGATGGTGGCCGTCCCGTGGCTCTTCACCTTGATCAGCTTCTGTACCCTGAGCGTTGGCCCCCTCAATGGGCGCTGCGAAGCGATGGTGGGATGCACGGACTTGATGGCATCCCTCGATGCGATGGTCATCCACCTTCCGCCACTTGGTGGCCCCGATGAGATGCTGCGTGCGGAGCAATGGGTCGCCCAAGAACCCAGACCTGGAGATCATGTCGACAAATGTGGCGGCGCTCATGGTTCGATCCGTCTGGGCCCGTTCGAAGACGGTTTCCTCACAGTCTCGCGCCTCTGCCAGGTGGGTCGGTCCGCCATACTCAGGGGCTCATCCTCCATCCGTATTCACCTTCGAATGTAATCTTTGCCGATGCCATCAGGAACCATACATCAAGAGCCTCGGGGGGGGGGGGGGGGAACTGATGTCGCTGTAGATACGGGCGTCAGATGTGACTGACTAACGCGATTCTCGATAGTTAACTAAAGCTAACTACCGACTACTTGCACATCAATCTACTCAATATCCTTTCTCATAAAGACCGTTCTGTTATCCTGACAACCATACCCCGGAGGCGGCGGATAGTAGTTCGCCACGACTTTGATCAGACGGTAGCCACGCCGTGCATACCATTCCTCGTTCGTCACCTGTCCAAGATCTATCAGCAGCAGATCGCGAGGATTCATCGTGAGCCTGCTTACACCGCCTGGCTCCTGTCCACCAGAAAGGAACTTTTCTTGTTCGATTTGGGTGTTTTTCTGCCTGGTGTCCAAGGCCAGAGTGGTTGCACACAACGGCTCGTCCACGGCCATGGACTCCACTAGATCCATGGCAGCTCTTCCGACTCCCTGACCCTGCAATGCGCGGGACACATAGAATGTCTTGATCCAGTAGACGCCTTCGTCGGGCAAGTCGAGGTCAATGTCTTGGACATCCGAGTTAACGGAGTCGAGCGAAATGTGTCCGATCGGGTGGAATGAATCCCGAGAAGGGGTTCGCAGGACGCCCCTGATTGAGCTGCTGGTGTCGTGCAATACAACCTGCTCCTGTAACAGATTCGGTTAATGAATTACCAGCAGCCTGACCGTTTGCACACGAACATCTTTATACATCGAAAAGTGCAGTTCAAGCTTTTCACGAATTTCCCGATCCTTCGCCGACAACACCTGAGTGGAGCGTGAGCCTGGCGTTTGACACGGTCGTGGGCAAGGACGTACAATCCAGTAGATGCATTTGGTTCCGGACCGCTGTTGATCCCGCCATTTTGGTTCCACCAACTCTGAATCCCATCCGCAGTGCTGTCGCTGAATGATCAGTGTCTGGACATGACTTGGCGATTCGGAATCCCATGGGATCAGCTCCACAGAAGACTTCGACGACATCAGGACGCACCGGGCTGTGCGATCACTTCTTCGTACAGTTGATGACGAAGATCAAGCGTTGGATACATAACTACTTCCTGGGGCAATGAGTCACCCCTATGGAGCCCTTGATAGCGGCCGAGGCACATCCAACCCGCGGCCTAGCCCCGATCCGGCAGGTGTAGCCTCTAGGGATTGTCTCCGCCCCTATCTAACATGTATAGTATATCAATTCGGCTTGCTCCCTATCTCATACATGCGACCATAGGGTGTGGAGAACAGGGCTTCCCGTCCGCTCAGCCGTACTTAAGCCACACGCCGGGAGGTTAGTAGTTGGGTGGGTGACCACCAGCGAATCCCTCACTGCTGCATGTTTTTTTTTTCCGTGGTTTATCTTTCCTTTTTCTTGGCAGGAGAGATGGTCGGGGGTGGTGGGAGAGGGAGGGTAGTAGACCCATTTCCGCTATCGCGACCAGCAGGAAATCCACCTGGCTGTTGATATCCCCACGAACATCCAACCCGGATCAAAATAGCCGCCGAGATACATATTCTGCTCTTTCATTCGATAGATACGTCACTGGTCGAGTGCCCGATCTAATTGACAGAAGATTCTTTTTGGGGAATCTATCAAGTATGTTGTTCGAAAGCGGTCAAATCGGATGTACAGTCTGGACTACGGTGCGTGGATCGGCGGCGATGCAAGTTCTTTCTGCTTTCCAACAGAACAGAGGCTCTGTGTCACGCATGAGGGAAGCAGAGGACGCCTTCCCTGACTCTGCTGCGTCTTCCTTCCCCAGTCTTGAAGGCGGTCTTTGGATGCTCAAAGCTTATCTGTGGCAATGTGAATGTGCACCTCCCACTGGACGTGATGGTGGAACCCAGGATTGAGGGATCGTTAGTGAACCACCCAGGTTCGATCTGGGGGGGAATGGGCCCCAGTTCACTGGGCCGATCGCGGCGATGGGAGGGATTTGGCATGTGGCGAACTGACGAAGCTAGGTGTAGATGGCCGTCCCTGTTCAGTGTTGGCCATGGATTACAGAGGCGGGCCGGGACGTCCTCATGGATATTCAGAACAAAAGGGGCATGTCTCTGATGCCCCTTGCTGCCCGCTGCCAATGCCGTGACACGGGACAAATTCGCCACCCAAGGACTTGAGACGGGCAGAGTGGCATCCCTGGCTGGACTCAGTCCGACGGTTGCACAGTGTGTCACTGAGACTGTGACACTGCACCCAGCTTGGATGGATTGTCTGGGGTAATTCAGCTGTTCGCAGGTCTTGGCGCGAGTGACCAGGCAGCATGCAGACTGCCTGACGGCCCCGATGCCGCAGCTGCTGGTCTCTCTCTCGGACGGCCTCTGCTCTATCGGGCTATCTGATTACCTATCGCTTTGGCTTTTCTGTGTCATCCGTCTGGACTCGGACCTTCTGCCAATAAGTGCGACGTATATTGGCTTTGGATGAAAATTTCGCCGGGCCCACCCTCCACCTGTTTCTCTTATCTAAGCTTAACCGGATTAAGCCCAAGACCCGTGGATCGAGGTGGATTGAGGATCCTACACCGTTATCAACCCTCGAGTTTTGCTCTTCGGAGCGAGATCCGAGCATCCGCACAGTTCAGGGCCAGTCACCCTGCACAACCCCGGCCGGGTTGGTGCTGGTGGTGCAGGCTGCCAGCTGCACTGTCAGCTTGATTGACACCAGGAATGCCAAGAGTCCCGCGGATGGCAAGCGGTTGAATCAAGAGGCGCACGCAGGCAGGAAGGGCGCATCACGCTGACAAAACTCGCGATAACGCCATCCGAACTCGAATCCCCGAGACCTCTTGCCCTAAGGCCGCGTTGAAGAGGGCCCCCCGTCCCCTCCCCCTCCACTCACGACAGGCATTCCGAGCAATCGGACTCACCGGACGCCCTCCGCGCGCCTTGGCATTCGCTGGGGCGCGATTGCGCCATTCTTCCCCTTGCTGATGCTGTCGCACACTCGTGCCTCTATATAACTTGCCCCCCTCGAGGGCCCCTCCTTCCCCAACCCATCCTTTCTAGCCGCCGTCTATCCTTCCAGGCCAAGCCTCTAGCTTTCCCCCGTTCCAGATCGCCCGCCCGCCAGGCACCTCAACATGGGCCTGTCCTCGATCTTGCGACGCAAACGCGACCCTGCGGGTGCCGATGCCGGCGATGACTCCTCCTCCGCCGCCACCACCACCGGCTACACCGAGGAGGTCGTCTCCCAGCCCGTCCCCAAGGCGGCCTCCGTGACCGAGAAGAACCTGGATGACCTGGAGAGCACCGAGAAGGTTCCCGAGGCGACGCTGCTGGAGGAGGAGGACCCGGAGATCGCGGCGCTGCCCATCGAGGTGCGCCAGCTGGCCAGTCTCACCGACGACCCGACCCTGTTGACCATCACCTTCCGCTACTATGTCCTGTGCATCATCTTCGTTATTCCCGGCGCCTTCCTGTCCATGATGAGCCACTTCCGTACCACCGAGGCCCCCTACTCCATCTTCTTCGTGCAAATCGCCTGCCACTACGCCGGCCACTTCCTGGCCCGCGTGCTGCCCGCCTGGGAGGTCCGCCTGCCCTTCACGCGCTGGTCCTTCAACCTCAACCCGGGCCCCTGGAGCATCAAGGAGCATGTTCTGGTCACCCTGACTGCCGCGTCGGGCGCCACCTACAACCTGGGCTACACCCCGATCGCCATGGCCGAGCTCTACTACGGCGAGCGCGTCAACCCGGCCGTGGCCATCTTCTTCATGTTCGCCATCGTGTGGATCGGATATGCCTTCGCCGCCCTCGCGCGCCAGGTGCTGCTGTACGACCCCATGTTCATCTGGCCGCAGGCCCTCATGCAGACCACCCTGTTCGAGACCTTCCGCAAGCAGGACGTCTCCTCGCCGCTCGCGCGTCGCCAGATGAAGGTCTTCTTCTTCTGCCTCATCGGCATGACGCTGTGGCAGTTCATGCCCGAGTACGTCTTCCCCTTCACCTCCTCCCTGGCCTTCCTGTGCTGGGTCGCGCCGCACAACGCGGTGGCCAACTTCATCGGCTCCGGCATCGGCGGCATGGGCTTCCTCAATCTGTCGCTCGACTGGTCCAACATCAACTGGAACGGCTCCTCCATCCTCCTGACCCCGTGGTGGACGCAGGTCGTCCTGTTCCTGGCCTTCGTCTTCAACTGTTGGGTGCTGATCCCCGCCGCCAAATGGGGCAACCTGGGCTCCTACAAGTTCGGCCTCATGTCCAACTCGCTGCTGACGGTCAACGGCACCACCTACCCGACGACCGACGTCCTCACCTCCGACTACAAGCTGAACCAGACCGCCTACGAGGAGTACGGCCCCATGTACATGGGCCTGCAGAACGTCTGGGCGACCTTCTTCGACTATGCCAAGGTGACCGCGGCCGTGACCTGGATCCTGACCTTCGGGTTCACCCAGATCCGCACCAACTTCACGAAGCTCGTCCGGTCCCGGCGCAAGGGCGCGCAGACCTCGCAGACGGCCGGGCAGAGCATCAACCACCAGTACCACGATCGCCTCAATGTGATCCAGCGCACCTACAAGGAGATCCCGCTGTGGTGGTTCGTGGCCCTGTTCATGGCCGGCTTCATCGCGCTGGTGGTGATCATCGCCTGCGGCTACCTGTGGATCCCCATCTGGACGCTGTTCGTGGCGCTGGCCAGTTCGGCCGCCCTGGTGGTGCCCTTCGGCTTCCTGTACGCCATCTCCAACTACCAGCTGGCCGTCGGCTCCTTCAACGAGCTGGTGTACGGCTACATGATCGAGACCCCCGCCGGCAACGGCCACCACCACCCCTGCGGCCCGTCGGTGTACGGGTCCATCGCCGGCGACGCCTGGTACCGCGCGCAGTACATGCTGCAGGACCAGAAGATCGGCCACTACATGCACATCCCGCCGCGCACCGTCTTCTTCTCGCAGGTGTTCGGCACCATCCTGGGCATCCCGGTCAACTATGCCGTCATCCGCTGGGTGCTCAGCACCAAGGGCGACTACCTGTCGGGCAAGAAGACCGACCCCCTCGGGCAGTGGTCCGGGCAGTCGATCAAGTCGTCCAACACGCTGGGCGTGCAGTACGCGGTGCTGGGCCCCAGCCGGCTGTTCAAGGAGGCGGAGATGAAGCCGCTGCCCTGGGCGTTCCTGGTGGGCGCCGTGCTGCCGCCGATGCTGTACGTGGCGCACCGCACGCTGCCGCGCTGGCTGCGCATCGACCTGTGGAACGTCACCATCTTCTTCTCGGGACTGTCGGTCTTCTACGGTAACCTGAGCACGGGCTACACCTCGGCCTTCATCGGCGGCTATGTCGTCATGTACTGGGCCTACCGCTACCGCTTCGAGGTCTGGAAACGCTACAGCTACATGGTCGCGGCGGCCTTCGACGCGGGCTTCAACCTGAACATGCTGCTGATTTTCCTGTGCTTTGGGTCCGGCAAGGCCATCTCGATGCCCAATTGGTGGGGGAACAACGCCGACTCGGTGGAGCGGTGCTTTTCCCTGGACTAGACACCCCCTGCTGATGATGATACCCATCCCGGGCGGCATCGATCGATCGATCGCTCCCAGCGTGTAATACCGACTAATCTGCGGCCCTGTTCCTGTACATTATGAGCCGTCGCACGGGCGTCGACGCGTCTCCGCGGCGACGGACCGGGTCTGGCCAGAGCCATCCCTCGCGGGCGCGCGTCGAGACTTCTGCCGTTCCATCTCCCCGGGTCTTTTATGAGAGACGAAATGCATTAATGACATCCACTTCTTCAACCCGGTTCCATCTAGTCGCGTAGCGAGACGTAGCCCGGGCGATCGGCAGAGAAGCTCGCTCAAGATGCCTGCTCTGGGAGGGGGTGGCGGATGGTGCTGTCATGGCACGGCCAGCGCCACGGGTCGCCCGCTGCACAGGCCACGGGGTCCGATCGTGCTCCCTCTGTTGACCAGGTGTGTTCCTTTTCCGGGGCCCTTGGATTGGCCCGACCGACGGGGATCTGGAGAAACTCTGGATCGATGATGGAGTGACCCAAACGTCTCTGCGCGCCCTCCAGCCGTCCAGCCACCCGACGGGAGGTCGACGGCGATCCCCAACTCTACTTAAATGGCGCCGCGGTCGGGCTCGTCCGTGCTCCTGCCCGGGGGTCGGTCGTTTTCATGAAAGGCCATCATGCTTGTGTTGTTTCTGTTGTCGTGGTGGTCGGCCCCCTCAGCATGGAGTTGGCCTCAGCTGCTGGCAGCCCTGACGCGGCCTACAACCTCGCCCATCCGTGGTTGCGCACGACCAACTGGGTGCTCGTGGCCGTGGGCATGAGCGTCTGTACGGGCCTGCTTGCGATGCGCATCTACACGAAGGTGCGGATTATGCGACGGTTCTGGTGGGATGATAGTACGCGGCCGGATCCTGCGCGAGACTCTGGGGGCTCCTCACTAACGCACAGCTTAGTCTGTTTGATTCTCGCATGGGTAACGGTGGCACCGATCGCTCTGAGCCTCTCCGGCGCTCACTCACGTCTTTCGAACCCTAGGCCTTTTCTCTTGCGACGCAGTTCGTGATTCTGTGTATGCCGTTCCCTCGAGGTCGTCTCCCGGACACCGCCAGCCCTAACTGACTGCCTCGCATCCTGCAGATGCCTACACCCACGCCGGTTTTGGGGTCCATATATGGAACCTCACCCCCGTAGTCTTTCAAAGATACCAGAAGGTACCTAGGTGTTCCGTCTTTTGCGTCCAAAAGAAACGCTAAGAGCAGATGGCAGTGTATCCTCTCCGCCGGCGTCATCTACGTGCTCGCCCTGGCCATGGCCAAACTGGCCCTGCTCATGTTCTACTACCGGCTGCTGAACATGATGCCCGTATGGAAACACATCATCTACCTGGTGGCCGCCATCATCGTGGGTTACAGCATCGCCCTCACCCTGGCGCTGATCTTCGCGTGCCAGCCCCTGGCGAAGAACTGGAACGTGCTGATCCCGGGCCACTGCGTCAACCGCGTGGGCCTGTATCTGGCCACCGCCGTCACCAACACGGCCAGCGACGTGATCCTCATCCTCATCCCCATCCCGTTGGTCTCGGGGCTGCGACTCCCGCTGGTGCAGAAACTGGGGATGGCGTGTATGTTCGGGATAGGTTGCCTGTAGGTTTTGTTGCGCTTATTCTGTGCCTCCATCGACCAGCGCGGCTGGGCTCACCGCGTCCACAGCACGATCATCACCAGCATCCTCCGTCTGGCGACGCTGGAACCCCTGGTCTCCTCCCCGGATCAGAGCTATAAGCTGGGTCTGGAGGTCCTTTTCGTGTGAGTTCCCCTCGGAGACACGGCTGGCTGTACCCCCGGCGTTCCGGCTGACCGGACCCAGCGTCATCGAGGCCAACTTCATCATCATCTGCGGCAGCCTGCCCTACCTGCGGCAGTTTTTCCGCTTCCACGGCCCGCGATGGCTGGGGGAATCGCGCGGCAGCACCAGCAGCGCCTCGCACCGGACGGGCTCGTCGCGGGAGCCCCGGCCCCCCTACAAGCGGCGCAAGTCGGGGCTCAGCCAGCTGCAGGACGACATCGAGCGGGCGCTCAGCCGGCCCGAGGAGGCCCACTGCCCGGGTCGGGGGGTCCGCGATCCCACGGGAGTGAGGGCCGGCATCAGCTGATGGCGGAGCCGAAGGAGAATGCGAGTTCGTCCTCGTCATCGTGATGAATGGGTGGTTCCATCTGGTTGTGGGGCTCTAGAGCGTCCGTCCCACGGTCTACAGCAAGATTGTATCTAGATGCCAGGAGTTTCTGTTTGCATTGTATTCCCTGTGGATGAGAGATTGTCCTTCCTAGTCCCCAGTTCTCAACACCGCCCGTTACAATCCATCTCACGACGAGCAGACGGGAGACGTGGTCGGCTTGATGACGGCGTTGGTCGGGTTGGTCTGCGAGCAGCCGTCGACGAGGCCGAAAAGGTAGTCCTCCTCGGCCGCCTTGAACGCGGCGCCGCAGTTGGGATCGCTGTTCGAGCATCAGTCGCGTCGAATAGGTCGGCCATGGGGGCAGGCACACTCACCTGGCGCCCCCGCTGGCGTCGTTGAAGTAGGAGCACATGTCGTGGGAGAAGCAGTGCTGGGTGTAGACGTTGCCGAGGGCGAACCCGGTGCATCCGGTGCCACAGCGGCCGTTGCAGGAGTAGCTGTATATAATCTGTCTTAGCATGCATGGTCTCTGGACTTGGGATGAGACACGTACTCGCCCTCCCCGTCGCTGTTCTCGCCGTAGTTGCTGCCAACGACGCCGACGTAGGAACAGGACTCGCCGGCGCTGTTGGTCCAGGTGGCCGTGGCCGTGGCGCCGACCTGGAGACAGGTGATGCCGCGCTTGTCCAGGGTTAGGGCTGGGGTGCCGACGGTGACACCTGCGAGGAGCAGGAGGGAGAGGAGGAGGGGGGTGGGGTGCAGCATGATCGAGGGGGTGTGTGTGTGTGTGTTTCAGCTTCAGAAATGGGTCAGTTGTGGGGGAATCGCTGAAGAGATATAAGGGGATGCAAGGGTTGCACCGAAGGCAGGGCAGGGCAGGGCTGCTGGCACCATCCAGTCCCTGCAGGCCCTCGGGGGGGTTCTCGGCGATTCTGGATCCACTGGCGGGATTGCATCAGGCGGGTTAAAGATGACGACTGACGAATTTTTGGTTTACCCTAAAAGAAACAGCTTTGTGGGCTTGGAAGCATCCTCCAGAGTCTATACTTCGTCCTGACTCGATGAAAGAATCGGTGGTGGTATACGCTGGCGGCAACCTGCCGTTACTCGAGTACATATATACTAGTAGATGTATAGCGAGAGAGACACGGGATACATAAATCTGTATCGATGTATATCTCTATCTTCTGTCACTCTCGGACCAGACGATATGGAGAACTAAACTGATCTTCTCAGATTGTCTTCGAATCCCAGAGCAATGGAGAGACAAGAGAATCCTCCTGTCCTGTATCATCCTGTATCATCCTGTATCATCCTGCTTACTAACAGAGGGGCACTGTATGTCACCTGACCGGGCTGCTTACCTCAGCGTCTCTCTCCGCAGCGATCGTCTTTCCCCTCATCTTTCTCTCTCTCTCTCTCTCTCTCTCTCTTCCTCTTCATATCTCTCTCCCCCCCCTCCTGTCCTCTTCATCATCATCATCTTCTTCTTCTTCTTCTTCTTCTTCTTCTTCTTCCTCCTCTTCTTCTCTCTCTATCCTCAATCACCCCCTCCTAAGTACATCTCCCCCAGCACCCCCTCCCCCCCGTCTAACTGCCAATACTAACCACGCCGCATGCCCACAGCTTCAGACTCCTCCCCACCATGCCCCCCCCCCAGATCTGCGTCATCGGTTCCCTGAACATCGACTTCGTCACCTACACCCCCCGCTGCCCCGCCGCCGGCGAGACCCTCACCGCTGCCGCCCTCGCCATCAGCGCCGGTGGGAAGGGCGCCAACCAGGCCGTCGCCTGCGGGCGCGCCTCCTTCGCCGCCCCGGACTCCCAGGATGCCTCCGTCGCCATGATCGGGGCCGTCGGCGCCGACGATCCATACTACGCGGCGCTGCTCCGCCCCACGCTCGAGGGATCCGGCGTGAGCACCCGGGGCGTCCAGGAGAGGACCGACAGCCAGACCGGGTCCGCCACCATCATCGTCGAGGAGGCCGCCCGCGGGGAGAACCGCATCCTGGTCGTGCCGGGCGCCAACCACACCGGCATGGACCAGGTCGACGCCGTGCTCGCCCGCACGCAGGGCCTCCTCCACTCCCACCTGGAGGGTGTGGTGCTGCTGCAGGGCGAGATCCCGCGCGCCACCACCCTGCGGCTGATGAAGCACTTCAACGACCCGGCCTGCCGCGCCCACCTCGTCTTCAACCCCGCCCCCGTATTTCCCGAGGGCATCCCCCTGCCCGCCCTCGCGGGGACGAGCGTCCTGGCCATGAACGAGACCGAGGCCGTCCTCATGACCCACTCGGTCGCGGACCACCTCCGCCCCGGCCAGAACGCCGCCGAGCTCGACCCGGACGAGCTGGCGCCGCTCTTCCACCACCACGCCCAGGTGCACATCGTCCTGATCACCCTCGGGGCCAAGGGCGCCTACTTCTCCACCGCCACCGGCAAACGCGGCTTCGCCCCCAGCGCCGCAGTCGAGAAGGTCGTCGACACCACCGCCGCGGGGGACACCTTCGTCGGCTACTTTGCCACGGCCTTTGCTCGCTTCGTCGCGACGGGCGCCCCCCTGCCGGAATTCGACGCCCACATCGAATCGGCCGTCCGGAGGGCGAACCTCGCCGCGGCCGGCTGTGTGCAGCGGAAGGGGGCCATGCAGAGCATCCCCTTCGCCTACGAAATCTGAATGCCCGCATCCCTCTACTGCACGACCATGCACAGGGCTAGACTTCTGACTTCTTTCTTTACTCCCCCAGGCCGAGAGACCAGACACCTGAATGCCATGCTCTTATGCGAACCCGTCCGCGGTGCAAATCCAGGACGTCGTACACCCTCGCCTTAGACATCGTCTTTTTACGTATTTTCACCCCCAGCAGCACCTCTCAGCCCCGAGGGATTTAGTATTTCACAACCGGGAGCCGTTGGGGGACCGGCACGAGGAACCTCCACCACCTCTCCCAAGCATCTCGTCCGCCGGACAGAGCCACCGGGTTCTACGGATGTATAGGAAAAAAAATCATTCAGCACGGCAAGTGGATCATGGGTTTGCCCGTCGACATCGCGACGGGCCCACGTAAGGTATCACTGGTACGAAGAGGGTATATATTATAGATGTCACATGAGGTCAATGTAGGGATGGACCAACTCGGGTCGCTCATATCAAATCCGCCGTCATCATCAATCACCACGCGCCTCCCCCGTCCAATCCTGGGCGCTCTTGGTGATCTCGGTCGTCGTGTGGATGGGGGTCTCCTCGTCCGCACTCGCGTCATAGTCGATGTCGTCCGTCATGTACGCGTCGTCGTTCAGGTGCTTGAAGCGGAACCAGAAGAGGACGATCTGCAGGGCCAGGGCCACCGCGGGGGCCCCCCAGATCCAGATCAGGTACGGGTCCTCCGTCACCGGCACCAGGATCTCGCCCAACGCGCTGGACAGCGCCGTCATGAACAGGAAGATGGCCATCACCAGCCCGCGCATGCTGGCAGGGGACCGCGCGTAGGCCAGCTCGTACGCCGTCACGTTGCAGAAGATCTCCGACAGGGCGCCCAGCACGGTGTTGGGCAGCTGCCACCAGATGCTGATGGGCGCCACCTCGGCACACGTCGACGCGTAGTAGCCGCAGGGGGAGAGCGTGTACACCTTCCACTGCACGATGGCCCCCGCCAGGCCCGACAGGGCCGCCAGCGTGAATCCGAAGGTGATCTTGGTGATGCGCTTGAAGGGGATGTTGTACCGGTTGAGGAAGGGGTAGATGAAGTAGTCCACGATGGGCACGGCGACGATGATCGTCAGCGCGTTGAAGTTGCTCAGCAGATCGTTGGGGGCACCGTTGGTCACCATGGACGCGCCCTGGTTCGTCGACACGGACCCGATACCGCCGTCGTTGAGGTTGTAGATGGGGAAGTAGAAGAACACCTCCGTCGCCTCTGTGTCTCGCGCGTTAGCCGGGAATCCACCCTCTGCCGGGCATGGGGCCACCGGAACAGGATCACTCACCGAGGGTTCGGCGCACATCGTCCACCAGCTTGTCGGTCCAGTCGACCTGGATGCCCTTGGCCGCCAGCACACTCGGCTTGGCCGCGTCGAAGAAGTTCTTGCGCCAGACCTGGAACTTGTTCTGCCGCAGCGCCGTCATGGTGATCTTGATGGCCTTGGCCAGCTCGGAGTTGCCGCTGGCGGGCTTGCGGTAGGTCTTCTTGTACACGGCCGCCAGCACGATGGGGAGCAGGAAGTAGATGATGCCGGACAGCAGGAACACCAGCCAGTAGCCCACATACTTCTCGGCGTACGTGGTCGCCAGCATGTAGAAGGCCCCGACGTTCACCACGCCGTAGAAGATGAGCATCGTGCGCGTCGCCGTCAGCTCGGGGTCCACGATCACCTTCTCGCCCGACTTCAGGGTCTTGGTGTACTGCTTCTGGTGGCGATATTGGTCCAGCACCGTCGGGGCGATGTTGGGCTTGAAGATACCGGCGCCCAGGGCCAGCAGCAGCAGGCCGATGATGAAGGGCGGCGCCGCATGCGCCCGACCTTCTTGCAGCACCTTCGGGATGGCGCCAATGATCTGGACGATGTGGGCGATACCACAGATGGCGACACCCACACAGATGGCCTTGTACCGGCCGACGGAGACATCCGCCCACCTGAAGGGGGTGTCAGTGAGTGCTGATGGGTCACGCCCGGTGCCGGGGAGGGACAGTTTCTTACCAGCCGCCAAAGATCGGAATGATATAGGCCAAGAACGTGAACAGCAGGACCAGGGCGTCACTGGCCTGGAGACCCATGCCCAGGGCTCCCGCCGTCTCCTGGGATCCTCGCGGCGGTGCACCCGCACCATTGCCACCTGCGCACCACGCTGTCAGTCCTGGGCTACTTCTCCTCGCCGGGGATGCGGGGCAGAGCCCTACCTTTGGGCAGCGGGAACTCGATGAAGTTGGCGAAGACGGTCTGGGCCCCGTAGTACGAGGCGCGCTCGGCGAATTCGACGAGACACAGCGAGTAGGCGACGATGGGGAGGTTGGCGGGGACTTTGCGCAGGATGCTGACTTCCTGCTCCGTGGGCACCGGGTACTCGTCGTCATCGACCGTTTGGGCGTCCACCTCGTAGTCGTGCTTCTCGGGGTCCGTCCCGGTCGAGACGTGGGCGACCTCCTCGGTCACCTCCCCCGGTACGATGGCATCGGCGATGTGCGTTTCGTGGGTCGTGGCAGCTAGAGGCGGGGGGAGGGGGCTCGATCAGTGATCTGCAGGGGTGAGGGGCGAGGACAGCCAGCGAGGGAGACCTACACATCGGGGGCAAGCTTTGATGTGCCTGTTCGTGGTGCTGAGGGTGAACGAAACCTGTCGATCCAGGAGCTGACCCGGACGGTGGACGTGGCGGGGGATTCTTTATAGACCAGACCGTCTCTTCCCCCAGGCCCCCGCGGCCATCCATCTGGACGGAAGCCCGGCGGCGATAAATGCAGTGGCCAAACAAGGCACCAGCCAGAGACGGCCATGGCGAGGAATGTAACGCTGAGGGGCTGTTGTTATCTTCCAGGCCACATGGGTTGCACCGCAGGCCAGCTTGGCCACTAGCCGGGGGCTAGAGAGGTTAGCCGATGTTTATCAGCGCCGGTCGTCCCACCAGCTGGGATCTGATTCGAATTGCCAATGGCCGGCGATGATAAGAATGTGGGCGACACTTGCGCCATCCGCCGTGGCCACTCATACGCGCCGTCGATATTAAAATCTCCCCACGGCGGCGGCGGAAGGTATGGGGTCAAGATAATCAGAAATGATGCCATTCGTGTTCCTCGGTCGTGGAGCACAGGACCTGAGGACCGGCCGTTGCCCCCCAGCTTGGCATGTCTGGTTTGGCCTGCATTCTGCCTGCATTCTGCCTGCAACCTGTTCGCATCCCGGTCGACTCGCTATCGACTGTGTCAGTCCGATGACCTTATCGCATCCGACCGTTCGACGGGGCGATGGTCACGGCGCAGGCCATCCATCCATCCATCCATCAATCTCGTCGATCGCCTGATGGGTCTGTCTTTTATCCTGTTTACCTGCGTCCGATCGTCGGGTAGATACGTTACTGTCTTCTCCCCTACTGCTACAGAGCACAGAGAACTCCTCGAGAGGCACGCCCTGCAGTCAGACGCCACGAACTGGAAGGACCCGGTTGTTCAAAAGGGGGCTCTGAGGACAGTGTGGTTCCTGCATTTCGGGGCTGCGCAGGGCTGGAGGAATCCTGTGTAAGCTTCCCCAATGCGGACTCAAGCGCACAGGCGAACCCATGGCGGTGGTACCGGTCACTATCCAATATCCATCCATGCATCGAGATAGCGGCGGCGGGCAAAGAACCATCTCGCGCGGCGCAGGTGCAATTTGCCGCAGGATCTATCTCCCTCCAATGGTCGACTCGACCACGAATCAGCAGGATGGGCGATAACCTCAGCCTGAACGATAATGGCGGAGCGGAGAGTAATCTCCCGGACAAAGCTTTTGCCCCGACGGTCAGCGATGGATGGGCCAGTGAGGAGGAGGTGACCATCCTGGCCAACCTGTCCATCGGCTGAGACCGCTGCCAAGTGTTGCCTGGAAGCTTAGCGCTGCGCTGACACTGCGGGCGTCGTCTTATCTCGAAGCCAATTCCCGACCTGCCCTCCTGCTGGCCCGGTGATTTGTCGCCCTTGAGTCTCAGATGCTCCACCGATGGGGCAATTTCCCCCATGGAAAATTCCGCGCTGGGTCAGCCGTGCCTTGGCCATAATGCTTGGCACGAGGCCTTATCAGACACATGGATGATGGCCGGCACTGGCAGCGTTGCCACCGCTGGGAAGCGAGAGGGCTGCCGGGGGAGCCCTGATAGGCAGAGGATCCCAGGACGAACCCCCTCGGATGGGCGGGGACTCGATCCCATGGGCTGCATCGTGCTGATCCGTGTATGCGACCGTGGTATGTCCATCACGCAATGGAATCACTGCCCGACCAGGATGCATGCTGGGCCGTGCAGGGACCCCCAGACGCCTACGGTAGGTGCTCCCCCAGTTCCCAGGGCCCGATGGCGTGCTGAAGCATTGAAGCACGCGCGGGAAACATCTCCCGTGGATCAACTTTCTTTTATTCTAGCGCAGCCCTCGTGCTCGGCTGACCCAAGTCACGACATCGCCCTTGCACACTCATATAGTAACTACATGGGTTTCTCGCCACTGCTAGTGGTCTGCGAGGAATCCTCCCGACGCCCGTCTGGAGGTTGACTTTAGGTCGAGCAACCGCGCCCGTTGCATGGAACACGCCACCCGATCGGAACCGTTCTGTTCCTTCAACTGTCCAGGCCCGGGCAGTCCTCGCTCGTGATATCGGTGATGTTGGTGTACGGCGAAGGATCGGTCCAAATCAGATCAAACCTATCGCCCTCCGGTTAGCGCATCGGATGCCGTCGGGGTCGCCCTTCGTCTGATCCATCGAGGGAAAGGGCCAGGAGAGAAAGGGGGTGGAGAGGGGGGAGACGGGGGAAGGCTCACCGGTCACTCGGGTAGGTGGGCGGGTTGTCATCTCCCAGCTTCTTGACAATCTTCTTCAGCTCCCCGTGCTCCCAGCAGATCAGGATATTGTCGCTGCCCGTGTAGTCGTCCACGAGTTTCTTGACACACTTCGTGTCCTTCTTGGTGCAGGAGGTGTCGATGGTGAGGCCCAGCTCCTCTGCGAGGGGGTAGACCGTCTCATACGGTCGGTCCCGGCTGCCATCTGCTCGCGTGGCGGTCAATGGCCTCGCTCGGATGGTCCAGGGGAGGCCAACGGCGATGGCACCGGGGGCACCTACCTGACTCGGGCTGCTCTGCGATGATGTATCCGATGTCATAGCTGGAATCGGGGCCGAAGACATGGGTCAGGCACTGGGCGCGCTCGAACCCTTCGGCACTGAGACCGTCACTGCCGTTGCTGGGCTTCTCGCCGTGGCGGATCAGGTAGACAGTCGCGTCGGCGGACACGAGGCCCGCGGTGGTCAGGAGGGTGACGGCGATGGAGAGCTTGGGATACATTCTGGCGGGCTCAACCGGTCTGGATGGTCCGTGGACAGACTCCCGGCGGCGCCAGCCTTCCTTTTATACAAATGATCCCCCGCCAGTCTGTGCAACCCGACGCCATGCCCCTGACGGAGGACGGCTGTCCCGCTGCAGGAGGCACCGTGGCACGGCTGGCATCACAGATGTTGATTGGCGTGGTGGGCTGGGCAGCCCTGCACGTGGGGGCAAGCCGGGCCGGCAATGGGCAGCGATCGTGACGGATGGGCCTCGAAGGGCCGGGCGATCCTGTCGGGAGGCGTGCCAGATCAGGCCGAATAATACGCTGGAGGCAATGCCATTGGCCTGCATCCCCTCCAGACGAGTTCCTTGGTGCGATCGCCGGCCATTCAGAGGGCCTGTGGCGGCCGCGTGAAGAAATCGGCCGCTGTGCGTGGGTGAGCGCCTGTCTTCAGGCCAGAAGGGGGTGGTCTGCGGTGGTGCAATCGGGGGCCATAAGTAACCATGGGCACATCCTCCTGCATCTCATGCCTGAAAAGGATGACCCCCCTCATCCCCGTCCCGCATAGCCCTGAAATTCCTTTCTTCATGGCTCGTGGACATCGGGGGTTGCGCAGATGGACCTTGGGTCGTGATCATGACGGCCTTCCAAGGGCCCCAGATCCAATTCGGATCTCGCAACATCGCCACGGTCGGAAGGACTCGTAAGTAGTGGCTGCCCCTCTTGCATCGATGTCAAGGTTAAGCAGTCAACAGCATCCCATGGTGGATTAGTCCGAGGGAGGGTTTCTCCTCGCGGTAACGACGCCTCCGAAACAACCCAACATGGCCATGAACGCCATGCGAGAATGATCCTGGCAAGGCTTCGTATTCAAGTACGACTTCGATTCGAAGGATCCCTAGGCCAGTGGCGATTGATAGAGACACCCCCTCGCCCTATTGAGCATCGCAATCCGTCTACCTGGTGTTTTTCCGACTGGAATTCCCGGCATCGATACGGAATACCGTGGACCGATGATGTCTCGTCGCGATGTCCCGGGATGGATCCTTTCCCGAGGACATGACGGTTAGATCGTCCGGGTCAGGGGCTACTGACTGAAGGAAGACCGATTGTGACGCTCAAATAATCACCGATCAGGGGCCTCCCGTTAGACACAGATGATATCATCGCCTCGGCAACCCGGCATGCGCTGTCACTGATTCATGGAACTTGTCCGGTGCGCAGGGCTAGTGTCACAAATCACAATAACAACGGCCATCGGGCAGAACACAGCCCCGAGGTGGGTCACTCGCGGGCCAACCACACGATCGCTGCTCCCTGGATGGGACCAAAGCGTCTTAGTCTCGAGGGTTAGTGTCTCCGGTGCTCAGCCTTGCAACCGGAGCACTGTTCAGCGCTCTATCCCCTATTTAACCCGAGCCCACCCCTCCCATCCCTCCAGAGCCTCACCACTCGGTGCACCTGGACCATGACCACCGACAAGATGACCACCATCCACTACGAAAAGCTGATTGACGCGTCGCCCGTCCAGGCCCAGCCGGGCATCCTGAACCCGCTGCGCTTCCTGCTGGCCGCTCGCCGGGGGATCGAAACCGACCCGAGCCTGCCACCCAACAACCTCCCCCTGGACTCGGGCTTGGGCTTCCGAGGGGAGTCGGGGCTCCAGGTCCCCAGCCGGCGCTGCGCTCAACTCGTTTGCGATCTCGGCCGTTCGGAATGGTATGTCAAGTAAGTCTCCCGAGCCACCTGGACGGCCCGGACTCCACGCGTGTCTGACGATCACTCGGGCAGAATATTCATGGCCGGCCTCATCGGCATGCTGGGCTCCCCCGTCACCGCCATTGCGATGTTGGGATTGACCTTCGCGGGCGTGCGGTGGCCGTCCCCCATCATCAACAATCTCGAGGGCGTCTTCCTGCTGAGCGGGGTCATCATCGCCGTGGCGGTGCTGGTCTTCTTGTGCGTGGCGGGTGTCGTCGCGAAGCGCCACGACGCCGCGGCCATCGCGCCCGAGTTCGACCCGGAGTCCTATCAGTCCCGGCTGGTGGCCGCGATGCGCCAGGCCGGACTGCAATACGCGGAGCTGGTGACGGCCGAACAGCAGGACACGGACAAGGGTCGCAGCCAGCACGGGGGCCTCCGGGAGAAGTTCACCATCCACGGGCTGGTGGATCCGGTGGACAGCCAGTTCGTGCACGACGTGACGGTGCGGTTCTTCGCCAAGGGCCAGGTGTGGATCCAGTTTGGATCGGAGTCGTACGCGCAGCCGGCCACGCTCATCTCGCGGGGACACACGCAGCCGGTCCTGATTGTGCCGCAGGGTGAGAAGAAGTAGCCGGTATGGCCGAGTGGGCAGACATGCCCCTAATACACATTTGAATCTCGAGGGGAAGGGGTGGGGGTCGACGGCCCGATCCATGATCCCCATCGAACGGCCCTTCTCCGATACCGAGCCTCCTTCCCTGTCTACTGGGTTGAAAATGAACCGAGCGCTAGACGGCTCGATCATGTGCCTCCACGGAGCACAGCACGGGCAGCAGTGGCAAAACGGCTCCTAGAATGCACAGTTCCAGTGCAAACACTCAAACCGGCATGCCAGGCGGGTTTTGAGAGATCATAGATACATTGAGCACAGTTGCTATCCCCACAATGCATCTCGCGTGGCTTGCCACGTTTCTGCCTTCTGCATCCTCCCATGCCACGGTTCGGCTCTGGACCGCGTGGAGTTGCCACGTTGGAGTTTAGATAGATTGTAAGCCTGGCCGGCCATGGGGACTAGCAGGCGATCCAGGAACAAAAGTATTGTCCGTAGAGATCCGCCGGTCTCCTCGATTATGATCCCATACCCATCCACCACGCCCTTGACCATCGACCTGACTTTCTTGTGCGGTTTCCACCCCCTTTCAAGTTTGCTGCGATCTCTTTGGACGGGAGCGGTTCCCGTTGAAGCTCGCGGTGGCACGGACAAACAAGATATATATATATATATATATATATATCCCGCGGGATCACTCAGGCTTGCGTGATCGTGCCGGAGGACTGCCTGAACTCCCAGGCAGCAACCGGAGGGCGGCGGAAGGGACATCCGAGGGGGGGGTAACCCGATGGGGACTAGCCGGCCATGGATGCCTCAGGGCTCAGGGCTTGTCGGACGGTATCTAACTAGAGGTTGGCTCGTGTGCGAGGATTGGGGTTGTGGCTTGCGGTGGGTCCCACGGACAAATAGTAGCGCGGGTGACTCCAACAACAACAACAACAACTGGCCTATCTACTCTCTGGCTCTCTGATCGGCCGACGTGGCCAGCAGGGCGATCGCAGGCTGATCAGTCGATAGCGAAACAGTCAGTTATCTCTCGGCGGATGAACTGAGGACTGTGGTATACGATAAGTGTGGGGCGAGAGCGTGTCTCCAAAGACTCCAACCCCGAAGAAGCAGAGGAATAATGGGAATTGGTCATCGCGGGCCGATAGTTAACTTAAGTAAAAAAGGCCTTCTCTTCTAGAAGGACGGGGCGGGGCGGGCGAGGGAGAACCTTCTTCCGCGTTTCATTCGGGCGGTTGCCCTCAGCACGGGGGGGTGCCCTGCCCGGTTCGACCACCGGAATAATCACGACCCGACAAAGAGAGATGAAAAGAAAGAGGAAATCAAAAAATGAAATGGAAAAGAAAAAGAAAAAGAAAAAAAAAAAAAAAAAAGAAAAGGCATCATACGGCTCATATATAAAAATGATGCATCGTCCTTCCTAGGACATCATCCCGATCCCCCTCAGGGACCGCCGCGGTGCCCCAAGGCTAAAGGCTAAAAAAAAAAAAAAAGGCAATCGGCAGGCTACTGCATCCTGCGAGTCTGGGGAAGCCACCCAAGCAGGGCCGAAAGCAGGCAGGCGTGCGGTGCAACGTCCGGTGGCGCTAGGCCGCATACGGACGCATCCACGGCCGGGCCAGGGACGGGGGGGGCGTTGATTGGCCGCCAGCCCCGGGTGGCGCTTGCTTGATCTCCACCGGGGGGGACCGGGGGGGGCGATAACCTTTGGCGGGTGGCCCAATACGGCCGGGTGAAGCAAACGATGAGCAAACCGCCACTCATTCCCATTACCAATTTTTTTTCTTTCGCCCTCTCCATTGCCTGATGAACGCCCAGTCCGAGTCCGCGTTTATCAGCAGTCGCACGACTGGCCAATATTCTTTCTCTTCCCCTCTCCCCCTCTGTTTCTCCCCAATCCCGGCTTCCCCCGAGCTTCTGTGGCCTTCTGTTCCGCTGTCTCCTTCATAACCCCTCTCTCTTCCCTCTTCCCTTCTTTCTTTCTTTCTTTCTGCTCCTCTTCTTCTCCTCTCGACAGCCTCACTCGACTTCCTTGCCATCCTCCTCCAACTCCTTCCCTCCCCCCTCAAGGCATCTGGTGCGACAGTCTCTCCCCGGCACTGCACACCTCTGCCCTAACCCCCCCTACTCTTCCCCTACCCGCTTTCATCCCCCCCATTTCATCCCACTCAACAACTCAACATGCGTTACAACGATGAGATCGCCGGGGAACCCCTCAGCCAGGACACCAAGGCCCACCCCATCCGTGACCATGGCGAGAAGGCCGAGATGTTCGCCCCCGGCGCCCCGGCATCCCCTTCGACGACGGCGACCTGGCCGACAAGATGAGCGACTCCGAGCGCAACATCTACGAGGCCGGCATCGAGAAGTACAACCGCCTGGGCTGGAAGCGCCTGACCGTGGTGCTGATCGTCGAGGCCATCGCCCTGGGCAGTCTGTCCATCCCCTCCAGCTTCGCCACCCTGGGCATGGTGGCCGGCGTCATCACCACCGTCGGCCTGGGCCTGGTGGCCATCTACACCAGCTACGTCGTCGGCCAGGTCAAGCTGAAGTTCCCCGAGGTCGCCCACTACCCCGAGGCCGGCCGCCTGATGTTCGGCCGCGCGGGCTACGAGATCATCTACGGCATGCTGGGCCTGCAGCTGCTGTTCCTGACCGGCTCGCACTGCCTGACCGGCACCATCGCCTTCGCCACCATCACCGACAGCAGCATCTGCTCCATCGTCTTCGCCGTCGTGTCCGCCATCCTGCTGCTCTTCCTCGCCGTGCCCCCCAGCTTCGCCGAGATGGCCATCCTGGGCTACGTCGACTTCGTCTCCATCATCGCCGCCATCCTGATCACCATCATCGCCACCGGCATCACCAGCGCCAGCGACGCCGGCGGCCTGTCCGCCGTCGACTGGTCCGCCTGGCCCAAGGAGGGCATCACCTTCACCGACGCCTTCATCGCCATCACCAACATCGTCTTCGCCTACAGCTTCGCCATGTGCCAGTTCTCCTTCATGGACGAGATGCACACCCCCGCCGACTACGTCAAGTCCATCTGGTCCCTGGGCCTGATCGAGATCGTCATCTACACCCTGACGGGCGCCATCATCTACGCCTTCGTCGGCCAGGACGTCCAGAGCCCCGCCCTGCTGTCGGCCGGCGGCACCGTCAGCCGCGTGGCGTTCGGCATCGCGCTGCCCGTCATCTTCATCAGCGGCTCCATCAACACGGTGGTGCTGGGCCGCATGGTCCACGGCCGCATCTTCAAGAACTCGCCCATCCGCTTCATCAACACCAAGATGGGCTGGATCACCTGGCTGGCCCTGATCACCGTCATCACCTTCGTGGCCTTCGTCATCGCCGAGGTCATCCCCTTCTTCTCCGACCTGCTGTCCATCTCCTCGTCGCTGTTCATCTCCGGCTTCACCTTCTACTTCCCCGCCCTGATGTGGTTCCTGCTGATCCGCGAGGGCAGCTGGACCTCCCCCAAGAACCTGGCCCTGGGGGCGCTGAACCTGCTGTGCCTGCTCATCGGCCTGATCACCTTGGGCGCCGGCACCTACGCCAGTGTGGATGATATCGTGAGTTTTCTTCTTCCTCCCCCCCCCCCCCCCCCCCCCCTCTCTCTTTCAGATCCCTCCTCTCCGTGCAAGGGCTAATCGGGTCTGCCAGATCATCAACTACCGCGACGGCACCGTCCGGGGCGTGTTCTCCTGCGCGGTCCCCTCCTAAGCCGGTTTGTCGATCCGATCGGCCTGGTCGCGTGCTCTGGGAGCCGTGGCTGTGGGTCGTCCGCGGGTCGCCTCCGCGGATGGCCGGATGCGGGTGCTGAGACCCCTTGCGTCATCACCCTCCCATCCCTCCTGCAAATACCCGCAAATACCCCCTGGCGTTATGTATATAGATATGTCCCAACGATCCTGTTGATGATGATTGATTGATTGTGAATATAATTCCGCACTGGCTTGTTGATCCGAGCGACTCGAGCGTGCTTTTCCGGCATCTACACTTTGTGCATTTTTTTGTTTTCCCTGCATATTGATATCAACATTTAGCATGTGTTGGATAGAATAGAATTCGAACCTTTTGTTATTACACTCCTCTCGATCGCATGACCCGATCCAATCCTGGGGGATCATCCTTCGATGGACAGCGTCGACTTGCCCGAGTGGCCACCGCCACGTCATGCTGCATTCACCCCCCTGTCACCTCCCCCCGTCTTTCAAACCCCGCTGGACTAATCATCATCATCATCATCATCATCATCATCATCATCATCATCATCATCGCATCCTGGTCAGTTTGCCCCCCGTGGATCGTGGGGGGCCTGATCGACCGACATCATCATCCTGACTGGGTCTCGGACTTGCCCGGTCGGCCTCGCTGAGGTCCGATCCACTGCCCACCGACATCAGATGGTTGCTGCAGTCATCCTGCCCGGCCAGCTGGATGCGTCTCCATCGGATCGTCACTCGCCAGAGCAAATACCCGGCTAGCCAGCGTGGCAACGAGCGGTGGCGGATGGAGGAGCCGCTTTGGCCCCAGGCTTTCTCAAGCCTTCCGCAGCCACGGATGAGGGTTGGAGATCCGGCAACCCTAACTGGGAGTCCGGGGGGGGGGCATCCCTGAGTTAGGACAGGACAGAACAGGACAGGTATGTCTGCAGTGTGGACGGGTCTCGACAACCGCTTGGTCCGGTAAGCGATACTGCTGGTGATTCAACCGGACTGCTTGGTCAGTACTTAAAAGTGGAGTGGCTGGATGGTTGAAATCCTGGTCGGTTCGACACATCACAGATCGACCCCACTAGCGGTCAATAGTTGCATCCCTCCCGCAGCTCGATGAGCCGCATCCACTCGTCCCTATAAGTACACCTCCCCCGGGGTGCTGGGGAGAAGGGGTCCTCCTTATGACTGTTGGACCAATATGACGTGATATCACGCCATCGGTCACATGAATCAGCTAGTAGGTAGTTTGAATATGATTAATCTTTTACTTTTTTTTTATAGAGATTATAAGCTCTTCTGTCTATCAGATTTATCTATTTAGGGTTTTTACTAGATACTCTACTCTGATGGATTATCTGATTTATTCTATTATTGTTTTTAATATTCTTTAGCTGTTTTGAATCTCTTTCTGTAATTATAATCACTCAGGTGTGATTTCTGTTATATCTGCTTTATATTATTTATTCTATTACTATTGCTTAATTGTAAGACACCAACCTAGGGGAGTTGTTGCCACTGAGCCAAAAGGCTAGAATCCCATATATAGACTCAAGTACACCCGTCACCCGGGAGGAGGGCTTCACCCTTGTAAGTAGTCGAAATTGAGGGATCCGGAGAAGGCCCGAAGGGTGAACTGACACACCATCGCCCCGATGATGGCGTGCTGCTGCCGAGCCCCGAGGATCCACGCGTCATCCGCAGCCCTGACACCCTGACAGCTGCGTGACTGGCCATAAAGGGCCCCCATCCCTTCCGGCCTGGTTCTGGTCTCTTCGGGATTGAAAAAAAAAAGATAAAATAAAATCACATACAATACTCGAGATGAAGGGCCTGTTACTGCTCGCTGTCGCGGCCCTCGGCCAGGGACTCCCCGACGGGAGTGCCTTCGCCGACCCCAGCCCGAACAATAACCCTAACACGCCCCCCCAGAAGGTGCTGCAACAGGACTCTCACTCACCACTCGCACCATCCGATGGATCCCAGCGCCCCAACATCGTGTTCATCCTGGTGGACGACCAGGACCTGCAGATGGACTCGCTGCTGTACACGCCGCGCATCAACCGCCACCTGGCCCAGCAGGGCACGTTCTACGCGAACCACTTCGTGACGACGGCGCTGTGCTGCCCGTCGCGGGTCAGCCTGTGGACGGGCAAGCAGGCCCACAACACCAACGTCACCGAGATCTATCCCCCCTACGGGGGCTATCCCAAGTTCGTCGCCGAGGGCCATAACGACAACTGGCTGCCCCTGTGGCTGCAGGCCGGCGGCTACGACACCTACTACACCGGCAAGCTGTTCAACGCCCACACCGTCGACAACTACGACGCCCCCTTTGTGAATGGCTTCAACGCCTCCGACTTCGTGCTCGACCCCTACACCTACCAGTACCGGCGGCCCGTCTACCAGCGCAACCGGGACGCCCCCGTCAACTACCACGGGCAGCACACCGTCGACGTGCTGGCGGCCAAGACGCTGGGGCTGCTGGACGACGCCCTGGCGGGGGAGCGCCCCTTCTTCCTGGGGGTGGCCCCCGTGGCGCCGCACTCGAACCTGGAGATGGCCGACGAGACGGACACCACCAGCTTTCGCTTCTCGGCCCCGATCCCTGCCTCGCGGCATCAGCATCTCTTCCCCGAGGCCCGGGTGCCGCGCACCCCCAACTTCAACCCGGACCGGCCCAGCGGCGTCAACTGGATCCGCCGCCTGCCGCAGCAGAACGCCAGCAGCGTGGCCTACAACGACGAGTTCTACCGCAACCGGCTGCGGGCGTTGCAGGCCGTCGACGAGCTGGTCGAGGACATCGTGGGCCGGCTGGAGCGGGCCCACGCGCTGGACCACACGTACCTGTTCTATACCTCCGACAACGGCTACCATATCGGCCAACACCGGCTGCACCCCGGCAAGGAGTGTGGCTTCGAGGAGGACATCCGCGTCCCCATGTTCGTGCGCGGTCCGGGCGTCCCCGCCGGGCACGAGGTCGATTCCGTGACGACGCACATCGACCTGGCCCCGACCCTGTTCCGCATCGCGGGTCTGGCGCCGAAGGAGGAGTTTGACGGCACGGCGATGCCCCTGACCGCGGCGGAGATCGAGGCAGACCGCGGATCGCGCCAGGAGCATGTCAATGTGGAGTACTGGGGGAAGGCCGGGTTCGAGGGGGCCTTTGGCCGAGCGGGTGAGTGTTTCTTCATCTCGTATTGGACTTGTTTTTTTTTGGGGGGGGGGGGGGGGGGGGGAGGGTTTGAGAGTGATACTGACTCTAGACTCTACGCGGGCAGCGGACGGAGGGCCAACGACCTTCCTCAATAACACGTACAAGGCGCTGCGGGTGGTCAGCCCCCGATTCAACCTGTACTACTCGGTGTGGTGCAGCGACGAGCACCAGCTGTACGACTTGACGGTGAGAGCCCTGCCTGCCTCATCGGCATCGGCATCTGCATCCCCCCTTTCGAGGCAGCCGTACTGATGGACCGGACCAGGTGGACCCCTACCAGCTGCACAATCTCTATCCCGACATCGCAAACCCTCAGAACAAGGGGCGGGGGATCACGATCGGAGGCCACCCGGCCGACCAAGTGGCGAGTCGGCTCGATGCCCTGCTGATGGTGCTCAAGTCCTGCCAGGGTGCGACCTGCATCCGGCCGTGGCAGACGCTGCACCCCGCGGGGGATGTTGCCTCGCTGCAGGACGCCCTGGAGGGCCGCTTCGACGCCTTCTATGCGTCGCAGGTGCGCGTGGAGTATGGCTGGTGCGAGCTGGGGTACATCGTCGAGGCCGAGGGGCCGCAGGTGCCGCGAATCTACCAGGAGACGCACTGGAGCGACTGGGTGTGAGGGGAGGATGATCCCGGAATATATATACTATAATGATGCCCAACAGGCATGTCAAGTTCTGACGGGCCTGGTTGATGTTATCACAATTTGATATCCCTAGACATATCAGCTGGCCTGCTGGCCCAATGGTAAGGCGCTTGACTACGGATCAAGAGATTGCAGGTTCGAATCCTGCGTAGGTCATTTCTTTTTGCCCGACCATCTCCATTCCACAGGGCTATTTTGCTCATGGCAAGCCCTGCCCTGCCTGCCCTACTACCTCCGCCGTCTACCCCTGCAACATATTGAACACAACCCCCAGGAATGACTCATGCATCAATTTTTCAAGACTTTCTGCCGGGCGACTGCTGCCACGGTCGAACAATACGGAGCGAGATAGATATATTATCTCTATACTATATATCTCGATCAAAGACCACTGGCGCAAACAGAGATTATCGATTAGTATCCTTCGAATCCCCCCCCCCCCCCCAAAGGTCGCCCCGATGACCAACATCCTTTGCTGCGTATGCGGAGGAGAGGACACGCCCCGCCTAGTCATAGCCATAGCAGAGGTACCCTCCCTGGGTGTTCATCACCTCGCCGATGGTCGTGTTAGCCATGATGTCGAACGAGGACAGTTCGTAGTGGAGGGTGGCGTTCTGCCAGCCCCCAGCCGGCTCGACGTTGGCCGTCTGGTTCAGCGTCGGCCCACTGATGTCGTACAGGCGGTTGATGGGATCCTGTCGCTGCCACAGCCACCAGACCCGGTCGATGTACATGTGGTGCATGAAGAAGACGGGGTCCCCGGGGGAGGACTTGATGTCGGCCATCTGGCACACAGGGGGTGGTCAGCATGCATGCTCGCGCGAGCGAAGGGAAGGGGTCATCGACGTACCACGCCCCCGATATAGGTGTGCACCCCCTTGTGGGGGATGTTGGAGATGCAGTTCCACCACGGCGAGAAGGTCGTGTAGGCGTTGCACGCGTCCAGCGCGGTGCTGTTGGCGTTGGCCACCGCCTGCTCCGTATCCCAGGCCCGGCGCAGGCAGTAGTCGGTGTCCTCGTCGCCGGGGCCGATGTGCAGCGTCAGGTTGGCGAACCGGCCGTCCCGCACGCAGAGATCCGCCCCGGTGCCGTTGCCCCCGAAGGCGTCCGCCCCCCACATGGAGGACTGCCACATGTGGCCGCTGTCCGCGTCCTGTTGCTCGTTCCACCAGCTGCACGCGGAGAGGTCAGCGCCCAGCGCCCATGGGGCCGGCGAGCAGGGCCGGAACACTTACGGGATCGGGCCCGTGTAGTCACACTCCTCCCGGAGGAGGGTCTCGTAGATATGCATGTAGTAGCGGTGCCAGGGAAGGAATTGGCCCTGGGAGGGACCGTCAGCGAGCGCCGCCGAGCGCCGGACAGGGAGGAAGAGGATGGACGCACCACGTGGTGGATGATATCGGCGGAGGCCGTGTTGGTCATGCCGCGGTGCAGGGCCTGCAGGTCGCTGAACCGGCTGGTCGTCGCCGTCAGGCCGGATTGCGCGGGGCGGTCCATCAGGCACTGGACCGAGTCGAGGAAGTGGTCCTGCTGCGTCTTGGTCAGGTTGCGCCACTCCTTGCGGACGGTCATCTTGGCCTGGGTGCAGGTCCGGCTGAAGAAGCCCGGGATGTAGTCGGATGCCACGTCCTGGGAGGCCTGGCTGGCGGACGCCTCGGGCAGGGCAGCAGCGGTGGCCCCGGCTGCCAGCGCCAAAGCCCCGGTGTACAGGGAGAACTTCATCTTGGGAGATGCTCACAGAGAAGGAGAAGGAGAGGCCTGAAAGAATGGCAGAAAAAACAAAAAAAAAAGAAAGAAAAAAAAAGAAGGTGGGCGGCCCAAGCGAGGCAGGAAGAGAAGGTGAAGAAGGAATGGATTTGATGCCAGTGACGACTTTCAAGATGGGGGGCTCCTTGCTCTTCCTTTTATACAGGTCCTGGTGCGGTCCGAATCCCCGCGCACGTCTGAATATCCTCACAGGAGGAGAGAGCCATCTACGGCGAATGGTCCACAACCGGGATGGGTTCGGTTCGTAGCGAGGAGCCGGGGTTTCAGCCATGCTTGGAGTCGCCGCATTGTCTTTCATCTTTTTCTTTTTGGTTATTTTTATTTTTTATTTTTAATTTTTTTTGACTTTTCTCTTTCTCCATGAGACCCTCAGGGCTAACTGGTCAAGATGGTCACCGACAGAGTCAGCAGGGAGATGAAGTGACCACCGGACAGGCCGGTGGAAAGGAGGCAGTGGATGATATATCGAGACCCACCAGCTCGATTCCCTTCGATTTCCACGTGCCGACATGATCCAGGCCCAGGTGAAAATCCGTATGCAGCCATCCAGCCCTCAAAGGGCCATGGTCTGCGTCAGGATGCCCCGTCGGGCGGGCTTGGCAATCGCTGGGCGAGGGCTCGACGCGCGTTCGATCCTCGAGTCTGGACAGGCGCCAGGTTTCCCCCCGAGCGCCCCGGACGATGAAGACGAGGGAGAATTGAACAATTGGACTATTGGACTTGTTCGATCACAGCACTATGGTAATCGCCGCAGGGAGGCACAGGGAGTGGGGGGTCGAGGATGAGATCCGGATGGTCGGTCAAGTGTTAGGGCACGCACGATCATCTTGGGATCGGAGGGAGATAACCCCAGGGGCCAGTGGATGTGTCAACGGCCCAACGTCCGATCCACCCCAAACCCTAAGGAACGACCGGGAAGACAGTCTCCTCCCAGCCTCCCAGCGGGATTGGCGTTCGCTGGCCGCCACGGCTGTCGGTTGTCACCGATGACGACCGAAGAAGCCCTTGGTCTGCCTCCTGCCTCGGAACCCACTAACACGAGAGCGTGCCCTCGTTAGCTTCCCCTTCATTATACGTGTTGAGATCCGGCAGTGCCAATGCCTGCACGTGTCCTGCAAGCAACAACCCCCCCCAATTCTCTCTATCTCTCCATCTCCATTCTTCCACTCCCCTCCCGACGCGGTCGATCTCGACTTCTCGGGCAATCTCTGAATGGTGGGCGAACCCGTGCCCCTGGTGTTGGACACACGGAGAATGGCGAGAGAGAAGTGCAAGCGGGTTGTTTGTCCCCTACGCACTTCAGCCTCGGGCCATTGCCAGCGATGCTGTGTGGTCTGCCGGACCCTCGTCCACCAGCCCAACTTCTGGGGGCCCGATTTGGCCGAAGCGCGGGCTGAGTTGGCGGCACCACCGATGGACCTGGACCTGGACCTGGACCTGGACCTGGACCTGGACCTGGACCATGACCAGGACCAGGACCAGGAGTGTCGCCGGACCGTTCGGTCGAGTTGGAGGCGACGGAGCGGCAACGGTCCCCGTCCCCCAGCATGGCCCTGTATCGCGCAGGCCCGTCCTCATGATCGTGGACGCCCTCTCCAGGAAGCCTCCGGACTGGCGGCTTTGCCCGACTCCTACGGGCAGGCGCGGTGTTATCCCCGGATCATCGTCGAGGGGGGCCGACCTGATCGGCCCCGGCCCGGAGGTGGACTGGTCGGAGGGGTGTGCCTCGGGCTGGAGGCCCTGTGGTGCGATCATTCCTGGTAGGATGATAGTCGGCCGCGGAATCGGAGTCGGATCCTGCACTGGATCGAGCAGAGTCGGGACCTGACTCTGCTGGATGAGGTGTTTGAATCAGCATGCACGGGAGACAGGGCGTCGCACAGGAGTGGTCGGCAACGCACTGTGTTTCTGCATCGTTGCCCAGCCTGAATTTCGTGGGCGATTTATCCAGGGCGTATGGCAGTTCCAGCAGCGTCTCATGGGGGGGACCAAAGATCCCTTCCTCATTGAGCGAGATCGACACCCCCTGACGGCCCTCTCAGGCTCTCACCCCCCGGTGCGATGGCAGGCGGGAGTTCCCATGGACGATCGTGTTCATTCATGGTCTTCTCCCGGACGATCTGCACATGGCACCCGTCCCAGGAGATCTCTGAACAATGGCTCCCCCCCCCGAGAGTCTCCTCAGTGGACCTGGTGCCAGATCTGCCGGCTCCAGGATAACCTCTGTCCCGATGCGAGACCCCAGTCGAGCAGGCGGACCACACGACCTGGCCTCCCTGATGTGTTTGAAGGGAATCATGGCTAATTCCCGGCAAGCGAGGAGGCCACGCTCATGTCGGATGGCGGATCCAGAGCAGACATACTTGTGAGCCTGGCTCGCGGTGCTGACCGAGCCACCCACCGCAGGACATGCGGATCGATCCCATCCACAATCGCCCGCCCCTGCCAGCGGTGCATGGAGGCCGGGCTTGGATTCGAGATCGTGTGCGTCCCGTGTTCAGACATGAACCGGGAACGGCGACTGCGACTGCGACTGCCATCGGAGGAGAGCCGTGGGAAAGGCTTGCGTCACCGCCGAGATCGAATATCATCCGGCATCATTCAGCAGAGGCCATTGCCGGGATAACGCGTCCCAGCTGGCTCTGCGAGAAATCCCTGTCTGTTGGAACCTGGAAGATGGCCCGTCTCCACGGTCCACCCAGGAATACCGAGGCAGGGTGCATTCCTTGGCCCTGCCTGGCCCTGCTGAGGCCGTCCGCATCATCTCCGTCACCCCCGGCGGGCACGGCCTGGGCGACGACGATGATAGATTAAGTCCGGTCAACAGCGATGATAACAAGGGGAGGAGATGACGATCGTTGCCTGGTCCGTCCGGATAGCGTGGGCGCTAGGAAGCAAGACGCCGCTCGACTGCAGAATCGGGACTTGGGGGTCAGGGCCTGCAGAAGGTGAAAGGTGAAGAAGCCCCAGACAGACGGCCGGAGATCCGGCGGGCACCCGGGCCGTCTCCCCCACTCTGCAGCACTCTCTCCCCCCCAATTGACCCCCCAATTGACCCCCCAATTGTTCCCCCCAATTGTCCCCCTATCCCCCTTATCCCCATCCGTCCCCTCGCCCGTGCAGTTAGACCCTCCCACCCTCCCAGCCTCGGCACGGCCATTGGACCTGATTAGAGGACGGCCGGAGATCCAGACCCCGGGAATCCTTTGCCAATGCCGACGGAGGTGCGGGGACGGGGACCCTATTAGGGCTGGGAGCAAATCACCGCGCGCCCCAACCTCTGCAGGCCCGGCCAGTCTGTCAGGCACCTGCCTGCCCACCAGCGAGAGATCGGCTTATCTGCTGCTGCTAGTCGACGTAGCATATCTAGAGGCGGAGGCATGCGATGATCGGCTGCCAAATGTCCCCAGACGGGCTAGCCCGGCCCTTAATGTTATCATCATCAGGCCACGACACGCTACAGTCGGTACTGCCGACAAGGGAGGGGAAGGAAGAGGGGTTTTTTTTTTTTTTTTTTTTTTTTTCATCGCCAGAAACGCCTTCCCCAACAGGGCAGGTATTGCCTGGCCGGTCGAGGAGCGGAGCACCTCGAACGATGAGCATATGGGCACTGGCGACCATCCATCGTAGACTCCAGCCCGTGCGTTGCCTCGGCGGCCATCTCTATCAGATCGGGCACGCTGCCAGGCAAGAGAAAGCCCACGCCCATGGCAGAGGAGATCATCCTCCAGGGGGATACGGACAGCATCAGGAAGGGTTCGTCGGATGTGCCGCGAAAGGCTTGGTGCGCTGAGACGCGGGCCTGACGAAACCCTAAGATCCTGCGCACGCGCCTTGGCTTCCTCGGCCCCCAAACCGTCAAGATCACGGGCCTGCAGGCGTGCTGATAAGGGAATGCGTCAATTTCAATCTCGCGGATTGCGCGATCGCGTCTCAATATGGCCCGGGCGGGGGCTCCGGATGGACCGGGTGCAGGACGATGGCAGCCAGCAGTCGGTCGGTCGACAGGATGGGACTATACATCTCTGCCCTATAAATGGACCGGCCATTCCCTCCCAGTTGGACTCCATCCATCAGCCAGCCTCAAAACCGTCCTCCGCCCGTCTCCTGATTCCAGACAAGCCATCTCAGCCAACACCATGAAGACCACCGCTGCCCTCCTCACCGCTGGCCTCCTCGCCACCTCCGCCCTCGCGGCGCCTCTCACGGCCCAGCGCCAGGCGCGGCGCGCCAAACGGGCGTCCGGCCGCCAGAGCAACCCGCCCTTCAAGCCCGGCACCACCGAGGTGCTCCAGCTCAACGCGACCTCCCACACCGAGTACAGCACCAACTGGGCCGGGGCCGTCCTCATCGGCACCGGCTACACCGGGGTGACGGCCGAGTTCACCGTGCCCACCCCCTCCGTGCCCTCCGGGGGCTCGCGGAACGAGGAGTACTGCGCCTCCGCCTGGGTGGGCATCGACGGCGACACCTGCAGCACCGCCATCCTCCAGACCGGGGTCGACTTCTGTGTCCAGGGCTCCGAGGTGAGCTTCGACGCCTGGTACGAGTGGTACCCGGACTACGCCTACGACTTCACCGGCATCTCCATCGCCGCCGGCGATGTCATCAAGGTCACCGTCGACGCCTCCAGCGACACCGCCGGCACCGCCACCATCGAGAACGTGAGCACCGGCACCACCGTCACCCACACCTTCACCGGGGGCGTCGACGGCGACCTCTGCGAGTACAACGCCGAGTGGATCGTCGAGGACTTCGAGGAGGGCGAGTCCCTGGTGCCCTTTGCCGACTTCGGCACCGTCACCTTCAGCAGCGCCTCGGCCACCAAGGATGGCGTCTCCGTCGGGCCAGCGGACGCCACCGTCCTCGACATCGAGCAGGACTCCGTCCTGACCTCCGTCTCCGTGTCCAGCAGCGAGGTCGTCGTCAAGTACGTCTAACCGACCTGCATGGCTGTGTCCGGAAGCGGTTGCCCCCTCATCAGTGCTGCCCGGGATCATCATGGGCCGGGCGACAACGACTGGTGATGGTGGGCTCGAGGATGGCTGATATGGTTCGTTGAATCCGATGTGAAGGGTTGGTGTGGGTCCGAGTTTCAAGTTTCCAGTTGATAGTGCACTCCCTGTTATGTTAGTCTTTTATGCAATCAAAACGCGTTTTGAAAAAAAAAAAAATATGACGATATCTGGTCCTGTAGTGTGACCACCAACCGTATCAGCTCGTAGATCGTGTCCGATGGAGGGAATCATGCCGTCAAAGGTCTTGCGGGGGATTTGTCTCCCCATCGTCGGATCTGCGTGACTGAGCGCCGATTCTTCGGCCCCAGATAATCGGACGGCCCAATCAGAAACCAGGCCCGAGCCGTGGTGGACAGGGCCAGTGGAGGGTGCAATTCCTGGTTATCTGCTAAAATGTCCCGGAATGCTAGCCCATCCGGGCATGGAGAGTTTCCCATTTCACGGGCGTTCAAGGGGAAGATGGTAGATCTGGATTCTCATAGGGAACGTTGCGGCAGAGATGATGCGTGATCGATGTTGGGACCGAAGATCCCCGAGGGCGGATCGAACCTGCCATAGCGAGCAGCGGTCACTTTGCGGCCATTAGTAGCATCGATAACCTCACTCACAAGTCTGAAGTCCTCATCACCTCGCTAATAGCAATATCACTGCCTTTTATTAGTATCTTGTTATTCGCGAATAATTTTATCTGACTGTAAGATATTAATCTAGGAGAATTATTATCACTAAGTTAAAAGACTAATATTACCCGCAGTTATCTGCGGACCCCTAGAATCTTATATATATAATCAAGTACACCCGGGAGGAGATAGATAGTAGAATTTAAATTATTATCAAAGATCAAGATATTTAGATACAGCAAAGAAATTATAGCAAACAAATTAGATTTATAAATAAGTAATACAAAAAATATATATAATTGCTTCAACACAAGTATCAAGCAGCTTTATATAAGTTTATTAAGTATCAACTTCATAATGACTCGGAATCCAAGTTTGATTTTATAATATACTCCGAATAATTGTTCTATAAATCTATCTATTATTAATATAATAAAGAAGAATCAGAAGAAACATATCTATAAGATTATAAATAACGATACAGATGAGCTCGAACAACTGCAGAGTGCAGACATCCCATCGCAAAGAAATGGACAAACAGGCTGAGAAGAATGCTAAGCGATACCGAGTATCGCCGAGCTTTGCGTGCATGAATGGCCACCCAGATCGAATGGAAGGAGAAGGGTATCATCCAGATGACCACGCCAAGATCTATTGTGAGGGCGAATGACGCGATGATAGCCCCTCGCGTGGATATACATACATCCAGCAGCCATTCAGTTGGGAAGAAGAACCATCAGGAGCCCGATGTAACGCTGACGGGAGCGGGTGTCTCATTCGCTGGGAAAACCACCGGAGGCCAGGGACCCCTCCATGCTGCAGGGTTAGCAGGGACAGCGACCATCGAGCAAACCTGACCCCGGGGGGGCGATGGGATGCACTGGGTGTCACCCATCCAGGGTGCCCCGACAGCATGACGGTGTCCCTGGTTCTGGGAGCGGGCGTCTGACGGGGGGGGGGGATTTGAGGGCATCACCGGCCCAACCAGATCTGCGCGGTCGGATGGCTTCGCGAGGGACATTCCTTGGCGGGCAGGTTCGTCGTTCACAGACAGGGTCTGGGTTCCATGGGGCCAAAGGCCGCACTCCGGAAGACAGATGTCAATCGTGCATTAGTGCTCTCCTCTGGTTCGCGAGCCAGGGGCCGTTCATATCTGGGGTGCGCCACCGGGTAAATCCTTTTGAGCCTCCCCCTGCCGCCGGGGAGAGATACTGTCCGACTGCCTTGCTTCCTGGGGAGGAGGATGGAATTGGTGTTGCCCCCAATTCCAGGCCTGGCGTCACGGTGACGGCCGCGTTATTTTATTGGGCACGCCGTGCAGTAGAGCTGGATCGCCGGAGATAGCAGGGGCCGTGTGCATGGTCTTCGGACAAAAGAGCACAAGTGGATGAGCGGGTCTGGATGGACAAGATAATATCCTGCAAGCAGAGGCTGTTTGGGCAAGATTTGTGCTCTCTCGGGCTGGCTGGCGTGGTTGCAACTGCATATTGGTAGCAAGGATTGCCGGCGATGACCAGGTCTTGTTCTCTATAAAGGGAGCCCGAGGCGCCCGGTTGACAGCACACAACCAGACATATCAGACATACCACACAGACCATCCTCTTCCACAACTATGGCTACCCTTCTTCGCTTCACCATCTGGCTCCTGGCCTGCCTCATGGCTCGGGCTGCCGCACTCTCCAATGGCACGGCATCGACACGCACCCTCTTCCAGCTGCAAGCCAACCGGACCTGGTTCGAGAACCTCGCCGTCCGCGCCGACGGCACCCTGCTGGCGACGCGGATGGACGTGCCCGAGGTCTGGTCCCTCGACCCGGCCACCGGCGTCGGGCGCCTGCTGTACACCTTCCCCAACGCCACGGCGCTGACGGGGATCACCGAGATTGCGCCGGACACGTACGCCGTGACGGCCGGGGACATCATCATCACGACCAGCGGCCAGCCGACCCCGGGCACGTTTGCCGTCTGGGCCCTGGATCTGCAGGGGTCCGCCACGCCGGCGGCGCGGCTGATCGCGGCGGTGCCCGGGGCGGGCTTCGCCAACGGGCTGACGCATTTCGGCCCGAACGCCGACCTGGTCCTCATCGCCGACGCCATGTACGGACTGATCTGGCGACTGAACGTCGTGTCGGGGGCGTCCAGCGTGGCGCTGCAGGACGCCACCATGGTGCGCAGCGCCGAGTCGCCCTACCTGGCCGTGAATGGGGTGCGATCCTGGGGCGAGTACGTCTACTACACGGCGGACGGCACCAAGGCCGTCTACCGGATCCCCGTGGACCGCAACGCCACCGCGACGGGGCCCGTCGAGCTGGTGGCCGGGGGATTCTCGGGGGACGACTTCGCCATCGCGGCGGACGGGACGGTGTACGTGGCCACCAACACGGCGAATGAGGTCCTGGCCATCTCGGCGGCGGGCGACGTGAGCGTCCTGGCCGGCGCGTCGGCCAGTCCGGCGGTGGCCGGCTGCACGTCGGTGCAGCTGTCCCCCGATGGACGCCGACTCTTCGTCACCACCAATGGGGGCCTGATCAAGCCCGTCGCGGGTGGGGAGGTGCCGGCCAAGGTGGTGGAAGTGGTGTTGTAGGAAGACTTTTAGGGTTTAGGGTTTAGGGTTTAGGGTTTAGGGTTTAGGGTTTAGGGTTTAGGGTTTAGGGTTTAGGGTTTAGGGTTTAGGGTTTAGGGTTTAGGGTTTAGGGTTAG